ATTTTTAAAATGACAAATAAATGTCTGTCCTCATGTAAACAATTGTCTCAACTACAACATATCGAAATTGGGAGAAAATGATCAATATTTACAGAGATACACTCAATGTTCCATAAATATTCTGACGTCATAACATGCAAATTCGTATTTTGAGTTCTAAGGCCATTTTTGCGCCCTCCTTAAGGGTGAAACTGATACATTCTTTGTCATGAATACGAAGTTCATTCTCCTTAAAGGTTTCTATATGTCAACGGAAAACACAAATCTTAGTTATTTTTGGTGAAAACGTGACCCAAAATCCGTGCAATTGGTGTTTTGATGGGCTTTAGGAGTTTATCTAAACGTTAACTAAAAGTATTCACCAAACCGCCTGAATCTTGTTAAAAAAAATACTGGGCCTACAATTCCGTCCTTAAGATATTTTAGTACCGAAATCTAACAAATTATTTTGATTTTTGAAACGATTTTTATTTTGGGAGTGAAATTTATCAGTGTTATTTTGTCGTAGCGAATGCTCATTATAACAATAAAGGTCTATGGGGAAAGGCTAGCTAGCCTGGCTATCGAAAAAAAAATATGTAAAGGTAAGTAGGGTATAATAACGTATCACTGAAACAAAATGTATAATAATGAGTCTTTATATCGACAACTGATTTTTCGGTAAAATTGGTTTGACATATGGAAGAAAATATATGCGTTTTAACGTCTAAAAACCAAATAGCTTCCGGGAGCTCCGCCACTGGTCCCCCGCCGGGACTTTGCTCCTGGACCCAGAGGCGGCGGAGCCGGGGGCCCAGTGCCCCTAAGTGCCCCTTTTAACATAGGATGGTGCCCCCTTTTACTTCAGATAAGTGCCCCTTTTTTATTTCTAATAGGTGCCCGTTTTACATTCCTATAAGTACCTCTTACCACACTTTAACTGCGATGAGTGCTACTTCTCTCATCTGATTAGTGCCCGATTTTATTTTTACACGTGCCCCTTTTTCTTCCTAATAAGTACTTTTTTCCTTCTGATAAATTCCCCTTTTCGTTTTTAATAAGAGCCACTAAACCTTCTCATAAATGCCCCTTCTGAAAACCTGTGATAGATGCCTCTATTGAAATTTCATAGGTATCCCTTTTCCTTCGACAAATGCCCATTTTCCTTTGTAATAAGTGCCTCTTGCCATTCTTACATGTGCCCCTATTCATCTGATGAGTGCCCCTTTTCAGGTGCGAGAAGTGCCCTATTTTCAACTCTGATAATTCCCCTTTTTACTTTGACAGGTGCTCTTTTTTTCTAATAATTGTCCTTTCACTCTGGATATGTGCCCCCGATTTTTGTCAACATAAAATAATAATTTACAGCAACTAGTAGCAACTATTTCTTAAATTTTACCCAAAGCTCGCTAGCATTTTTAAAAAAATTTGTACAATTATGTTTCTTATTAAAGATAATTTCAGTCTTTCATGATTAGATTGTGCTTAAAACCCCATGGCCCGTATTCTGAAGTCAGGTTTAGTTAAACCCAGGTTTAACTTTAAACCCGGGTTTAACTAAGCCAGACTTCAGGTCTAAGTATCATTTCAGTTTCTGAAAGCCAGGTTTAGTTAAACCCAGGTTTAAGTCTAAAACCCAGGTTTAAAGTTAAGCCAAGGTTTAACTACCATGGAGATGTAGTCTGCTTCTACTGCACATGCTCAGTACAGCTCATCCATCTTCAAGGGTAGCTGATATGGCCTTTATAGCACCTGCTTTATAGGCTTTGTTATAGCTGGATTTCGTGCTGCAAATTTAATAATTTCAATTCAAAATATTCGACACAAACAAATCTCTTTCGAAGCAACCATTGAACGTTATGACGTGATTATTTGTTTTGTTTTACCCTTTGATTTATTGTTAAACTGCTGAAAAAGTCTGAATCGAGGTGGAATTGATCTTTACGAATAATACTACAAAAATCGGGATTCTACCATTTCTGCATGCCCATGCAGATTAGTCAAAACTTCCAGAACAACATAAAAATGCTCTAAATAAGATTTAGATGACTAAAAGAGAAACTAAAAATGATCAAAAATACCTTCTTGATGCAAAATAACTAGTCCAAAGTCAACATTGCTGAAGCTCATTTGTTTGATTTTTAGTTTTTTTTTAGGACAATGGAATCCTTTTTCGAACCGACATGTCGGGTATCATGATCCCCTTCTCGGTCACCGTGCGCGCATATTAGCGCATATCATCGATCGTGCGCGCATTCATTTGTACAAATACACACGGTTTAGAAATATTGCATTGTCCTAACAAAAAACGCTTAAAATTCGACCATATTATATGAGCTTCAATGTTGACTTTGGACTAGTTATTCTGCATCAAGAAGGTATTTGTGATCATTTCTCTTTCAGTCATTTTAATCTTATTAAGGCCTAGCTAGGTCTAGATCTAGATCTAGACCTCTAGTGCATCGTTCGGGGCATCTTAAGGATGTTCTCGATGTTTTGAAATCATAATATAAATAGACTAGGCGCGCCTAATCGGTCTAGGTCTAGAGTCTAGACTAGATCTAGGGCAGATTCTACCCAAAACTCTACTAGATCTAGGTCTAGAGTTCCGGCTTAATACACTCGTCGGCTCTTAATTATACTAATCCATGATTGTCTTATAAATATAGATTATTCTAATCCAACCTTAGGCCTACAGTTTTATTTTATCTCGCATTTGTTTACATCGTTGGGACGCAATTTGAAAATATGTATTGCACTCACAGTTTCAAAACTACGTGAGCATAACGTCAAACTAAAGGTATGGGGCTACTATATTTGTTTTCCTCTGCAACAAAGTGATACGGGTTGATTTACTTTGGCAACTTTTTAGTTTCAAGGATTGTCGTACTATACAAATCACACAATCTTATATAAAATATAAAATCTTAAGACTTAGAAAATATTAGGCATAAAGATTCAATAAGCAAATGAAGTATCCAAATTAATGTTCAAACTTGCCGAAGGCATAAAATCGCAAGGCCCACTTTTATCCGCAAGCGATGTGTGTGTCTCTCCAATGTTGGAGTCGATGCAAATCGCTGTTTGTTTGGTATTTAAAAAAAGACAGCGATGACAAACAAATCATCGTCGCCATGATTGTGAAAGGTTTTTTTCTTTCCACAAGAGCTCTCTCCGGTCTCATTATTTGCAATAATTCGTCGTAATGTCTTTTAATGTTGTCTTCTTCTCCTCTGAATATCCAACAAATAGTTAGACCTGACTTAAGCCAGACTTAAACTAGATCTAGGTGTACCCCAGGTTTAAATATGTGTACAATTTCCACAGAGTTAGACCAGGCTTAAACCTAGGTTTAAGTTAAACCCGACTTCAGAAACGCAAAATTAAACCTAGGTTTAAATCTGAGAGTTAGGCGAGGCTTAGACTAGACTTAAACCTAGGTTTAAAGTTAAACCTGACTTCAGAATACGGGCCATGATTGTTTTTCGTCTTTATAAGATGTAATTTTTTTGCACTGCGACCTCACAAATCTTGAATTGTTTGCTCGCTCGCAAATACATATCGAGTCCATCACACCCGACTGCAAAAATATGATGCTTAAGCAGTATCTTGGACCATGTAAAGAGAGAAACAAACATTAAAATCCTCCCTGATAATGTAATCACAATGTAGAAGTATTTACCAATGACTAAAAAAGTGTACATTTCGATTTGAGATTTTCCTTTGAAGGTGCCCCCTTATACGTTGTTCTTTCCTCTTCATAAGATGTGATTATACGCACTACGACCTCACAGATATTATTTTTTTTGCTCGCTCGCTTTTCTCGCTCGCAAATAGATATTCAGTCCATCCCACCCAACTACAAAAGTATGATGCTCAAGCAGTATGTTTGACCATGTAAAGAGAGGAAACATTAATATACCAATGTTTAAAAAAGGTATATTTCGATTTGGGATTTTTCTTTGAAGGTGACGCCGTTTTCCAGAAAGTGTCCTTTTTGATGGTTAACCTCCCCCCCCCCCCCAACACACACTTTGAAAGACGCTCCGCCGCACCTGGGTGGACCCATTACATAAATGACAAATGTGGAAAATACAAAACATTCAAATTCACAATACAACAAAATGCAAGACGTATAAAGGACATTACAAACTAAAACACAATTATAATACAGAACAACATAATTTATATGGTAATTGTATGCAGCAGGGACGTCACTTATATGTGGCAAGAAGACGCAACTTGAATTTCAACTTGAAAGAATTTAAAGTGGTCACATTTTTGATTGAGTTGTCAATATTATTTCATAATTCCCCTCCTTTTTGTTGAATAGAATTAAACTTTTGTAATTTTAAACGTGTATATGGCAAGAAAAAAATTATTTTTTTGTTTTGTGTTAACATTATGTATCTTGTCTACTGTAACAAAGTAATTATCAAACACGGGTGATAACAAAAAGTTCGAATTTAATATATTAAGTTATTAAACAAAGGCGGGGTATTGGACTACACAAACATGTGGCATACAATTCGGGCCTCATCTTTAAGCTGATTCTTGTCATATTTAGAATATGAAGGCATTTGAAGAGCGATGCTTTTCAGAGAACATTTTTTCTCTGATGTTTTTCCACACTTGCATAATAACAATGATAACGCTCACAAATTATTTTTTACCTCTCTCCAGAACTCAATCTTCTCTTTAAGTAAACCTTGAAGCCCAGCTGGGAGTTTGTGCTTCGTTTGCTTCAGTTCATCCTCTTGACATGTTAGAATGTGTGGACCACCCTGTATATGCATTATTTGTAGTATGTGTTATTACAGGCACCATGATTATTATAATAACAGGATAAGTTTTTTGCGTGAGTATTCTTGACTCCTTTTATTATTCAAGTTTATTTGATATTTATTGTTGATCCATATATATCATACAAAAATTTGTTTTCCATTGGTGTTACAAAATTCAATTGTGCACTGGGCATTCTCTTTTTCGTTTTTAATAACCTTGATCCTCATTCTGTGATTTTCATATATTTACAGATGGAGCTACCATCCTCCAAGGCGAAACCAGTAACAATAGGCATCTGCACGTCAGCATTGAGGTCTAACATCGAGGCTTTCATAGCCAAGGTTTCAGCTCTGATCAATGTAACAGTCCGATTCATTGAACTACCGTACAATGATCTGGACAGCTTTCGTCTGTTAAGTGATGGACTTGATGGTGTGATTATCTGTCATTCTATCAACAACCGTGGCTTTGCAATAACAGATGTTATGGATGCTCTCTACGACAAGTTCCTGCCTCGTGTTCGACGAAATTTTGGTAGGATAATAAATCTGATGTCTTCACACAGTTACTAAATACAGGGGCGGATCCAGGAAGCCCCCCTCCCCCCTGCAAAAAACACGTTAATTTTACCTTTTTTGGAGATGGCCCCCTCCCCGGGGGCTGAAGGGGAGTGCGATTTTTCAAATTTTCGAGGGGCCCCCCCCCCAAAAAAAAATGGTGCTCACTGCCCCCCCCCCCCCCCACTGAGCGAATTATCGGCCGGTGCGATTTTCAAATTTTCGGGAGAAAAACAAAAGAAATAGTGCTCCCTACCCCCCCCCCCCCTCCCCCCTCCTCCCTTCCCCCTCCCCTACCTAGCGAAATATTGGCCGGCACCATTTTCAAATTTCAGCAGACTAAATTTCAAATTGGTTTCAAATTTTGGCCCCCCCCCCCCTTAGAAATCCTAGATCCGCGCCTGACTAAATATTTTTATTGTCTAGGCCGACGAGTGAAGGATATTTAAAGAACTGTTACCAACTAAGTCTTTCGATCATTTTTTTTCTCGAGCAAATTATTATTTTTTAAATGTCAATGTGTATTCAAATGTAAAGTCATTTTTGTACAAAAATAGTAAAATAAGATTTGTGTACTTTCTAGAAATATTCCAACTAAAAAGTGTTATGGGTGAAATCATTTAAGCCTACCTAAATTGTATTTCTTTATATATACAGGAAAAGACAGGGTCTGTGTTTTCGCGCATGACTTTCCATGGCCCATGGCACCAGGTGGTCCTTCACGCAACGACCATGCCGCGATCAAAGATACTTACATGGGTAGCTTCCGCAGCAACCAACCAACAACCTTCGAGTGCTGTAAACTGGCCATGATCTGTGGTAGACTGGACAAACAGGTAGACATGGATGAAGAAGATTGGAAACAGCTTGAAGTATTTCTGTACCAATGTCGGGTTCATTCCGAGTCCTTCAATAATCCCTCCGACGCCTGCAATACTTGTTCCTCCAACCCCGGCGGTTCTAGAAGTTACACATTCCTTATTATTGTTGGTGTGATTGCATTTGTAGCATATAAAACATTTCAACATTTCCGTAAATCCAATAAGAAATAAGAGTTATAAAAACGTTTTCAAAAATATTTATACAAGACTGGTAGGCCACTTACTCTTTGTTTTTGTTTTGCTGGCCATTGTGACGCAACAATAAGCTTGTTTACATTTTGTCAAGAATTCGCAATGACAAAGACAATTTATTCTCATGTCACCCACATTGGATTATTGGAGAAGTTAACAATCAGTTTAAATTTGTCAATTTAACGCTGTGAAATATACGATACAAATCGAATTAATTTTAATCAATAAAAATAACACTATACAATAAACATCGACAGTGAGAAAAATTATGATGATAATGAACAAAAACAAAACTATAATAGTAATTAAACGAGGCTCGCCTTTGTGGCGCGCTTCTGTTTCCGCGTTTCCGAATGCGCTCCCTTTTGCACACGGAATGCATAACACGTAATTGTGTTATGGATATTGTATTGTTTTATACTGAGATTTCTGGTATGTAACTTGGATTTGGCCGGAATTACTATTTGAGTTGGCCGGGATGAAGTATTTAATGTTTATTCCGAAAACCTCAACATGAGACCGGATTTGCATGGAAGAAATACTGGGGCGACTATTAGGAACAGTCGGATCGATCTCTTTACCTTTGTTTTTTTGTTTGTTTTGTTAAAGGTAATACAAAGTTTTGGTATGGGGTCATGAATTTGGTTCAAATGAACATATTTAAAGCATAAGCGATCCTACAATACTCAGTGATCGTTGTCGCGGTTGGAATCGAGTCTAAAGTTATGAAATTGTAAATAATACACTCTTTATGTTGTATAGCTCCCTCTCAAGGTCAAGATATTAATTAAGCTATTAAACAATGTTTCTTGACTAAAATTAACCAATTAGCTATTCCCGTTTGGAAATTATATACTACAACTACATATTCTGAGATTTTCATGGTCCAGGCTACCATTGTAAGGCCGTAGGCGCTTTTTGAAATTTATCGTAATTTACCGGGAGCACCGGTAAATTTTTATATTCAATTTTTCTTGAAAGCAGAAGTGTTTTACTGGCTACATTTTCTAGTGGTTATAATTCATCCACTGGGGCATCCAAATATATCAAAATTGTAAAGAATCACTATCCACCCAAATTTCAAAATTTCCCAAAACTTTGTATTACCTTTAATAACCTCGCGGAGAGGCCGGAAAGGGTACATTGGTAGCGAAGAGGATTAGCCAAAAGTTATAACAAAGAGATATCAGCTGGTATCTCTTTGGTTATAAGATTTCTTTGTATATGGTAATGCATGGGTGTCGATCCCGGGGGGGATGGGGGGGATATATCCCCCCCAATATTTCAGGTGGGGGGATGGCCTGTACAATCATCCCCCCAATAATTCACCATCAAAGAAAAAAAAATGAAGAGAAAAATTAATGATGAGAGACCGATGAGAGTAGTTAATGGTTATTACTCGCAAGATGACCATCAATATACACATTTTGCTATCTCATTTTCATAATACATAGTACGAAGTAAATAAGACAACCGTATATGAGACAAGAATAAATTGAATTCTCGCTCATACGGCTTCAAAAAGCAATGAGCTAAATGTTAAGCGCGAAGCGCAAAAGTAGCAATCTGCAATGCACATCAGCCAATCCTGGACAGTGTAAACATAGATGAACTCTGTGACGATTTCGTGATGAGATCGGAGACTAGGAGGAAGATTTTCGGACATTAGTATGACTTATAAAATAGTTCACTAGTTGTTATGTTGTTTCCATTCACTTTTTTTAAAATTCACGTCATTGTATCTTAATTATTATTTTTTCACTCATTTTATTTCCTGATAATCCCTAAAACATTTTTAATTTTTGGAGAATGATCATTATGTCACAACTTATTTGTGACACAACTTATTTTCAGTGGGGAAACTGAATTCAGACAAGGATTAATATAGAGAACAGTACAACGAAACGTCTTCCTTCTCTAATAATTTAATGAAAAGGGCAAAGCTGTTAGGGGAGCAACTGAATTCAGACGCGGATTAAGAGAAATAATCAAATGAAACGTCAAACTACACGATACAACGAATCTTCTTCTTTTACTAATAATTTAATGAAACGTAAAAACTTCCGCGCTATGCGCGAATTGGGCGAAAATGACACAGACAAGGATTAAGAGTAATAATTTATTAAAACGTTAAAGCTTCCGCGCTTCGCGCGGTAGGGGGAAACTGAATTCATGAAGGACACGATACAACAAATCGTCTTCTTTCTCTAATAATGTAATAAAATGTGAAAGCTTCCGCGCTTCGCGCAGGAATGGGCGAAAATAAATTCAGACAAGGATTAAGAGTCGAGAATGGTACATCGAATCGTCTTCTTTCTTTAATAAACTAATGAAACGTCAGAGCTTCCGCGCAGGAAGGGGAACTTGATTCAAACATTAAGGATTAAGAGTCGAGAATGGTACATCGAATCGCCATCTTCTTTCTTTAATAAACTAATGAAACGTCAGAGCTTCCACGCTACGCACGGATGAAGGGGAACTTGATTCAAACAAGGATTAACAGTTGAGAATGGTACATCGAATCGTCTTCTTTCTTTAATAAACTAATGAAACGTCAGAGCTTCAGCGCTACACGCAGGGAAGGGGAACTTGATTCAAACATTAAGGATTAAGAGTCGAGAATGGTACATCGAATCGTCTTCTTTCTTTAATAATCTAATGAAACGAAAGAGCTTCCGCGCGTAGCGCGGATGAAGGGGAATTTGATTCAAACAAGGATTAACAGTTGAGAATGGTACATTGAATCGTCTTCTCTCTCTAATAGTGAAACGTCAAAGCTTCCGCGCTTCCCGTGCTCACTACCGCCCCCCTAAAATGAAATCCTAGCTACGCTTGGGAGGGGTGCAACTTGCCACACGCTTCCACTTCTTGGTTGCTTAGATCCATTGCCGAAAATATGTTGGCACCTATCATCCCCCCCAACCACGGATACAAATCGACACCCTTGCTGGTAATGCGAATTGTTGTACCTTATGAGTTTGCTAAGATTTGAAAAGAATGTCCGTGGGGCATGGTCATGACGAAATGACAAGCGTATCATAACTTTTACTCAGAATATGGGTGATTCATACTGTCTTCTTTGAAGTACAAAGTTTGTAAACATATAAACTTCTTTGTTTCTTGTTCTCCACTTCCTGTGGAGCTATTGATTAGTTATTGATAGAAATATAATTTATTAAATTGTTCTTTTCACCATAAAACTGTAAAATTTTGACCTGTAGTTATTTTGGATGTAGCATGTACATGTATATTACATTTATTGTATTGATATGCATGAGGTATAGTTCTAGCGGCTGCTTTTGAAAAAGCAGGGGAGCCCATGAACGTGAAATTTGTTTCATTGTGGGTCAGCAATTATTCGCAGTAACTATGTGCGTGTGGTGTGAAATGGATATTGTATTGTTTTATGCTGAGATTTCTGATTAGTTATTGATAGAAATATAATTTTTTGAATTGGTATCTTCACCATAAAACAGTACAATTTTGACCCGTTACAAACGTATATATATATCCAAGAACAAGAAAAAGGGGTCCCTTTAATGAGTTTCACTGCTTAAAGGCGTTGTTAATATGTTAGGCATCGAGCCTGATGAGAGTATCGAGTGCTCATTTGCGTCATAGTCCCCCCACAATGTTTAAGCGTATGTGGAGTTATCTCAGTTTAGGGTGGTTATTGGCGATTTTAAAGTAAGGTTTATAACATTATGGAGTAATGCAAGTTTGGGAGTTATGGATTCCGGTTAGGTTATAGAGCATGGCATGATATCGCCTTTGTTTCCTTCATATTTTGAGTTTCAGCGGAGATTTGACATACAAACAAATTTACTCCAGTACTATGGTCTTTGTAATGCAATTCGGACACGTTTTAAAATAACTACACATGTAGCTCCTAGTAAGGCCTTAGAACCTGTCATTCCCGAAGCCGTGCGCCTTGTGGTGAAAACAAATGTTGGTTGTTTACATATTTATCAGTCTTTTCTAAAAAATAAAGTAAAGGAATGTAAAGCTCTCACAAAGTGGAAAAGTTTTTTCGATTTTCAAGATGTACTTTGGGGTTCGTACTGTCAAATTCCATTTCAGTCAACAATATATATCAACATGAGGTGGTTTCAAATCAAGATTTTAAATAAAATATTATATATGAAGAACAGTTTGTTAAGATTTGGTGTAGTGGCTGACAAGAAGTGTACTTTTTGTAGTAGTAATGATGAAACTACCATACATGTTTTTTGCTTTTGTAACTATTCTAATGAAGTATGGTCGAAGTTAGAATTCTGGATATTTCGTAATACGGGGGAAAGGATCAAACTTACAAATCAAAATAAATCGCTTGGATTTTGCGGTAGCAATAATAATGCACTCAACTGTGTTCTTATGGTTTTAAGACAAGAAGTATTTTCAGCTAAATTTCGAAATCAATTACCATCATTTGATATAATTTTATCAGCTGTTAAACGTTATTATGAAATGGAAAATTATATATACCAAACAAATCTCAGAAAGAATAAATCGGAAAAAAATGGTTTCACTTTAGAAAATATTTTGAGAGTGTTGGAAATGTGCTAACATAAACATGATCATGTATTTTATGTCTGGTATTTTTTAATTATATATTTAAAGTACTAATTTTGTCATATATGTTTGTTTTTATCTGCCACAAAAGTTTTCGGCCGTGATGATTATTATCTGTATCAAGTCATTATGTATAGAAATTATTTCTTTAATCATTTGTATATAATATTATGGATATATTGTATATGATGGAATTTGTTATGAAAATAAAGAACCCCGTGGAACGGGGAAAAAAATGATATCGCGTTTCGATAGTCTTATGTAGCTTTACAGTGTACCACTTTATTGCGCCTAGGCGTTAAACCTTGTAAAATGGAAAATCAACAACAACAAAAAAAAAATGAAGAAAACAAATGCAAGGGTTGCCTGCGGTACCCGTGCTTGGTAATTAGTTGGCTTAAATTATTGGTAAGAATTTTCACCTCGAGCTCCATATCAAGTGACACCGTGTTTTTGTGGCGGCGAGCTATTTAATTTGCTCGTTGGCGGAATTTATCAATTTGGGCCTTCATCACAATATATTAGCAAGAAATTATATCACTCCGTTTCTTTGACAATCAGCCATGCATGAAGTCTTTCGTCTACGGTTGATTGTCAACGAAACGGAGTTTCGTTAAATCCGTTTTGTTAAATCCGTTTGTTGCTACGGCAGGTAGCCAGTGAAAACGAATTCGTTTAATAAAATTATGAAAATGCAAGCACTGCTATAAACAAACAGAAGTTTGTTATTCCTAGCTCATTTTTCCTGACTGAGGTGTCATGAAAGGGCAGAAACTCGGCTTTCTAGAAATGTGATTTTCTTTTTGAAATTCAGATACCGTCAGCCAAATTACTTTTTGGATTCCTCTCTTCAAATTCATTTTACTCACTCATGCGTGAAATATGAGTTGCATCAAATGAAAGAGGAGGGTCTAAGCTTTGCGAATATGTGACATTTGTTGATGATAAATGTGACTAAGTTATAATAAAACATAGACAATTCTCGTTTTTTTTTCTGGGACGCACTGTATGATAAATTTTGACAAGTATACATCTTTTAAAAGTTGTTTTCATACTGTAACTACTAGATGTAGAGTGAACCGAGACTAAGCGAACGGGGATTCCCCACTGACCTCGCTGAACAGCCGCACACGCGCGCGTCTTGCATACGATCAAGTACCAACTACCAACCTACTCGAGCGTGCGAGTTTTATTCAGCAGTAACGCACGGCAGAACGGGGGCAGAACCAACGCATGAAACTCCGTTATATTCTTTTTGATCTTGAGAATAGACCCACTGGTGCAAGAAATATTTGAAATACATGGTAAGTATAGCCTTTATTTTATGGCCAGTGGAGTATAACAAAAATAATGCAATGCCCGGCTACAAACTCATGTTCATTTTCTTCGAGCAGACCTAAATGACAAAAAATGCATCCGTCTCGTTCCATTCATACATGTCTGAAAAACCTTTGATAATGTATCGTACCAATTTCCCCTAAATTTAAGGCGCGAAATGAAGAGAGTCCACAGAGTTCGAGCGCTAGTTACTTTGCTATATCTTCACTTAACCTTCCATGCGCATGGACCACCTATCTCGATGTAAATGCAATGAAAGAAATTGAACAAATGCCAACAACTTTGGCAGGTATCTTGGACAAAAATGCGCAATTGTGAGAATGAAATGACTGGGTATGGTATGTAGCTCTCTCAAAGTTCTCCATTGCTGCCCATGTGTGTGTGTGTGTAATATATATATATATATATGTATATATATATATATATATATATATATACATAGAGTAAAGTACCCGGTAATCGGTCAGCTCCGGTTTTCGGCCAATTGGTTGGATACATGGTAAAATCACTTTAAAATACATCGCATAATAGCATAACACATATCCCACACATACCATACCATGCCAGTGTCACTGAAGAACCACATTTGCAATGAAAAATATATCCTAAAATATCACATTTTAGCGATGTAATCGGCGGTCCCGCTACCCAAATCTGAAAAATCGAGTTTCTTACGCGTGTATGTAAGAAATATGGGTACCATAAAATGAGCTTTATTTCAAGTATTTTTCAGATATAGAGCCCGATTTTGTGCTGGTCGCAAGCTCAAAAGTATCTCATCGCATGTATTAAATCAATGCAGCCGCACACCGCGACGCACACACGATATATCTGTCTAATTCAGATTCCAACTTCCGATCACCGCTGTGCCTGTATTCGGCCAGGCGAGCACCCGGGAGCTCGGGCGTGGGTTACCTGCTCTGCCCGCTTGTGCTATACATCAGCGCAGAAACGCACGGCGCGCGCGAGCGCTTCCTATTGACTTTGTACATGCGGCCGTAAACTGAAACGCTCGGCCGATAACCGGCTCCAAAACAGTGAAAATTGAAATGAATATTGTCATGGCAATTCGTGATTTTTTTTGGGGATTCTTTTTTTGTTTAAATAATAATAATATTTCCTTCATGATTTGAACAAGAAATGATAATAAATAGGAAGTAAAGAGTCCAATAAATAGGATTTTGTCTTAAGTGGCCGAAAACCGGGTACTTTACTCTACATCATAATATATTTATTATGTATAAACCTTCACCGTAAGAATTAATGTTTCTTTAATAATATCTCTTTCTATGTAAGTTTAAGGGAAAACCGAAAACACAACTAATGTTTTTTCTTCCTATATGTTTTATGGGTGATGGTAAGCAGAGTAATTTTGTCATTAATTTGTTTATTGTAAGCGCTTTGAGCACCATCTGGATGGAGTATGTTGCGCATTATATATATCAGTGGTCTACAAGGAGTTTAACAACAACAGGTTTGCTTTTTTTATTGTACAGGTTTGAAAATCAGCAATATGTTAATATTCATTCCCAACTGCCAACAAATATTTATGAAATGTTCGACATAAGATGAGTTTGAAAATGCTTCATTTAATTATGGCTCAGATTACACCAGAGTGAATCTATAAACTTTAGAGCCCTTAAAGTGACTCGGTAACATTGTTGAAGGTTGAAAATTGCGTAATTTTTGTATGAAATTTTACCTATTATAGGCCTATTCCTTTTACTGCACTAACCCTCTAACATGTAAAAAAAAATCCTGAATAATTCTCAAACCACAAAGTTATTTATGGTTTTCTTTCAGTGAAGGTGTCATTGTGCAACACCCTCTTATACAGCGAATTCTCCCAACCATTTTTTTAATTTTCCCAACCTTTTTCCCATTAAAATGAGACATAAGACAGGCTCTAAAAAAAAATCAACACTTAAATGTCTGGAATGGTATATAGAGTCTATTAATTGCTTTGTGACGATTTACATTCACCTAAAATGTAATTAAAGTGTAATAGTTGTGAGAAGTGAGGAATCGATCAGATCATTTTTCCCAATTTGTATCATTAATAATGGTCTGTTTTCACTCAAACTGTCCGAATTACCTTTAATTGTACATTTAGCATTAAAGTCACTACCATAGCACCAATTTCTCTCATCTGAACAATGTTACCAAGTTCCTTTAGGCAAACCCCGAAGCCCGGCCAGAAGGGAGTTTGTGTTTCGCATGCATCGGTCCATACACCTGACATGTTGGAAATTGTGTACCACTTTGTATCTGCATTATTAGTAGAATGTCTTATTTCAGTCACCATGATTATTATAATTGAAGGATAGGCTTTTCGCTTGAGTATTGTATATATTTTGTCTCCCTCGAAAATTCAATTTTAAATGTTAATTGTCTATATATCGTACAGAATTTGTTCTTTCATTGGTGTTATATGGAAATGGAATAAATATTTATAATCCACATTCACAAAATTCAATTGTGCATCGGGCATTTTTTTTTCTCGTTTTGAATAACCATGACCCTTCATCTATTTACAGATGGAGACACCATCCTCCATGGCGAGACCAGTTACAATAGGCATCTGCACGTCAGCATTGAGGTCTAACATTGAGGCTTTCATTACCAAGGTTTCAATTCTGACCTATGTAACAGTTCGATTCATTAAACTACCGTACAATGATCTGGACAGCTTTCGTCTTTCAAGTGCAGGACTTGATGGTGTGATTATCTGTCATTCTATCAACAACCGTCGCTTTGCAATGACAGATGTTATGGATTCTCTCTACGACAAGTTCCTGCCTCGTGTTCGACGAAATTTTGGTAGGATAATAAATCTGATGTCTTCACACAGTAACTAAATATTTTGATTGTCTAGGCTGAATAATGAAAGATATTTCAAGAAGTGTTGCCCACGAAGTTTTTGAGCACGTTTTTCCCAAGCAAACGATATCATCGGAGGGCTTCAGCCCCCCCCCCCCGAGCTTCGCCGTTCCGGAAGCCCTGACATTTTGGGAATTAGTTAGTTTCCAACAAACGCATAAAAAAGTAAAACTTCCATAAAACTGAGGAAAAATCCCGGAACATCGCGTCATTTCAACAACATTTGTAAATCAATGGTATCGAATTAGAAATAAACCACGTTTGAATGTTAACTGCCCCGAGCCCCCCCCCCCACCATCAGTTCGCCAGTGGTCCTTAGTGGTACGCCAGATGTTTAAAGAAATGTTGCCCACGAAGTTTTTTGAGCATCTTTTGTTTCAGTCAAATTATTTTTAGAAATGTTTATGCGTGTAGAAAAGTAAGGAAGAGATTTTTTGTACTTTCTGGAAGCGTTCCTGCTAAAAAAAAAAGTGTTATTGTTAAGGACTTGTATAAGTAAATTCATTTAGTCCTACCAGGTTTTTTTTTTCTTTTTCATATAATTTATGCAGGAAAAGACAGCGTCTGTGTTATTGCACATGACTTTCAATGGCCCATGGGTCCAGCTGGGTCCTCACATGAAAATCATATCCGGATCAAAGATACCCACATGGACAGCTTCCGGAGCAAACAATTTACAACCTTTGAGTGCTCCAAACTGGCCATGATCTGTGGTAGACTGGACAGACAGGTGGACATGGATGAAGAGGATTGGAAACAGCTTGAAGACTTCCTTCTCCAATGCCGAGTTAAGCCAGAATGGGCCTGGAATATAATATATTCCATATTGGATACGATCGAACGGTTAATTATGACATATATAAAACCATACATTCCACAGGCTGTTCGAAGTGTCTTCGCTCCCGTCGAGGATGACAGCCTTCTTCGGTTGCTCAGAGATCACAAGAAGCTCAAAGAATCTTAAGATATATCCTTCAGTTTGTGTGTCTTCATGTTATAATCTTGTTGACGACGGCGGATTGTATTTTGTTGCGGATGAGGCTTAATTGTACCAGCTGTTCTCTGTGCATATTATTCCAGAAAGATGTCATTAACAAGACCCTTAAACGGTCAGAGGACTGTAAGGGTCTGTGTGGGAATTCGTTCTGTATAATGTGTCATTCCCATTCATTTGATCTGCAATTCCTGTTGGTTTGCCTTAAGCTTGGTGGAAGGATGTTGCTCGTGTGTTTGTCAATTTCCCGGGTTTATCAACAGGAGGTATCTTGGTAGCCTTAAAGGACCCAGAAATTTAGACCTTATCAGAGCATGAGGTTTTCCACTGAATGCATAAAAGAAGGTCTCCTTCAAATTTAATGACATTCTCACATGGGTGCCACGTTCGTCCCCAGTCTTACCTGATAGAATTGGTCGGTTAGGGATGTTTTCTCATAATGACTGTTATGGATACTAGATAATCAAAGCCAGGCACCAATACGCAAAACACAACGGACACAACGAAAGTGTCGAATATCATGAATATATTTTAGGACGACACATTTAATTTATCTACAAATACAAAATGTATTTGTGAAAATTTATAAACATAAGCAAACGCACTAAAAGCCCACACTCCAAGCGCCCTGGAGCGCGCGAGGTACATTGCAGACGAAAACCCTTATGTCAAGCATTATAGCCCCCCAGCAGCCAGAACATACTATACACCAAAAAAAAATACCGCTACATCAGGCAAGCTACTATTATTATATGCTGATAGGCTTATACAGTGCGTCCCAGAAAAAACGAAACCGATAATTTATTATCGATGTTTTATCGTAACTTAATCACATTTATTAATGATAAATGACACATATTTGGAAAGCTTAGATCCTCCTCTTGCATTTGATGCAACTCATATGATAATATTTCACTCATGAGTGATTAAAATGAATTTGAAAAGAGGAAACCAAAAAGTCATTTGGCGGACGGTATTTTAATTTCAAGGAGAAAATCACATTTCTAGAAAGTTGAGTTTCTGCCCTTTCATATGACCCCTCAATCAGGAAAAATAAGCAAGGAATGACAAAGCTCTGTTTAAAGTAGTGCTTGCATTTCCATAATGTACATCAGTGAAGTACCTCTGTCCATTACATTTATGATATCAAAAATTAAACCTGTTTTGTTCTTCTTTCAAAGTTTTTTATCTTCGTTTCCTGTCAGATTTCTCCTGTTTCTTATCTTGCATAATACAGATGGGGTATTTGGCCAAATTGAACGCAAAGAGAATGAGACACTGAGAGAGAGAGAGAGAGAGAGAGAGAGAGAGAGGAAGATGGAAGAGAAAGGGTCAAGTTGATGATAGGACCCCTCCTATACACCCTCTCTCTAATCGATGGCATTGTTATATCATTACTCGAGATCGGTGATCACCCCCCTCCCCCAAGGTATTATTGCTAACCCTCTTCAATATACCCTGGCTACGTCGTGGGTTGTAAGTTATTGTGTATGATTGATCAAAAGTCTAGTACTGACCGACATCTAATCAGGAAACATCCATAAATCCAGATGCGTACGAACTTATCTAACAATTATTGAAGCCTATTTTAGTACTAAAATTAGCATGATAATGCGAGATTATCGTCGATTTTTTTTTTCTTTGACAATAACAAGGTATACAAGGTGTCTCAAAATTGCAACGAGATTTTGATTGGCAACTTAACCCTCGTTAAAATTTTATAAGTAATTTTAAGTAGTGACTCCGTATCTTCTTGTGCATTTAACAATGATCATATTAAGCAAAACATAACAACGTATTATCTTTTTTGTAAGATGTAACTTTTTCCAAATGTTGCGAATAGAGCGCGTTGAATAGCATAAGTGCGCAGTATGCTTATGCCTGTAGCCTGGACATTTCGTGGCAATTAACCTTATTTTTCATTACAAAAAGGCTGTTTAGAAATAAGATGTCATTTACCAAAAGGAATATGGTGATTTAGTGTCTTTAGTATCTCTTTTAGAGGGGCACAGTGGCCATATGAAAAATCTAAATGTGTGGAGGAAAAAAAGTGACATTTAAAGCAATATTAATAGATCTTTTGAGAATGGATATCATAAAATCGAAGGTTGCTGTGTGTTGCTTAACTTGAAATAAAATATATAAAGAGTAGATTTTGAGACATTTGTTATATTTCATGACATTGATTGGTGTTCAATGTGTTAGTACATTGCTAACTAAAAATTGATTGAAATGTTAATGAGTGAAAGAAGTAAATAAATGATCTTTAATCCACCAAAAACTTCTTGGAATATTTTCTTTCGCATGTTGTACCTGAAGGCAAGATATTTAATAGCCGAATGTATTTTCAATTGCGCCATTTTTCGATGAAGGCGTACATGGAACGATTTCCGGTTCCTGTACCCAAGCATCATCACACGTGCGTCATGAGTTTGTGATACATTATGGGACATGGCTGTCGACATATCGGGACATTGTGAGCAATATTGTCAGTCGAATATCCTGCCTTTAAAATATATTTGAATACAATATTCAAGATGTCATAATAATGTCTGCGTGTTTTAAAAGATGACGTAAAGGGCCATTGAGATGACTCAAGTATAGGGGAAGTTTTTGCGATGGTTTTAAAGGGCCCGATGACGCTACCCTGTAAGGGTAAACAAGACATTCTCCTCCTCTTCTTCTACTTCTTCCACTTCTTCTTCTTCTTATTATTATTATTATTACACTGTTGCACATAGAGTTGGAAAGGTTTTTATAATCTCGTTTAATGAATAAATTATAAGTTTATATCTTATCAGCACTGTATTGGGCAATCTCCATGACTCATTAGATTGTTCAGTAAAGTTCTGAGAAGATGTAAACTTTACCTCTGAAGATAAATTCAGATTCAGATTCAGATTCAGATTCAGATTCAGATTCAGATTCAGATTAATTTTATTGGTCCATTTGGAAATTCAGTTTGTCTGCATTACATAGAGCACATGAACAAAATATAATACACAAATAGATAATACACAGTAGCAAATTTAATATATCACAATATTGTCACAATAATGTCATGAAAGAGGTAAAAAACAAAGTGTAATATTATCATTATTATCATTATTATTATCATCATCAACTACACCATCATCGTCATCATTACTACCTCTTAACAGAAAAAGGAAGATACGTAGGAGAGAAAAGGTCGCACTAGTATATTCTTACTATATTTAACTGATTTCGATGTCTTGCTACTGACATCTAGATGTGTTGCTAATGACATCTAGCGTGTGTACATGTATGAAGACAACTTTTTTAAACTTTTTTTTTTATTTATAGTCATGGCATCCCTTTATGAAATAAAAAGTTTAGTGTCATCCTGATCATAAATATATTACAGAAGTTTCATTTTGCATCACTGTGGTACTCGTTTCAAATACTTTGTTTTCACGAAATTTACGTTTATTTCAAAATGAATTCCAAGTAGATCTTTGATTTATTTCTAACGGGGCACCCCTAAAGATGTCTTGCAGCACCCAGGTTGAAAACGCTTTATTTGGGCTTAATGTTGTTTGTCATTGGTAAACCTTTTATTCCCACCTTGAAAAGGTCATTTTCCTTTAGTTATTGGCGATATATTTAAAAAAAAGTGCCATTCCCTCAAATAGAATGGAAAAGAAAACAGACAATATATAACTGTTGCGTAGCTTAAATCAAAGATCCCCATCGGTATCCCCCGTTTTGAAAGTTTGCAAGGGTTGAAAATGTCTTTGCAGGGAATCGAACCAGGGTCTCTGGCTTAGAGTGCCACTGCCTCAACCACAAGGCCATGGAGACGGATAAGTGGTGACACCAGATTCAAGTGACCGATAGATTGACATATCTTCAACCGTCATTAATGTACATGTATTACTTTGTAGGGGCAGGTGAGTTTACAGTGAAGAGAATGCTTTGAGATAACATGTATAAACTCAAACAATTATCAACTTTAACAGCTTTGGCAACTTTATGGTATAGTGGAAATAAATACAATGCGAAAAGAAATGAAACGAGTATATGTATACATACTGGTTCAAACAAAATTATGAACAGAACAAATAATTTATTTAACTCTTCAATCAAACACAACAATGTAACTGGATGCATGCGCTACGATCCGTAGACCTAATCAAAAGATACCATAGGTGATCTAAAGAAAATTGAAACAGTCACAACCCCAACTCACCCCCACCTTTCTAATGAAAAGAAAAGAGAAATGAAACGAGGAGATAACTTTATTAAGGACTAAAATTATATTCCGGGACCCCCCCCCCCACACACACACACACACGCAAACGCAAACACCTTCGGACCTTGGGAGGAATGGCGGGTTTCCCCAATTCTTCTTCAGAAATATTAAGATCGGGCAATGTTCCTTTTTAATAAACAATCCCGGATCTGCCCTTCTGAATGCGACTAATGGTATTGTTCATCAAAGGTTAGATCACATAAGAGGTGCAGTAAGCTTTAGAAGCATGGTGCTCATGTCAACATGGTACAACATGGAATTGATGGGGGAAAATTGGACAAAATTTTCTGAGGTAGTATTACACATTTGTATGAGGGTATTTGTCCCGATATTTGGACGATTGATAACATACCAGCCAATTCCGAAACCTATGAAAATCCCTATAATCCCCAAAGTTATCCCTTTAGATGGCTTTGGCTGAAATGGCTTTGGCTGAACTTGACACTGACGCGCAAAGATTTCAAACTGTGTCCAATCGTTTTTGTCCATGTCCACCTGAGTGTCAAGTCTACCACAGATCATGGCCAGTTTGGAGCACTCAAAGGTTGTAAATTGTTTGCTCCGGAAGCTGTCCATGTAGGTATTTTTGATCCGGATATGATTTTCATGCGAGGACCCGGCCATGGGCCATGGAAAGTCATGTGCAATAACACAGACGTTGTCCTTTCCTGTAACAGGGAATATAACATGACACTTAAGGACAGGTTCTCACAATATGTAACAGTCTTAACATTAACATATATTTGGCTACTGAAAACAATAAAAAGGAAACACAGAAAGAAACACCTATTACATTATGAGCCCTACCTTAAAATAACCAAACATGTATTCTAAAGTTACCATCCAAATCTACATTTTTACCTCCAGTTCCCAGATAAAATCCCTATATAAAAGATACTTCATAGTTAAATTTTTGCCACAATTTTCGATCAGAATTATCATTATCGTAAACAAAAGAAATTAAAGCTGATTAAGTACGAGGTCAAAAGATCCTATGTATTGTTCATACCGAGTTTTTGTTTGACATGAGGCAGGAACTTGTCATAGAGTGCATCCATAACATCTGTGATTGCAAAGCGACGGTTGTTGATAGAATGACAGATAATCAGACCATCAAGTTCTGCACTTGAAAGACGAAAGCTGTCCAGATCATTGTACGGTAGCTCAATGAATCGGACTGTTACATTAGTCAGACTTGAAACCTTTTCCATGAAAGCCTCGATGTTAGACCTCAATGCTGACGTGCAGATGCCTATTGTAACTGGTTTCGCCATGGAGGATGGTGTCTCCATCTGTAAATAGATGAAAATAACAGAATGAGAATCAAGATTATTAAGAACGAAAAAGAGAAATGCCCAATGTACAATTTAATTTTGTGAATGTGGATCATAAACCCCTTGTAACACCAATATAAAAACAAATTTGTGTATGGTATACGGGTCGGGACGTGGAAATCGAAATTTGAAAGAAAAGGAGACAATATAACAAAAATATATAATTCGCACCCCCCCCCCCCTTCCCGACGGGCCTGTGTCTAAATATCTAGTGAGAAATACATGCTGAACTAGTAAACTGTTTAGATGAACACTTCCAGATCGCCCCCCCCCCCCCTCCCCTCCTGACTCAAAGCCAAAGGCCTGGATGCGCCACCGTCTCTTCCTTTACACACAATAGACTTCAGGTTATTCAATCGTATGCAAACGGGATTATGAAAATAGCTATACTCACCGTCACGCCACGTCCAATTGTTCTGAAGCTCCTGCACGTGCGTACTTCGATATCCCTTTTCCACGTTACATTGCATGTATATCATGTACATTAATAGTACATTCATGTGCAAGTTCAGTCTCGCCGCCGGTCGACGATCAGAACGGGGATTCCCCGAGGTCACGCTTTAGTCTCACTTCAGTTGTAATTGTTAGTTTAAAAATAGATTTTACTGACATAACGGAAGGAGAAATCACAGACCGTAGAATGACTCCTGAGCAGTGGCCGAGCTATACAGGAGGGGAGCATGTGGCCTTAAAGGGCAAGTCCAATCCAAAAATAACTTACTTTCAATATAAGCAGAAAATTCAAATCAGACAAACCAGTCAAAAAAAGTTTGAGCTAAATCGGATAACTAATAAGAAAGTTATGAATTTTTGATGCGAAAGTTAATGTGGTTGGATGAGCAAGTGTGCGCTGTATAGTAAACGTGACGCCTGGCTGGAATGCTCCACAGGGAGTCAATAATGTGCATACATTGTGTGAGGTAAGCCTGAAGCCGATGACCGGTGTAATAATATATATCTGTAAGGGCTTTGAGAGGGCCTGCAATCCTGAACAGCGCTACAATTAAAAGAACGAACTACACTGTTGGTCATACGGTGGAATAATTATTTTTACCCTGGCAATTTATGGAATGATTTTGACAATGATGTATTCTTAATAGATCTAGATAATAGTATACATTCTCAGATTTTATTTGAAAATAATTTGTGAGTGTTTGTTTTGCATGACTGCTAAAGCATGTGTATGCTACTATGCTAATCAATTAGCGGACCTACGTCCTTAAGTCACAACTGACAGTAATGAGGATTAATGCCTCATAAAAGGGCACTGATATAGCACATCGACACGATTTTGTTCCTGGGGGCTCACAGTAACGAGGCCATTGCTTAGCCACTGAATCATGACTGTACGCATCGGGGGCTAGGGTACGTCGCCGCCCCCATAAATACAAAACAACTAAGAAAATGCAATAAATTATCAATAATAATTCATTGCATTTTGCCCCGACCCCCCAAATAAAACAAATCCTGTATGTGTGCATGCCTTGAACCATAAAGCATGGTCCTACAGAGGAATTTTGCCTTGTTGGGGACAGGGGGAAATTGCAATATTATTTATTGCATTTTCTTTGTTTGTTTTTTGTATTTGTGGGGGCGGCGACGTACCCTAGCCCCCGCTGCGTACACTCATGATTCAGTGGCTAAGCAATGGCCTCGTTACTGTGAGGCCCCAGAATAAAAACCGTGTCGATCAGCTATATTAGTGCCATTTTGTGAGGCATTAATCCTCATTACCTTCAGGTATGACTTAAGGACGTAGGTCCCCTAGTTGATTAGCGTAGTAACACACACATTCTTTCAGTCAGGCATAACAAACACTCGCAAATTATTATTAAATAGAATCTGAGAATGTATACTATTATTTAGATCTATTAGGAATAAATCATTGTCAAAATCATTCCATAAATTGGGGTGAAAATAATTATTCCACCTTTATGAAAAACAGTGTATTACTATCATTATTATTATTATTATTATTATTATTATTATTCTATAGGGGGTAATTTTCAGGGGTGGGGGTAATTGTCTACGGGGGGGGGGGTAATTTTCCTGGAGGTTATTGTCTGTGGGAGTAGTTTTCCGTTTATTGTCATCACATGCTCACTGTCTCCCAAGTGGTTGTATTTGGAATAGGGTCGTCTCGTAGGGAGGGATTGGGAAAGATTTGTATATATTTTGTTTTACTATTATAGAAGATTATTAGTAATTTATGTAGGCATATCCACAATAAAGCACACGCAACGGTGACATGGACCCTACAATATAACTTAAACCTATACTAGGCCATCTATATCTATACCCGTAATTTTTTTAGGTAGGCCCTACCTGTTATGAACAGACTAATTACATAGATTAATGAAATTATTCATAAATTTCCACCTACCCAGAAAATAAAAGCTAGATAAACAAATGTCCTAATTTATGATTTTGCACTTGGGGGTGGTGCGCACTCCTTTTTTTTTTCTCAACCCCCTTTTTAATTGCCGTTTACCGTTAAAATCCGATTTTTAAAAATTTCTTTTAAAGAAGGCGTAAAAAACTGTAAAAAAATAAGTATAATATTTCAGAAGAGACATGCAGTAGTACATTCATTTGTGTCATTCCTGTTTATTGTAATTTTGACTTTCGTACTCATTTGTCTATGTTATACTAATATTTTAATATTTGTTATCCAATGTTGTAAACAAATTGAGAATGATCCTATACGTTTGGATTATAATCAACAACATTTAAATTGAGAGGGGAGGGGGGGGGGGGGAGAGAGAGAGAGAGACCATTTCAAATTCCAAATGGCATACCATAAGTTCAAAACCCATAACATGTGCCATATTAAATTTTCGATGCTGCTTTTAATTGTTTAATACTCCCCTGTAACAGGTATATGAATACATTAGCTGCTATTAAAATAGTACTGTGAATAATAGATGTAAGCTGGACTACACTAAATATTATGGAAGATCATGTAGCACCCACACATGTAATTAGGTAAGATATAATTCACTCTTTTTTCAGGGCCCTGGGAAGCGGCCCTGGGAAGCGGCCCTGGGAAGCACCCCATGCAATTTTTTTAATGATATATTTAAGATATGTCATTATGCTTCGTTTAAGAAATTGTTACACAGCAGTGTGAGATCTGACAAATTCAAGATTGCAAAATTAATAAGTTGTTTACGTGGAAGCATGCACTTTGGGGTATTCGTTAATTTTAGCTCGTAACTTTCTGCATTGAACGAGGATCATTACTTCTGTAGGACTACGATCATCGAGGATGGCTGCTCACACAAATTTATTTGTAATAGTCGGCAATGACGTTCACTAAGGCTGTTCTCTCACCCATGCTGAATGATCGTGTCTAAGCTTATTGTGATTTATGTTTCTTTGGAGAATGTTATTGTTATCTTGAATCTTGCAAAGCATTCCATTATCTATAATATGCCTTCATGTAGGTGAAAATGATCTTGCTCCCAGAAACACTTCCAAAGTCATAGCACTCACTTGTTACTGTGTAATTATTTATCCCAATATATTGTACTTATGTACCAGTACCCCCTAATCTGAACAAGTTAACACATACGTTTAAGAGAAAGCGGACATTCAATACCCATTCAGGTGTATATTGAATATCAGGCGCGGATCCAGGATTTCTTAGGGGAGGGGGCTCAACTTTTTTTTTTTTTTGCTCCCGAAAATTTGAAAAACGCGCCGGCCAAAAATTCGCTCAGTGGGGGGGGGGGGGGGGGGGGGGGGGGGGGGGGGGGGGGGGGGGGGGGGGGGGGGGGAGGGGGGGGGGGGGAGGGGGGGAGGGGGGGGGGGGATAGTGAGCACATTTTTTTTTTTCGATCCTCAAAAAAATTTCAATTTGCACCCCCCCCCCCCTTGAGCGCCAGGGGGGGGGGGGGGGGGCCCAACCCCCCAAAAAGGTAAAAATCACGTGATTTTACATGATTTTTTTTCTCCCCCCCCCCCCCCCCCTGGATCCGCCACTGTTGAATATATAGAATTACTGTGGTTGGCAGGACATTTATTGACTGAACTTGGTACTGACGGTGCAAAGATTAAGATTTTGGTAGAATTTACGACAAAAGCATACCATATAATTATTTTCATGTAACAAGTCAAAGATGTATATAGCACACGTTAATCAAAGATAATAATGATGCATAATTTCTGGGTTATTCGTTACGTACACTCTTATTAACTTTTTGTATTCATCGTATAAATCTTCAAACAACAATATATTCCTGTTCTCAATGTGAAAAGTGGTGTGTAAACGTGTTTGTTCTGTAATTATCTATCTTGTTTCATGGCAACTTTTTAATTTGTAGGTCCATAAATCCTACTAAAAGCTACTTTCTACAAATCCATAATGGGCTATCCAACCGTTTGTCTATACTTTACACATTTACTTACTTTCTTATCGTTTGAAATGTGTTTTATATGTATGTTTTTAAAAAAAAAACTTATATATATGGATTTCGGAAATAAAAACAAACAAACAAACTACAAATACATAATTGTCGTATAAACAATTACAATTTCTGAAATAACAAACTCAGTCCTTATAAGTTAACTAACTACAATTACGATACGATTATAATTATGTGTTCATGCTTTCCTGTTTTCCGTCACAAGGACGGGAGATGTCTCTATATAATTATCAAAGATAAAAGGTGAAATATACCTACTTAAAAAAGCAAGACAAATATTCAGGGCCATGTATCGCTTTGGGGGTGTCCTTAGTCCAATATTTCCCATTGTTATAAGCATTTTGGATATTGCTTAGGCCTATTTAATTTTATGAATAACAACCCTCATTCCCTATTATGAATAGCGACCCTAACTATATATTATGAATAGCGACCCTCATTTCGTATTATGAATAGCGACCCTCTACTCCTATTATGAATAGCGACCCTCATTTCGTATTATGAATAGCGATTTTCTTCTCGTTTCATGAATAGCGAACCTCTACTCCTATTATGAATAGCGACCCTTTAATTATTCCTATTATGAATAGCGAACATAAGTCTATTATGAATAGCGACCCTCATTTCGTATTATGAATAGCGAACCCCTACCCCTATTATGAATAGCGATCCTCATTTCATATTATGAATAGCGACCCCCATTTCGTATTATGAATAGCGACCCTCATTTCCTATTATGAATATCGAACCTCTACTCCTATTATGAATAGCGACCCTCTACTCCTATTATGAATAGCGACCCTCATTTCGTATTATGAATAGCGACCCTCTACTCCTATTATGAATAGCGATTCTCCTCTCGTTTATTTAATACGAAACCTCTACTCCTATTATGAATAGCGAACCTTTATTACTAAGAATAGCGAACATAAGTATATTATGTATAGCGACCATCATTTCGTATTATGAATAGCGAACCTCTACTCCTATTATGAATAGCGACCCTCTACTCATATTATGAATAGCGATCCTCATTTCGTATTATGAATAGCGACCCTCATTTCGTATTATGAATAGCGACCCTCTACTCCTATTATGAATAGCGACCCTCATTTTGTATTACGAATAGCGAACCTCCACTCCTATTATAGTGACCCTCTATGTCATGCAAAATGACACGGTATAGAATTAGAAACAATCCGTTGCCATATCTAGTCAGATTGCTAAACGCTCATAGTAATGAATAATTACCAGTTTCACCTTCGACGAACACATTGTTCTCCACTATTTTCACTCTCTCAAGTCACATCGTATAGCTGGCAAAAGTTGTTTATACCGCAATAAGTGGTGATTTTTACCAAAATGTCCGGCAAAGGGGTACTTTTCACGCACCAAAGTCCGGCTCGTACACTGACCTCTACACACCGGACTTAGGGGGGTGTTTTTAAAAGGAGGGAACATGCATATGCGTACCCTAAATAACACTGGGGGGGGGGGGGCTGGGGTTGCTTAGAAGGTGTTTCATTTGAAAATGAAAAGAGAGGATGCGAGATAAGAGTGTGTAGAGGGAAGCTAGCTTTCCAAGGACCGCACACTAGCTAGCACGTTTTTTTAATATGGAGTTCTTTTTAAAGAGTGAACTAAAAAAAAATGATAATAGGTAAGAGACGTTGTTGCATCAAAGTTTAAGTTGCGGTGGCCACAGGGTCTTTTCAAAGTTTAGTGCTGATTCAGTTTTATCTCTGTTTTTTAAAACCCGGGCAAATTAGGGTTAGGGCATAAAAGTTTAATTAGTTATGATTTCACATGATTAATGTTAAGAGGTATAAAAACATTATATATGTATGATTTTCAGACAGAATTTGTTGGAAGTTGTTTTAATACTTTGAAAAATGAAAGTGTTGATAATTTATGCGAAATAAGTGCTGTATCTACGTACTAGTAGCTCGGCAGGCTATATCCCAAAATATTGTATATTGTTATTTTGTCAGTGCTGTGCTAGCTGCGGAGCGGGGAGACCCTCTTCATGGCTTTCTTGTTCTCCAGCTCTCTGTCGTGTTACTCTCACTCTTTGTCTCCCCTCCCCCCCCCCCCCCCCCCCCCCCCCCCCCCCCCCCCCCCCCCCCCCCCCCCACTCCGGGGTCGGAATGACCTCATGCGTGTTACCAAAATGTCCGGTAAAGGGGTACTTTTCGTGCGACAAAGTCCGGCCCGAGAATTGTAAGAAAAGGGGGTGTATTTGACTCTCACCCGGAGATTTCTTTAAAAAGGGGGCGTTTTTTCTTTTTCCCTCTCATCTCTTTGGACTCCTGAGAAATTATTCCGAATTTAGGGGGGGGGGGTAAATTGAGCATTTTTCCGAATTTAGGGGGGTCTCCAAGGCAGGAAAAGCCCGCAAAAGGGGGGTTCGGAAATGTTGGCAGTCCTCAGATAGGGAGTGCTTTCAAAAAGAGTGAACAAGCATATGCGTACCCTAAATAACACTGAGTGGGGGGGGGGCCGGGCCCTCCCCCCCTCTCTCTCTCTCTCTCTCCTCTCTTTCTCTCCCTTTTCTCACTCTCCTTCTTTCTCTCTCTCTCTCTCTCTCTCTATTTGTCTGATATAACTTCCTAAATGAAAGGGTGACATGTGAATGCATTTTTGAATAATGTTACTATAGAATTTTACTTTTTTTTTAACTAAATAAGATTTAATTGTACAAAATCATGTTTGACTTTTTAATAGTTCCCAAGATGCTGCACATTATATCGAATACTACAATTGCAACCTTTTACCCATGTTTTTATGCAAAACTTATCTTATTTTTATGCAATATTCTACATGCATGTACCTTTTACTAATTGGCCCAAATACAAAATGTTCTGCATTTTACCTAAAATGTATAATTTGTTTAAATCATTGTAGCATCTATTTGATTTTATAATTCCTGGATTTGGTTTCTGTTGTTGTCTCCGTTTCTGTTACTGAAGAAAACACCATAAACATACCATACCCATCTGGCTATGCATTTTCCAACTAAAACATTTAATTTAATTCATTTAATTCTTTTGAATATCAAAATGTATTACTATTCATATATTGTAGAAGTTCAATATATAATTTTATTGCAAATATAGTAATACAATTCAGATTTCTGTATATCAAGCAATTTGCCAAGGTCGTTGAAGCACAATTATATATCATATGTAAAAAAGAATTCCAATTTTACTACCATAATGCTAGTTGCTACCGTGCATAATGTTTTACATGTAAACTTACTTAGTCACCGATGTATACTTTGTAAAAGAAACTGCAATTCGGCTATCGGGCCGCTAATGTTTTTTAATAAAATAAACCATTTTAAATAAAATAAAAAATATGAATAGCGACCCTCATTCCGTATTATGAATAGTGACCCTCTACTCCCATTATGAATAGCGACCCTCATTCCATATTATGAATAGCAAACTTCTTCTCATATTATGAATAGCGAACTTCTACTCCTATTATGAATAGCGACCCTCATTTCATATTATGAATAGCGAACCCCTACTCCTAGCGACCCTCATTTCGTATGATGAATAGCAACCCTCTCGTCGTTTTATGAATAGCGACCCTCTCTGTGTATTATGAAAAGAGACCCTCATTTCGTATTATGAAAAGCGACCCTCGTCTCACGTTATGAATAGCGGTCCTTATGATTAACGGTCCTTATTTCTTTATGAATAGTGACCCTGTTTAGTTTGAAAATAGATTTTACTGACATATAACCTTGATCATTAAGATGAAGAAAATAAAGAAGAACCATACCACAGAAAAAACTCCTGAAAAGTGGCCAAGCCATAAGGGAGAGGGTGGGGGGGGGGGGGCATGTGACCTTAAATGTAATCACCAAAACAAAATTAATAATAATAACGGGAGAGAAGATAAATGAGAGGAGTGGGGGGGGGGGGGCGGGGCGTGGAAATTGTCTCCTCCACATTTCCTCCAGTCCATAGTCTTGTTCTCTTGCAAACCCTCTCCCTAACTAGTAATTTAATCTATTTTCATCTCTGTATTATATTTCAGAAGGATCGACATGCAGTAGTACATTATTTTTTGCCATTCCTGCTTATTGTAATTTTGACTTTTGCACTCAATTATCTCTGTTACACTATTTTTTGAGTTTTGTTAGCCAAGGTTACAACAAATTCAAGAATGATCCTATTCGTTTGTAATATATTCAACAATTGTTTTAATGAATTGAATTATAATAAATTGTCATATGTGGGGGGGAGGGGGGGGGGTTAAATTCCAAGTGGCATAGTAGGCCTACCATAAGTACAAGACCCATAAAATGTGCCATTTGACATTTTCGATGCAGAAAGCACCTAAAATGTTTTCAGGAGAGTATGCTGCTTGTCATTGTTCAATACTCCCCTGCAACTCAAAGTATACATTAGCTGTTATTAAAATAGTAATGTGATTAATGAATGTGAGCTGGTCTACACTAAACACTATGGAAGAGCACCCACACATGTAATTAGCCAAGATATAATTTATTTATTTTGTAATGTTGAAGAAAACATATCCAATCAATTATTCAATCAGTTAAACAGTTATTCTAGAATTTAATAGCAAATTTCACCCATTATTTCAAAACATAATATAGTCACCTACTGTACGATTAGCCACTTCACTAGTAATATTTCATGTGTAAGAAATAATATAAAGAATCTAGAAAAAACAAAACAGAAACCAAATGTAACTAATTTAAACTTGAACGTTTGTAGCAAATCAATCCATACATTTATCATTCTTGGAAAGAATAAGACAACCACTGCGGGTGATAAGAACAAAAAAGGAACTATTGACTCATAGTCAGACACACCCATACAGACAAAAACAAAATTTTCAGTTCACTTCTTAAGCCCTTTCACACCGGATCTGCGTAGAGTTGCGTAGTGTGGCGTACCGACTACGCCAAAATTAGACTGCGTATCCATGAAAAAATGTTACTTTGGCGTAGTCTCGGCGTAGTCTCGGCGTAGTCCCTGTGTATGTTATGCTTAGACTGGCGTACGATTGCGTATGGTTACGTACCCTGTGCATAGGCACCTACGGTGCAGCGTATGCATTTGGCGTATACCTACGCGTACGATTAAGTATAATAGGCATAGGGTTGCGTACCGTTACGTAGGCCTGGCGTACAGGTTTGCTTACGATTGCGTACGGTTGCTTTCTGTGTGCGCAAGTTTTTACTGCTTCGTCGCACTGGCGTAGAGCAACGTACTATATTGCGTAGGCATGGCGTAAAGTAGCGTAGTGTTGCGTAGAGTTTGCGTACTTTCTGTGTCTAGTGTCTACGTCAAAAGTACGTGAAAAATAATAAACATTTTTAATTTTTTGCGTCCATCTCGCATACCCCTTTGCATCCCTCTGCGTATAGTTACGTACGCCAACTTAGGGTAGCATACGCTCAGCATAGTCGGTACGCAACACTACACAAGTCTATCTATGGTCCGGTGTGAAAGCCCCTTTAGCCTACTTACTTTATAGTTTAGCTGAATGTACATACAACCATTGTGCTACAGCGTTAATTGTCAAAGCCACAAGCATTAAGACATCTTCAGGTTTGAGTGGAAGCGGGAGTGGGGCAATCGACTGGCATCATCCATTCCATTTTACACACAATAGAAAAAATCATTGGGAAGGGGCAAGTGCCACCTGCCCTCTGGAATTGAAACCAACAAATTTCTTGCACTTGACAAATGGGTCGATGGACAAAAGGGGGCAAGTACCCGCGTTACATATTATCTTCATATCGACACATTTTCTGGCAATGAGAATAAGAAGTTGTGCAATATCTTCATTATTTTGTAGAGATTTATGTTCACATTCCTTCCTGTTCAGAATAGATGGTACATGTATGATTAGTTGCCCCTGACCATTTTCGCGAAGCACACTTCTCCTTTTTTTCTTTACTTCTCATTTAAATATATTCAAGAAAAAGAGGTAGAGAATTTCATTGCATATTCTAAGCACATAATTATACACAGCTAGTTCGCAAGATAATACTTTTATATAACAATATTGATGACAACCTCTTCTGGTTAGAAAGTTGCAAATGTAGATTATCGTCTCAATAAAGGATGTCAGGTATGCATTGATTGAAAATATCAACAATTTGATTAAAACTGAAAGTATATTTCAAACACAAATACTAAAAAGAAAACCTTCCTAGATCTAGATCTATACAATGTTGTAATTTATAAGCTATTCATGTCACTGGGATTTATATGCTAAACTATTGGGTGCTGATGGTCAAATGCTTTGAAAAAAGCTACATATCACAGGGTATATTATCTGAATCAGAGAAGCTTTTTAAAAAAGTTTAAAAAATACAAAAAAAACCTAGTACAAATCAAATATACAATATATTCTGGCTGCTCTCTTTAAACTATGCATCAAATGCATAGAGAGAGCAAACAAATGAGTTTAGAACCCCTGCAATCTAGGTTAACAATATAAATTTGATATTCTCTCCAAATCAAGCTTCAGGCACGTTGGCAATCTCGGTGATGATGGTCTCGTATATGGAGATACCGCGGAGAAAGACGTCTTCGTTGAGGTATTCGTTGTGATCGTGGAGTAAGATCGGAGTGTTGTTCATGGGTGAGAAACCCAGGCAAGGAATGCCCAAGGCTCGGATGTACCTGCTGTCGGTCCCTGCTGGAAAAATCACAACCTGTAGCTCCGCTTTCCTGTTATCAAGGCAACACAACAAAAAAATGCTTGTTACAAATCGACCATTGTCGTAATGTAACCAAATCTAATGCATACCGGAACATCTTTCATTCATCTGTTACTAGTAATTGTACAGGGCATTTCAATAACGAGTCTACTCAACTTTGGTAGCTCCTAATTCTGTCCAATGATACTCTATTCATAATATTTCTGCCACGAGTGAATGATCACCAGGGTCCTTAAAAAGTGTTGTCAAAATCGCCTTGTTCCAAGTTTGGGCTTTAGGGACCAATATGGGCGACAGTAGGTCAGGCCATACGCATTTGCTTCTTTGGTCTTAAATCCTTTTGAAAGTTAAATTGTGCCTTGTTCTTCATGCTTCATTGTTTAAAATGATGCACTGTAACTAGTCTTTCACAGAACTTTGTTTCAATCGACAGGATAACCTTTAATTTTTTTAAACAGCCTACAATCCACTGACCGAACTACTAAATTTGAGATTCGCATAGATAGTGATCTCACACTTCAAACATTCATAACTTCCTTACTATTGGTCAGATTCATTTCAAACTTTTGCCATTCTGTTTCTGTTATTTTCTGCTTTCATACAAATCAACTTATTAAAAGGGTTGGATAGCCCTTTAAGAAGATGTTGACATTATGATCTTACATGACGAGAAAGCATAATTTGATCTCATTACATGATACATAATTACATGAATCAACCTGCATGAAATTTGTATTGATTGTGATGGTTCATCGCTATTGGCAAGCAATCAGTCATGCCATCTCCGCTGTTTTTCACTTACTCTTTCGCACATGCTTTCTTGAATGTCTGCCACCAGGTGTTATCGTCACCCAGAGGGGTTGTGTAGCTGACTCCTTTCTACAATGGATGGAAAACAATGACAAAGAGTTCCAAGTGAGACACGAGGGATATAACTACGTTCTTCTATCTCTCTCTCTCTCTCTCTGGTGCTCTGCTGTACAATAGGACTTAAACATGAAAAACACTCTGTTTGTTTCTGTCTTTAGCTCTTTCCTTCACCTTTTGGCAAGTATCATTTCATGCTAAATATATTACTCATTGCGGATATAGTATCGAAAATAATATCGCTAGTGACGTTTGTTTGTCTCGCAATGTATGGTCACCAAGAGATCTAAAAGATCATGACGTTTCATGTGCCGCTGCTACACTTTGTCAGGTGATAAAATATATTGTAAGCAAGCGTGTTTTATACTCTACGGGTGGACCAGCGGTCAAATAATTAGAACAATAACGGACAAGGCCTATTGGTCGAGGCACACGAGTGCTCAACCAATCAACAGGCCGTCGGCTCGACTCGCCTGCTGGGCAAGAACAAGGCAAGAACAGGGAGTGTCATGGCGTGTCATATGAGACCAGGGGAGTGTTTCACAAAGACTAAGATCGACTTTAAGTTGGACTTAACTACGGCTGGCCGTTCGTGCCACTGTTTGATCTCACCATTTACTGGCATTGGTCTCTCAAGGGACGTACAAACCATGGTCACAAATCTATAGAATTAACATTTTTTTATAATGCATAATTGAAAGAAAAGATATCATCTAAAGATCATAATGGTGAGAGCAAACAGTGGCATTCATGAACAGCAATAGTTAAGTCCAACTTAAAGTCGATCTTAGTCTTTGTGAAACACCCCCCAGGACCCCATTAATTGTTCCCCTAAAAACAATGTTATCGCCTTCAATAAATTGCCAATAATGTAAGATAGATACAATGTTTGGTGAGATACTATTATTATAATTGCAGCAAGATCAGAGATAAAATAGTTTTTTTTTCTGATTGTAATTTGATTTTTGTGTCACTGGGCCAAGGTTTTAAACACGTAGGTTATACACATACCCAATCTTTAATTAATATAATGATTTTACATTCTCTGGAACCAAAAAATATTTCTAAGATTCAATTCTTTTGTAAAATTCAGGCTGAGGATGGAGTATAAAAACTTGATAACATATCCCATTTAGGCATAAATAGTCAATTATGACTGAATTGCCTTAAAGCTTATCTGCACTAGTTTGGCCAGGAGGGATAAGACCACACAGCGAGGTCACTGACAGGTGGCTATCGCATCAACTCAGCTCTCAAATAACATAAGAAATAGAGGATCATGGGGCACCAACAGGCACCGATTGGGGTAAGTTTTCTATATAGAGGGAGCAAGAAGCTACAAGTAGTACAGTGGGCCTTTAAGGCCCAATCAAAAAAGAAAAAAGAAAACAAAATCATTTAAATACTATGTGCCTTTCGTTCCTTTTATTTTGGTACTGTTAATGTGTTGCCCTTTGTGAAATACTATCTTATTTCCTTATCTTGCTTTGCTTGGTAATAAGCCACAAGTCATTTAAAAAATTTAACAAATTGCAGACAATGCATTCTTGAAAACTCAACTTAGGGTAAGTTCCCTTTGCATTATAAGAATCAATAGATGAATAAGTTTGATTAAATCTTTGGACTCACCCGAGGTAGTTTATAAGTAACACCAGGCCCGCCTGATGCTACCAGTTCATCTAGTTTCTTCACCATATCCTACAAGAAAATCAGATAAAACAGAGAAATAAGAACCATAAATAAGGACTGAAACTGGAATCCAAATTTACACGTCACACAAATAAAGTACAGTGAAACTCCATATCTACAATTCATGGCTTCCTTAGATACAGGCAGTTAGTCTAGAAATGCTACCTCATTAGTGTAGGATCTAAGAATCCCAAGGTAGGCCAAATAAATATAAAATCTAGTTTCTCGTCACCTCCTCCTTCCCTATTTTTTTTTGGCCTGCCTTAATTTCTTTGTTAATCAATATTTTCTGTTGCGAAAGGGTTAAAAGCACCTTAACAAGGCAACCCATTAACTATTAGGGTAGTGTGTGTCTGTGGGGCAAGAGGGGGGGGGGGGGGGGGTCCTATTATCTTCTCATTTTCGACTGTGCAATTTCAGCCTGTTCTTGGATGAGTGTATGGTGTAGTTTTAAATCTTGATTACAGACAAAGCGATGAGTATATTTACCTCGGGGGTCGTGTATGGAGAGACACGTAGATCAAAGAGAACTGTGAGGTCACTGGGCACAACATTATTGGCAACTCCTCCCTAACACACAATAGAGATAGAAATTATGAACACTATGTACTGAAAACAACAGCAACAATAATAATAACACAATGAGATTGGTTAGGAAAACACAAGGACAGTTCGATGATAGTGTTATACAAAGTTGTATGTGATAAAGCACTTGGTGCTCTTTGTTAAAGCAAAGTCTTTCAAGAATATTTAATACACATGCAGACTTGGTCCTGTTTTCCTTACTACTACTACATGAACTACGTCTACTACTACTAATATGACTACTACTACTACTACTACTACTACTACTACTACTACTACTGCTACTACAACGATTACTATTACCATGACTACTACTACGATTACTACTACCACGACTACTACTACTACTACTACTACTACTACTACATCTACTCCTATGTCTAGTACTACTACATCTACTACTACTACTACTACTACTTCTAATCTTAGTACATCAATAACTGCCCCTTGTACATCTTGGTGGCTTTTAGTAAGACCCCAGACCATTCAATGGAAAAAAGAGGAAAATATCATATCAAAAAGCCTCCTTCTTGAGGCATTTTCAAGGATGTTCACATGAAAAATTTGACTTACGGAAGGCTCAAGGGTCTGCCTCCCTGAAGCATTCCTTAACCTTTGACATCTCACACATTTTATATACTGCAAAGCATCCCTGATTTTCAGATATCACAGATATTTTCACAACATGCAGTACCACTAAATCTAGAAAATCACTGTCTACAGATTCAATACTGATGGCCATAAAATGGCTCCTTTCCCAATGATTTCAGACCAGTTGTGTGTAAACCTCTTAATGTTGAGTGTGCACCCTGTGGTTAAGAATTGCTACTCTATGCTAAGACTTACTGATAACTTGACTAAGTTGACAGTGTTCACATCTCCTAATACAGTAACACCGCTCTTCTTTGCTCTGTGTTAGGAGAGAGCACAAATCAAAATTACTAGCATTGACTCTAATAAGTGTACCTTTTGAAAGGGTTCGAGTTCGAGATCATTGACGACAAAATAGTGCATCCGGAGTCAAAAGTTCTGCAGTAGAGTCTGTACTTTATTGTTTCTCATCGTTAAACACCCTTGGCCAATACTAGCCATAACGCTAAACAATAGCGACAATGCATGCTACCAAGCTCCATATCCACAGCTCGTAGAATTACAGCAGACTTTAAACAAAGTCTGGCCACATTTCCTCCTACAGCAGGCCAAATGTACATGTGTTTGCAGTCCTCATTACACAGCTTAGAATCGCTGCCTGCCTGCTATAGCATTCACCAATGCTAGCACTAACACAAAAGAAATGCACTCATGCAAAGAGTTCAATGAGAATCCCTTTAGGGGGTACTCCAATTGAGTAATAGAGATACCCCCAAAAAGGAGGGAAACGGTTCAATAGGAATTCCTCTAGGGGGGAAACAATTTGTCATTAACTAAAGCAAGGGGGGGGGGGCATCTGTGCACCACAAAATTCCTATTTAATTTACAACATAAATTCCAATTTACAACACTATCACCAAAATATGTTGTGCTCATGACTTGAAGAATTTCCATGTGGCTATACTGTATTCAAAATATGGGCTTTAAACATGACTTCTACAAAAATGTTGCCATTTCAATATAATCTATGCGAACAGTAATACATCTTGTTAATGCACACATACGCACTCACATAGGTCTTGTATCCTTTAATTTCTTCATACTTCTTAAAGGTTTACCTATAGAATACCAGGTAAAGTTTGTTTAGGTTGATTATATACATTATAGCTATACAAGTAATTTTTCAGGTGATTGGTACACTTTAAATCCTACTCTAAACACATTTTTCTTGAAAAAAAGTTTCAAACTATAAACAGTATGCTTCATTTCTTTTCCAGATATTCATAAAAAGTTAGTTAGTGTTTCAGAATCTGAGACAAAGTTACCGGATCCCTTTAAGCCCGGTGTAGATGAAAATAATTGCTTACCGTGCCTCTTCTTGATCCCTGTATTTCAAGAATGCAGTCAAGACTTTTTGCTAGGAAACAACAATAAGAAGAAGAAAAAAAAACACAAAATAAATACTATGTCAACCAAAAATAATATAGCACCGGTACATTTGTATGGCTGCTTCATATTTGGACGGGGACATTTTCGCAAGTGCAAAATCATAAATTAGAAATGTTGTTTATCTAGCTTATATTTTTCTTGTCAGGTGGAAAATTATGAATAATTGCATTAATCTGGTTAGTCTTTTTATAACAGGTGCCTGAATAATTAAGGGTATAGATAGTACCGGTTTATGTTACATTGAAGGGTCCATATGTCACAGTTGTGCTTTTTGTGGATATGCCCACATGATTTTATTACTAATAATCTTGAACTACTATAGCAACTACAATGTGAACTGTAAGTTATAAAACCAATTAGATTTGCTTTAAATCACTCAATTTAACAAAAAGAAAATATCATCATCAGCTAACATTTGGAAAAGATTGGAAAAAAATGGCACTGCAGGCAGGAAGGTCTGATAATAATGGAAATAACAGGATAATCCTATAAAATATAGAGGCTATCTGGTTGACCTGCATGCAAGATCAGGGACCCGCTTCACAAAGCCTTTTTTCAATGACAAATGACAAAAATCAATGACAAATCTGCTCATAACCAATCAGAAGCAAGGATTTCAGTAGCTTGAGGACACATTGACAGGGGATCAACCAATGGGCAGACATGGTTTCAGCTTACCAGTTTCACAGCAGCAGTATCTTGTATAAACTGAGATCCATGGCCCGGCCTTCCAACACAGGTCACTTCAACCCCTGCCAAAAAACAAAACAAACAAAAATCAATAAAAATGGCAAACCATAAATGGCAAATTGGCAAACTGAGGCAACACTTGCATGTTTTCTTCTTTCATTGCTACATTTCTCTAGTACAAAAGTCATAAATCTGAAAAGAATTTTCATGTCATGAACAATGTAGAAAAGTTTAAAGATTGTTAATCTTGTGATTAGTAATGATTTAGAACTTTTTAGTATGGTACCATGCAATATACCGGTAAGGATCTTTATTACACCTAGCACCAACAAGTAAAATGCAATATGGTAAAGCAAGAAAAGTTCAGAAGAGACAGAATCTTTGTTCATTATTCTCAGGCATCTGGACCATTATACAATTCAAAATTTATGTCAGTTTTATATGAGTATTGTACTCAGTTTTTGGCTTTTCAAGCCGATTAAATAATAAATAATAATAATGGTATGTCTTCTTTACCCAGGGTTTTGCTCAACTAAAGATAAAATTACTTAACTTTATCCCGGGATCAAACACTACATTCATATACAGTCAAACCTGCTTTAGTGACCACCTGTCTACAAAGACCACCTGTCTACAAAGGCCACATTTGTTGTTTCCCTTGAAAATGGTTTCTCATTGAATCATGTACTAAAGGATCCTGTCTACAAAGACCACCTGTCTACAAAGGCCACTTTTTGTGTTTCCCTTGGGTGGTCCCTATAGACAGGTTTGACTGTACATACATACAACCATTCATACATACATACATACACCCATCCATATATATTATCATGTTTGAGTTGTATGAACTCAAACACATACAACTACTTACACCAAATGGCCCGTTCTCCATGATAAAGACTGAACTTTTCTGTCGGGTTGGCAAGTCCTGATAATTTCAGAATGATTTTGAAATAAGAAATTAGAATAAGAAAGGAAGTTAGGAAGAAAGGAAGTTAGGAAGAAAATTAGGTAGCAACACCACATATACACCCACAAATGTATGAACTGTATCATTAAGTGGTTGGAATATAGTGAGAGTTTTTTTCTTGTTAGACCAATTCTACTCACTCCATGTTGCTCTTTCTCCATGGTAGAGTGAAAATTGCTCAGTTGGATTGGCTAGCCCTAAATTGAACCAAAAACAACAACAAGTCGTACTTCTACTTTCAAGCTCATGATTGAGATGTTTACAATGTTTAAATAGACAAATCCCATTTCAATGACTTTCCAGGTGCAATATAGCAATACTAGTTCATCATATTAACATGTTAAAGAAAAAAACTAGATGGAACTTTGACTGCGCGCAGTTGAAAATGATGCCTCCGCCATAGAGCCATTTTACAAACCAAAACAGAAGCAATTTTTAAAATTAAATTTTGATTGTAGTCCATTAACAGGTTCTCAGAATATCAAGATTACAAGCTATTTTTCATATACATGTATGACCATTTGATCTTTGACCTCATGACCCTAAAATCTAATCAGTTCATTGGCTCTGCAAGATACATACATATCTTGAGGTTGATGATAATCCGTTAATAGGTTCTAATGAAAATGCGATCACAAGCTATTTTTTGCATACAGAATGAGACCCATGACATTTGACCTTTGACCTCATGACTCCCAAATTAGATCAGTTCATTGGCTCAGCAAGATACATACATGTCATGAGTCTGATGATAATCCGTCAATAGGTTCTGATGATAATGTGATCAAGAGCTATTATTGCATACATTATGAACCCTGTGACCTTTGACCTTGTGGCCCCAAAATCTAACAAGTTCATTGGCTCTGCAAGATACATACATGACCCAAGTTTAGCTGGAATCCATCAATCAGTTTTTGAGATAACGCAATCACAAGAAAGGGACGGACGTATGGACGGACAGACGGACGGACAACCTGAAAACATAATGCCTCCTAATATAACATATTCATCCTCAAAGATTTTAGTTTTAAATAGTTGATATACAAATTTCTCTATCCCCACTGTCCACCTTAGAAAGACTAGAGATAAATTGAATCAAACACATTACAAACAGTTATATGAGGATACTTTAAAATGTTAAAAAGAGCAAATTCTACCCATACAAATTTCCTCACGTATCTTTTTCCTGTGTCCTTATCTTGTTTACATTTTGAATCGAATCTGATTGGAAGTAAACATGCATTTATGAGTATTTTATAGAAAATAGAGATATTTGGTATGCAAATAAGTTGTAAAAAAATTTCATGCTATACCTTCGTCAAGCCCAAATCCAACATTGAGGTCCTTGAACTCTTGTGTCTTTGTGAATTCACCCATTCCAAGGTTTCCACCAATCTCTTCATCTACAAAACAAACCAAACCCAAAAGACAAGGATATTAGAAGCATAGAACCTTAGTATAAGGGCTGAAAATGGAGATGGCAAGCTGCAAAGGTTTCTGTTGTAGCCACAAGATCCATGGCCCAAATTCAGTTAAATATTTGAATTATGTCAGTATTTTATTTACCATCAAGTCTTGTTCAGATTACATCTGAATATTTTACTTGAGTAAGCCACCTTAAAGGTAAAAAATACTTACTGATGGCCATTGCGATATCACATGACCCATCAATAGTTAGGAGCAATATTAAAATGTGTTGTTGTATCACTTTTTGTGTGCAGCTTTTAATCAACGCTGTTACAACAAAAACGAGTGCTCAGGAAACAAAAATGTCACATATATCTGAAAGAAATACATATTTTTATATTCATTCAAGAACAATGTCAAAGTCCATGTACTTCATGTACCACAACTGATAAGATTGGGTTTATTATTGACCCTAAGATATTGGATTTTCCAAGCTAATTTCATTGACAGAGTGAGAGCTTGGATTGAAACAGATTTTCTCTCAAAAAATGTACAGTAAATGTACTTCAATATAAAGTAATAATCATGATCATGAAAATTGGGGATCATAAAGAAAAATCTGTACTGAGAACATCTCCATGAAGCTTCATAATATACAAATGACTCGGGCAAATAGTTCATTATATAATACCAGCATTAGAGTTGAGGCTGAGTGCATTTATTGTACGAAGCATGATAGCTTTGTACGATGGGTGGCCTTAGATACATACAGCCTCAATGTTTAATAAACAAGTATCTTACCTGGCACAAATGTCATGTGTATTGTACGCATCAACCTCTTTCCAGCTTTCATCAGTCTACGGACAGCTTCAATGTACCTGAAGAGAAAGACAAGAACTTACACTACACTTTCAATTCAGTGGAAATTAAAGATAGAGCTAAATTCTGGTCCTACCGATACATTGTGAAAGAGACAGCCTGGAAGCTTTTTGGGAAACGTTGATAATCATCATCATCATTTATCGAAGTCAGCATTTTCCCTCTTACGAGGGGTTACTGACTTTCGTGCCATGATGACACTCCCTCCCTCCACTTCTTGTTGTCTTGAGCATCCTTCTCATTTAGACCAAACCTAATGCTTTCTTTGTTCACCCTATCTTTCCAAGAAATCTTTGGTCTTCCTTTCCCTCTTGTGCCATTCACTTCCATGCAGAACATAAGAATTTGTGTATACCGGTACTGCAATGTTTTGGAATTATCAAAATGATTATTATTAAACAAGGCAAGTTAGCAAATTTAACTCTCAATATTTCTTTATATTTTTGTGGCAAAAATTGGGTTTAAATTTTTTTTAACAAAAGCCTTAAAAATGCACTAATTCGTTACACTTACACTGATCTAGAAGGCATGATATTTATGTGAGCTGCCAATTTTGACATAACTATATCACATATATGCTGAATAATAAGAATAAGAATAAGAAAAATGCCTGAAATTTTGAAATTCCATTTCTAAAGTGTTGCTTTGACTGAGCAGATGAATTCACAATCTAGGAATGTACCGTATATCAAATAATGAGATTTGATCTTATAAAAAATGTTTCAGGTATACCAACTATATACCAAATTTAGTTACACTGGAACTGAAGGAAAACTTACTGAATGCCAACACATTTCATGTCCTGTGAGATAATAGAATAGAAACAGAGAGAGAATGAGAAAGAGAGGGAGAGAGAGAGAGAGAGAGAGGCCGAGTGATAGAATGATAGAGAGAGAGAGAGAGAGAGAGAACGAGAGGGGGTGGGAGAAAGACGCAGAGAAACAATGTATAGTGAGAGAATCAAAGGAAAGTGAAAATGAAACACAAGCATTAATTGATAAATTTTCGAATCATCTGCACCATGTATTGCTGATTAATATTTCATCTGTAATGGGACAAAACATTTATATACAGTATGATGAGCTATGATTTGGGGGCAAGGCAACATAGATTATAGAAAAGATTAAGATCTTTTGTAGGTATAAGTTGATGGATTCCGATGACGATATCCAACCAAATTTCTGCAGTATAGTTTGGCTAAACAAAGTCAATACAAAATCACTTTAACTCTTTTTGTTTGTTTGTATGTTCCCGGTAAAAGGTTCCCCTGTTTCACAACTGTATTTCCTATTGTATACCAAAGGCTTCAAGATTATGTTAATGTTACAAGTGTATAACTTATCTATGAAGATGTTAAAACAGCTGTCTTGTAGCTAATCAGGACCAGAAATTGGTAATTTGCAAAGCTTTTGTATAGCACAAAGCAATCCTTCTGCTAATTGTTTTTCATTATTTTGTGTCCACTGGCATGTGTGGCAAACAAGCGATTGTGCAAATTAGCACTTTGGGCAAACAAATAATTTAGCATTGATAAAAAAAATAACATGATGATATAACATGGTTCCTTGCATTTGCAGTGATCTAGAAACTTAGGTCTCACCTGGGATCCTCTGGCAACGATGTCTCCATTCTCCTTTTTCTTTGCTTCAAATGGGTCAGAATCCCAGTGTTCCTAACATCAAATGAGAAAAAACAAACACAAAATAAAAAATGCTTTCAAGTATGAAAGCCAGTTGATATGCATTTATCAACTGGAGCTGGCAATCGCACACAAGTGACAAAAGAAATGGGAGTAGAGATAAATTTACTTTCAAAAGGTCAAAACTTTGCAAACTATGGGGGCACGTAATACCACAGATTTCTGAAGAAAGTCATATATCTGGCTAATTGGCCTATTAATCAACATTTGTCTTTTCTCTAGCTATAGGGCTATATAAATGGGGAAGGTATATATGCATCTGAGTGACTCTGTAATCTGGTGCATGAATGCTCTGAATTGATAGATCCAAGTGTTTTTTATATGCCGTTTCATTTTTAAAAAAATGACATATTAAATAATCCCATCCTTACAAATCTTCCCTTTACTTTAATAAAAATAAAATTAGTCCCATTATCACATTTAAACAGAGAAGACAGTCTGCTAAACTTACTGGAAAGACTGGGACAACATCAATGTGGGAGTTAAGGACAATGCTTTTGAGGTGTGGATGTGTCCCTTCCCATGTAATGACAACCACTATCTTGCCAGGATGAACCTGTAAAATAAAAGGAATAGATTGACAAATATTATATCAATATGCAAGTTATTAAAGCCTTACTAAGCTATCCCTTTGATTATGTAGATTAGTATAGATTAGAATTCTATTATATTATTATTAGTATCATCATTATTGTCAATATCATTAGCATTATTATTATTATCATAACTATTATTATCATATTGTGTTCAAAGAAAGAGAGAGAGAGAGAGAGAGAGAGAGAGAGAGAGAGAGAGAGAGAGGGGAGTAGACATAGAGAGACGGGCAATAAAAAAGAAAGACTGAGACAGACAGAAAGCAAGGGGGATGATAGAGAAATGCAGTGAGGAAAACACACAGAAATATGGCAAACAAAATAAATTATTATCTGATGTACCAGATATATAGGCAATATTATATTCATTCATTTCAATATTCTTTAAGGCCAACAAAAGAGGAAGAAACTTCCTCATAGCTACATTCAATGTGAAAAAAATGAAATGAATTTTAAAGTCCTACAAAAAAAGTTATTTCACTGACAGTAATGGAATGAATTACTTCAAGATAAACAAGAAAGAAAAGAGGCTCTTGCTGTTCTCTACGTAAAAAGATCAATTGATTACTTTAAAGAAGAAAAAAAAAATCTATTTCCATAGCAAAAGTACAACTTCTACATGCAGGTAAAAAAAAAGGTTAATAAAAAGGTAACAAAAACAAAAAAAACAAAAAAAAGTTGCGAACCTCTATAAGCCGCACTGGTAGACCAAGTTCATCTCCCATTCGCTTCAGGAAAGCATTAGCACCAGCTGTGGAATGGTAAGAGATAAAATTCAATTATTTTCAAGCTAATAAAATTTAATAATGAAGGCTTGCAAGAGTCACATGACTACATTAAGAAAAAGATTTCCAGCTTGAGCATTGCAAGCTTCATGTAAATGAAATAAACATGGATGAATAAATAATATGAATCACTGTTTGTATCTAAATATAGAGAGGAGCCGTTAGTGCTGCTCAAGTGATATGATATTACCTTGTGTCTAGGACACACATGTATGCTTCTATTTAAAAATGCCATTGATGCAAAGTTTTCAATAGCAAGTACGGTAATACTATTGCACTGTTAACATTTCTTTTTCACCCCCTCTCTTCCAAATCTTCCAAATGATACTACATACAGTACATGCATGCATATCGCATACATACTTGGATATCCCTCTTTCTCTCTCTCACTCTCTCTCTCTCTCTCGTAAACTGTGTATCCTGCACTCACATGTTCCAATCCATGACTTTCCGTCCCAATTTCTCAATTGGAGTATAGACCTAGCTGCTTACGTAGACACTTTTGACTGAAATATCTTTTTTAACATATTTCTCATCAGGGTGCTACAAGAATTTTTTTCACCACTTGCCATGTCGGGCAAGTGGGTTTTCAATTTACTTGCCCAAACAATATTTCCACTTGCCCAAAACTTTTTGTTTACTAGCACAATCGAGAAAAAACAGCTGATCAACGCACGTGTGTGTCTGTGCAAGCCGCTGTCATTTGGAAACGTAGGCTAATTTTCAGCTGTTAATAATTTGGGTCAACTCTTCCATCAAGAAACGTCATGTAAATAATGGGTAATCAACTATTTTAAATAAAGTACGGACATTTTTATTTCATCATTCACTGCTATAAATATCATGCCAAAATTTGTAAATTCTTACTAAATAATAATATTGAAGATATTTTACGATAAATCTCGGATAAGTATGCGAAAACTAGACTAAACAACGTCGCTAAAACCATGAAAACAAAACAACAACGGCTTATATTCTGGGGGTCTCGATACTATTATCAAAATGACTCGCTCGGTCGGATCTTGAGACCGCAGTAATAAATTGAAAACGAGACAAAAACATTCATCTGATTTATATGAGCAGCGAGTTTTAAATAATATGTTCACAATCATTAACAGTCATTATGAATAAATATCAAACATTTGACTTTTTGTACTTACTAGAAAATCCCTGTTGTTTATTCCATTCCGATTCGCACGTGTTCATTTCCCTAGAATAATGACGTCATATTTGGCGTGATTCAACCAATCGGCAATCAGAGAATAGCAAAGGCCTGTCGGTGCGGCCTGCAGAGCTAGAGAGAGAGAGCGCGAATAAGCTCGCAGCTGGTACGATCGCGCTAGCTGTCTCTAGCTAGCTCACGGCCGGCCGTGCGTGGAGGTGGAGCGGCATTCATGGCTTGAAGTGTCACTGTTGCATGCGCGCTGAGCTAGCTGAGCTGGCTAGCTGTCTGTGAAGTTTTTTCGAAATCGGAACGATCGCTTTTTTGCTTCTGGATTTTGACGACGGGTAAGAAGTTGACGGGTGAATGGTAGAGTTCTTGGACACTAGGAAATTACTGTAAAAGTATCACTTGCCCGAATCGGGCAAGTGATAATTTGATTTACTTGCCCGACGGCTCAATTTGGTTGCCCCGGGACGTCGGGCAAGCGGGTTTGTCGCGCCCTGTTCTCATATATGATTTACTGCACGAGCTCGACACTCGTGTCTAGTGCTGCAAGATTAAGGTACTGTGTGTGAGACTAGGCTATATTTGTTTGGCGCCTGATCTGACCGAAGCTCATACATATTCATATTTTGGCGTAATGGCAATTTTTTTGGCTTGAACAATGACATCACTGGTCACAGTGCAGTTTTCCTTCTCATTTTGAGATGGATGTAGCTATGGGGCTCAAACCAACGCAAGATTGACATACATTGTACTGGGGATTGTACCATTGTATTTTTTAATTTTTTATTTTGTTCAATATTTTGTTTTTTTCTTTCTGCCAATTTTGTGAATTAGACGACGAGCGCACAAATCGTAGGCGTAGAACTTAGAAGCCTTAATTACGCCCGGGTATTGGCCTAGCTCCCTACTAAATGTACGCTAAAGGTCTACATGGGACGGGATGGAACTGTATGGGTAGGGAGGCCAATGCCCAAATCTAACTTTTTAATTACTAATTTGTTTATACTAAAACTAAGATTAAAAGAAAGCATTTACTTTCACTAAGAAAATCCACCCATCTGCCGACTCCATAGGTTCCATCAAATAGGAGATATCCAGCTGGTTTGTAGCCATTTCCTTCTACGCCTTTCCGTACGTAAGAGCCTTGAAACAATTATATTTCATGTCGCAAAGTTACGTTCATAATTAGACAGGCCCGAGGGACAAAGTTCATGATGAAGTTTAAAACTTCGCGCGAAAGTGCAATCACTCAACAGCGGCTAGCCTTGAATCGGTCGCACACGTACACACCTTCTTCTTCTTAGTTGATCCCTCCACCGACACAGGCAAGCCCCGATGCAGGCTGAAGTCCAGCCATCAATGTGCGAACGATTACATCTTCTACTACTACGAGCCGAAGACGATGGTTCAAAAAAGGAAAGAAATATATATAATTCATTGATATTTACCTTAGATGTGTATTCCAATAATTTGATTTCCTCATGAGTATTCCTTATTATCAACGATCGAGAAGTTACGAGGTCCAATTAAAATCCATCTTGCAGCGAACACAATCATAGCGCACATCCATGCATGCAACGTACGTGTACTAATATTTCTCTCACTCTCTCTCTCTCTCTCTCTCCCTTTCGCTATACGTAACATACACACTCACTAACCATGTATCATACAACACACACCTTCAAATCATGGCTTTCATTTCAATTCTCAATTGGAGTATAGACTGCTCACGTAGACTTTTTTTTTTACTGAAATATCTTTTTTAACACTTCTCATACATTACTGCACGACACTCGTATCTAGTGCTGTGAGAATAAGGTACTAGGGTCTATAAATAAGACTACGCTTTGCGCACGATCTGACCGGAGCTCAGATTATGTCGCAATACCCTTTATTTTTGGCGCGAACAATGACGTCACTGTTCACTGTTTTCCTTCTCATTTTGAGATGGATGTAGCTATAGGGCTCAAACCAACGCAAGATTGACAGAAACATCGTACTCTATCTACTTTCGAATGTTCAGTTTGTAAAAATCTGTATTTAAAAAGATATAATCTTTTTTCTTTATATTTTCTAGTTGTTAGAAGTGGCAATTGTGAACATCTGAAATGTTGATCTCTATCAAAAGTTCTTTACTCAAAACGGATCCCATATTTTTAGGGTCTACCTTCTGCCAATGAGAAGGTTTTTAGTGAGCAAACCTCTACGCCCTCTAGGATTTTCTTAGTCGGTGGTGCGAGTGCGTCAAGGTCGTCTGCAACCACAATTATTGGATTAAAAAACGTCAAAATCTGCAAGATTGTCAACAAATGGTGAAAGACTGTTACAGATCCGTGATTATAGGTATGTTGTAAAATGTATAATTGTATTTTCTTTTCATATTTTCTTCAATTTTTATTTTTACATCATTTTTTTCCCTTTGCTAATTTTTTGAAGTGGGCGACGAGCGCACAAATCGTAGGTGTAGAAGCCTTACGCCCGGGCATTGGCCTCCCTAGTATGGGCTATACCGCGCTGCCAGAGCTGCCGGGCGCGGGCTAGGAGTCAGGACTAACTTCACTAAGCCGGTGTCCTTCCGGATTGGAGCCTCAGCATCAGAGCAAAGAGATACCAGCATATCGAGCATGCACTGTCCGCGGCCCGCGGATCGCCGACTGAGCTGAGCTGTACCGTATGTACCGAAAGTGGTAAAAAAAGCCTGCACAGGTTTTACGATCATTTATTTAAGTCAAATTATCTCACCATAATCAGGATTTGGCTCGACCGTCTTGAATCTTAGATACTCTCTGAAGTTAGTGACAGCTTGATTTTCTTGCATTTTCGATCGTTTAGCTGCTGCAGCCATTTTAAAAGTGAAATCTTTTAAAATAATGCAGAGAATTGAAGTCAATGTCAAGGGCTAGCATGTGTACACATGATTTTTATGGACAGCCATGTGTACCGTACCGTACCTCGATTTCGTGGGACTACAATAATTTCACAACATTTCAATCATACTTTGCTTACTTACATTACTTGTCTCAGTGTGTGAAATAATACAGGTGTGACAGTCTTTTGAGCTCCCATTTTATATTGATTTTCACGTAAGCAATGAAATATAAAGTATTCGTTGAAAAGGAGTTTTGAAAACATATTAATATGTAATTCAGCCTTCCATAAATCAAAGGGGTGTGTCATTCTGTCACGTTCTCGAGGTCAGTGAGGTAAAATTGTGATCCTGGGTTTCCTCCCAACACCCCCCCCCCCCCCCCCCCCCCCCTCTATCAACATGCTCCTCCCCTTTGTGTGAGTTTCCTTTTCTCGTTCAGGGTGCATACTGAAATAGCAATGATACGATGTAGTATAGCTGATTAGCCTCGTTGATTTGTTTTTCCATCTTCACGTTTGACTGACTTTTCTGATGCTGCCATTCATCTGAGCAAATTTCAATAAAAGTTAATTCCGCTAATAACCCCCGGGACAAAAAGAATGTAACAACTCCTCTGTACAATTTTTGTTTTTAGCAAAATTTCTTCCTCCGGCCCTCACTTCCTCTCTCGATTTCTCTCGGCTCTGCTCTTTTCATTCTTGCCTCTTTCGTTGGTTTTATCATATTGCTTTTTCTGGGGTTATCTCACACATTTAAATATCTATGTGTTTTCTTTAATAGGCGATGCAGATCAATTTGTCAGGATAGTTCATGGAAACTGTCTACGGCTCTCCAAATTAAACGAGCACATTTGAATTTTCACCCCGGATTGTTTTCCAAGACGTTGCCATATCCCATTTAACTTGTATAGTCTTGGAAAACAAATCAATAACATTTGAATTTTCACCCTAGGTCGTTTTCTGAGACGTTGCCATATCCATTAAACATAATACTATCGTCTTATTAGATTATTAAATTATATTCCACGTCAAATCGTCAATGCAGTCATTAATGTAAGCATGTAGAGCATCTACGAGTTGTTGCTTGATTGGACAAAACCTCCAACGGGTATATTATTTTGTCAAGGACATGTTTTAGTTGGAAAGCAAGAAGTATGGAAAATTGCACTTTCGAGTGCTCTTTTACTTGAGATGATAGACCAGAACCAGGCGCGGATCCAGGATTTTCCAATAGGGGGGGCCGGAAATCTGAAAATTGCGCAGACCGTTTTTTCAACTCAACATACCAATACTGACAAGGTCATAATTATTAGAAGCACCATACCGGTACAATTTTTGACATTTTCATCGGGGGGGGGGGGGGGGGGCATAGCCTCTTGCCCGAAAAGTAATTTTCTGGTTTCACAATTCGAAATAGTGAGCGAAGCGACCGAGCAACAATTTGAGCATAATATGTATTTTGTTAAAGTGTTATTTATTACCAAAATAAACTAGAAAAGATATCAAAAACTCATATTCGGGCAGTTTTCTATCCCCTCCCCCCCCCCCCCCCCATTACGCGCGAAGCGCGGAAGCTTTGACCTTTCTTTAATTGTTAGAGAAAGAAGACGATTTGTTGTACCATTCTCGACTCTTAATCCTTGTCTGAATTCAGTTTCCTCCCGCCCGCGCGAAGCGCGGAAGCTTTGGCCTTTCATTAATATTATTAGAGAAAAAAAGAAGATTTGTTGTACCATTCTCGACTCTTAATCCTTGTTTGATTTCAGTTTTCCCCCTCCCGCGCGAAGCACGGAAACTTTGGCCTTTCGTAGTTTAATGAAATTATTAGAGAAAGATGATTCGTTGTTCCATTTTTCACTCTTAATCCTTCTCTGAATTGAGTTCCCCCCCCCCCCCTCCCCCTCCCGCGCGAAGCGCGGAACCTTTGACGTTTTCTTTAATTATAAGGGAAAGGAGACGATTCTTTGTACTATTCTCGACTCTTAATCCTTGTCTGAATTCAGTTTTCCCCCTTCCGCGCGAGATGATTCATTGTTTGTTCCATTTTCGACTTTTAATCCTTCTCTGAATTGAGTTCGCCCCCTTCCCGCGCGAAGCGCGGGAGATGTGACTTTCATTACATTATAAGGGAAAGGAGACGATTCTTTGTACTATTCTCGACTCTTAATCCTTGTCTGAATTCAGTTTTTCACCTCCAGCGCGAAGCGCGGAAGCTTTGAAGTTCATTAATTATTAAAGAAAGAAGAAGATTTGTTGTACCATCCTCGACTCTTAATCCTTGTCTGAATTCAGTTTCCTCCCGCCCGCGCGAAGCGCGGAAGCTTTGGCCTTTCATTAATATTATTAGAGGAAAAAAGAAGATTTGTTGTACCATTCTCGACTCTTAATCCTTGTTTGATTTCAGTTTCCCCCTCCCGCGCGAAGCGCGATGCTTTGACGTTTCATTAAATTATAAGGGAAAGGAGACGATTCTTTGTACTATTCTCGACTCTTAATCCTTGTCTGAATTCAGTTTTTCCCCGCCCGCGCGTAGCGCATTAGCTATGACGGTTCATCAAACTATTAGAGGAAGAAGACGAATCGTTGTACCATTCTCGTCTTTTAATCCTTGTTTAAATTCAGTTTTCCCCCTCACGCGCAAAGCGCGGAAGCTATAACGTTTCATTAATTATTAGAAAAATAAGAAGATTTGTTGTACCATTCTCGACTCTTATTACTTGACTAAAATCACCCCCCCTCCCTCCCACGCGAAGCACGGAAGCTTTGGCCTTTCACAGTTTAATGAAATTATTAGAGAAAGAAGACGATTCTTTGTACCGTCCTCGACTCCTTATCCTTGTCTGAATTGAGTGCCCCCCCCCCCTCCCGCGCGAAGCGCGGAAGCTTTGACGTTTGATTAAATTATTAGAGAAAGAAGGCGATTCGTTGTACCGTTCACGACTCTTAATCCTTGTATGAATTGAGTTTCCCCCCCCCCCCCCTTCCGCGCGAAGCGCGGAAGCTTTGTCGTTTCATTAAATTATAAGGGAAAGGAGACAATTCTTTGTACCATTCTCGACTCTTAATCCTTGTCTGAATTCAGTTTTTCTCCGCCCGCGCGTAGCGCGTAAGCTTTGACGTTTTATTACAATATTAGAGGAGGAAGACTAATCGTTGTACCATTCTCGTCTCTTAATCCTTGTTTGAATTCAGTTTTCCCCCTCTCGCGGGAAGCGCGGAAGCTTTGACGTTTCATTAAATTATTAGAGAAAGAAGATGATTCGTTGTTCCATTCTCGTCTCTTAATCCTTGTTTGAATTCAGTTTCCCCCCGCCCGCGCATAGCGCGTAAACTTCTGACGTTTCATTAAATTATTAGACAAAGAAGACGATTCGTTTTACCATTCCTTGTCTGATTTCAGTTGCCCCCCCCCCCCCCCGACCGAGCGAAACGCGGAAGCTTTGACATTTCATTAAACTATTAGAGAAAGAAGACGATTCGTTGTACCGTTCTCTATTTTCAATATAGTTTTGTGTAATCGGGCGAGGGCCGGGGCGTAGCGACCAAGCGAGATTTTGCAATGTTGAAATTATGCATTCTAGAAAATTCCGCTATGTTTCTTTCTAGCTATATTTCTAAATTTCCTGGGGGACATGTCTCCCTATCGGGCCCAGGATTGCCGCCCCTGTCCATGATTACTACCAACATGAGTTCAAATACAAGCACAAGCGAGTTGGTATGAGCTGAATCCAAATGAAGGGCAAAATAAGAGTTATGAAGCGGCCCTACCGTTAATTTAAAATTTGACTGTTGAGTATATAGCTTCTTTTTAAAAGACATCAAAAATACTGTGCCCTTTTCAAATTTCTCACTAAAGAGTGATGACCTTTGTAGCGCAGGGGCTGTTTTTTACGTTTAACTTTGAATCCGCGGCTCGAGATTTTATGCGGCAGGCCCGGCCCCCTCTATTCAATAACGTTTGCCAAGCCTTCTGGAATGACCCCAAATCTCCCGATTCAAGTTTTCCCTTATCCGTCGCTACTGTCACTTAGCGCCATTTCCTTGTCTTTCCCCCTTTCTCACCGACTTTTCTCTCCCCCCCCCCCCACCCGCTCAGTATAGGGTACGCACAATGTTCCCTCTCTTTGAAAGCACGTACCACTCTATCTCCGGTGTAAGTCAGTACGGGCCGGATTTTGTGTATTACGGGCCGGACTTTGTTGCGTGAAAAAAGTAACTCTTTATCGGAATTTTTGGGAACACAAATTCGGTCCCTCCGACCCCGGAGCGGGAGGGAGGGGGGGGGGGGGGGGGGGGGGAGTTGGGCTTTCTTCTTTATCTTTCATTTTCACTTTTCTCTTCTCTTCCCTTTTCTTTTCCCTTCTCCCTTCTTTTCTCTTCTCCTTTTTTCTTCTCCTCTTCTCCTTTTTTTCCTCTTCTTTTCTTCCTCTTTTTTTCTTCTTTTTTTTGCGCCGCCAATAGGGGGGGCCGCGGCCGTTTCGGCCCCCCCCTGGATCCGCCACTGCCAGAACTCACCTTTCTTTTCTTTCACTCACTTTCTTTTATTTTTTTCTTTCTCTCTCTTGCACTCATACACACACACACGCACACACACGCATACACACTCTCTCTCTTCCTCTCTCTCTCTCTCTCTCCCTCTATCTCTAATTTTCTTTCACTCTTTTTCTCACACTCACTCCCATACTCTGAATGCAATATTGATATTTTTTTCTTTGTTTTGTTTGCTTATATTTTTCAAACACTATTTTGTGCTTATTTATGCAATGGGGTAACACATTTTATACTCATTGAAATACTTGGGTACAGGAGTAGTATTCAAGTATAACTGAACTGCACTCTTTGATTATAATATAATATTTATTCAGTTTCTTTATTGAAAATAGTCAAACAAAGTTCAGTATTGCCATTACAAAGGACGTATTTTATTATATACTGAATACATGTACTCCATAATAATTACTTTTCTCCATATTCCTTTATATATGGCCTTTCTCATATACAACATAACTAATATATGATTTAAATTGTCTGAGGTTTCATGGACAATTTCAAAACATATCATTACCACTAAACAGGTACATTGTATACAAAGTCATAACATTGGATCACGATTTTTTTAAAAACAATCTCCCATGAATTATGTATGAAACTACGGTACCATAATCTAATATAATTTTGACATATATCTTATAGTGGGTGATCAGTAAATCAATCAGAACTTCAAGTATTTCGTGGGTGTTTGGCAATCTAAACCATGTCAAGACCACAATTTGAATGACATACTAGAATGCATGATGATCACAATGAAATATAATTAATCAAGTAGCACACATGATCCATCGTTTGCTTCTTGAAGCAAATCACAAAATCAAAATGGGATGAGAATTATTCCCTCAACCTGTACATAATTTCTTAGGTATCCTCCAAAATCACCTTGCTCCATACATGTGATGTGATTTTCTGTTCAAAAGTCATATCAGTAGACAAAACATCCAATGTATAAACAGATCCTGATTTGAGTCTACATTACCCCTACCCCGACGCCATGACAATGGAATAGCGTCAAGATATCGGACGAATCATTCTGAATACTTTGATCTCATCAGAATGGCAATATGATGGCATCTGACTTTAGATAAATATTTATCAAAAAAACCCTGATCCATCCATAGTTGTCAGAAGCCAGTTTCTCAAATTCATCACATGTCGAAGTTTGTGGACAACCAACAGAAACGGGTGTTTAAATTGTTTTTTTATGAGATGTCCATGAACTTTAGACTTGCAACCGTTTCTAGAAACTGGCCACAGGCCCAGAGCAGAGAATTGAGATGACGTTTGCAAGAATCAATCATTCTTCTTGTGACCGATACCCTGGTCGTCGCTAATCGCCATGCCAATGGGGTAGCTTTCGCATGTCAAATGAATTATTCTCCTTTAAAATTTGGCTTCCTCTTCTCCTTGAATGCCATCAAGCCTTCCATACGATCTTTGGTTGGAATCACCTGCAAGAGTTACAATGGCAAATTATGCAAACTATATGTACAAATTACCAAGGTAACATCAGCTGTAATAAACATTTGATAGCCCATTATTTGTGATCATTGATGTTTTTCACAGCAAGGAATTTTACAATGAAAACAAATCATATCATCAAATCATACCCCAGACTGATTTTGTAATGTAATAAAATTTAATGCATACGTCTTTTGAAGTTCTCCATTATGAATACTTTCAATCACTTGTTACCAATAATTGTATTGAAATAAAATACAAATTTCATACATCATCTGTTGTTACGTGGGGAAGCCAAAAAATTGTCCAACCTAGCAACAACTAATGTTTGCAATTTTAATTCTGACTATTGAGATACAATGATATATAACAGGTGAATGTAATAGCTTGTCACTGAAGACATTTTGAAAAAGGTCTATTGATGTAGCACTTTTCAATGACAAATAAACCACTAAAAGCAGCTAACAGATTACTACCCCAGTTTTTTGTGAAGCAACAACTGGATCTAAAACAATTGTTTGTGCTAGTCTTTCATAGACAAGTCTACCTATTCAGGTAGTTGCTATGAAATCCGAATGTGTGGACACCAATCTGCTCAGAGGAAACAAAGTAAATAGCTTTCCAGACTGGTAGTCTGCATATGGTCACAAAAGTTTGGTACCATATTTGTTTATGTTATCAATGTAAAGTGTACTACAAATAATGGCTAAGGAAACTTAAGCTCTGTACTCCCTAAAATTCATACATACCATTATTATACATGCCATTTTCAGGGAAATTTTCAATAGTTTTGGCTACACATACCAACAATTTATGAAGGCAAGATTTCAATCAACAAAAAATAATCAAATTCTCAGCCAAAAAGTCCTTCCAAGAACTGCCTACAAATTGCAATTACAACTTTTAAATAACTTTTTTTACAAGAAATTAGATGTGAAAGGAATATTTTTTTATTTGGAAAATATTGAAAGTGATTATAGAACTCCAAAAATGTTGCAAGATGATTTCATTATTACCTGAGCATAGTATGCCTCTTCAAATGCAAGTCCAGATGCCAAATCCACCTGTAGAGTACAAGCAATGAAGAGATAAGATACAACACAAGGAATGCAACGCCTCCGTGTATATGTATGTTCATTGATGAATGATCCTGTGAACTTTTACATCTGACCTCATGTACCCAAACTCTTTTCATTTATCTGTTCTTGCTAGAAGATGCTTGAGCCAAGTCTGATCTAACACTGGTTCAATGTTAGCTAAGTTATCACAGAACATAATGAGGTATTTTTGGAAAGTACACTTTTAAGACCCTGTAAATTTTGAATTTTTTACCCTTTACACCAATATCTAATTAGTTCATCCATGTATGCTCATACATACAAGAGCCAAGTTTGGTTTGAATTGCTTTTCAAGTTTTCGCAGTATGTAACAAAATATTTTCTGATACTTGTTAACACTTTTAAAGACTCTGTGACCTTTGACCTCTCACACACAAAGTCTTATTACTTCATTCCTGCATGCTCATAGATACTTCATCTAAGTTTGGTTCGAATTGCTTTCATGCTTTTCAAGTTACCACAGTAACAAGATATTCATATGGTAAAAGAGCAACAGATGGACCGACGGACGGACAACCCGAAAACATAATGCCTTCCAAGGTGGAGGCATATATATACAAATTATTAAGATGTACCTGTATGTACAATGTATATCATGATGCTTTCTAATCCTTAATTAATTAAACAAAATATATAACAAAAATATTTTGCATTTACATGATCCAAAATCTAAATATATCGCAAAAGTGTTGTTAGTTACCTTTAAAACATCCAAAACTACCTTGAATAATGAAGCCATTACTTACCTCTACACCCTTGTCTACTGCTTTCTTGACCATTCTCAGAGCAATGGGACCCTGGACAGACAAAACAAGTTATATTCTCTTATTTATTTGTATAACCATTTTTTGTTGTTGTTGAAAATATGAAAACATAGCTTTACAACAGAGACAAACTGAAAATGTTTGCCTTGCACTCATTAAAGTAAAACCCTAGAAAGAAAGAATTTGTTAGGGGTGATGGGGGAAACTAGTTTATTCTATTTTTATATACCTCTCTTTAGAAATCTAGCCATCTGATTGGTCGAAATTGGAGTCATGGTTTTAGCCATCATAAAGAAATGAACAATGCCAGTAGGGGTTAATAGTTCATGAGTGAGATTCCCAAAGATTCAGGGTACCGGGAAAATAGCTAAATTTTGATGAGAACCCCATTGGTTTACGTGTTAAAACTTACTATGTGCAAGCGCAAATACCAAACAGTGCTTTTTGTCTGCGATTCCCAAATGATTGTAATATTCAGTCATCTTTCCCGCGAAAGATTAACAGACAGTGTCTCAGATTTTCTGTGATGTTTTAACCAATCTTTACTCAAGAAAAGGATAAGGTAAAAATTCTTGGTAGATTTTTGAGTCAATTCGGTATATAAAAGATATATCGACTGCTTTGATATTGGAGGCCTGGCTGTTTCTATACTGGCTCTCGGGCCCTGAGGCACGTGGCAGAATGCAACGTCCCCTTGAGCCTAGAAAAACAGCCAGTCGGTATATCTATTATGGAATTACAAAAGAATTTTTCATTCTACTTCATATTTGGTCTGAACCGTGCTGAAGAAAGGCTAAGCAACCAATAAAATCACACGATATATAAAACTAGATGGAATTCGACTGCGCGCAGTCGAAAATGATGCCTCCGTCATAGAGCAATTTTACAAACCAAAACAGAAGACATTTTTCGAATTCAAGTTCAATTGTAATCCATTAACAGGTTCTCAGAATATCGTGATTACAAGCAATTTCTCATATACATATATGACCCTTTGATCTTTGACCTCATGACCCTAAAATCTACTCAGTTCATTGGCTCTGCAAGATGTCCTGAGTTAAATAGTAATCCATCTGTCAGTTCTAATGAGAATGTGTTCACAAGCTATTTTTGCATACATAATGAGCCCATGACCTTTGACCTTTGATCTTATGAACCAAAAATCTACTCAGTTCATTGGCTCTGCAAGTAACATACATGACCTAATTTTGGCAGGAATCCATCAATCGGTTCTTGAGAACGCGATCACGAGCTGTTTTTGCATACATAATGTGCGTTGTGGCCTTTGACCTTTGACCTCATGACCCCAAAATCTAATCAGTTCATCTGCTCTGCAAGTAACATACATGACCTAAGTTTAGCAGCAATCCATCAATCGGTTCTTGAGATAACGCAATCACGAGCTGTTTTTACATACATAATGTGCGCTGTAGCCTTTGACCTTTGACCTCGTGACCCCAAAATCTAATCACTTCATCGGTTCTGCAAGTAACATACATGACCTAAGTTTGGCAGCAATCCATTACTCGGTTCTTGAGATAACGCGATCACGAGCTGTTTTTGCATACATAATGAGCCCTGTGACCTTTGACCTTTAACCTCATGACCCCAAAATCTAATCAGTTCTTTGACTCTGCAAGATACATACATGACCAAAGTTTGGCAGGAATCCATCAATCGGTTCTTCAGATAACGCGATCACGAGCTGTTTTTGCATACATAATGAGCCCTGTGACCTTTGACCTTTGACATCGTAACCCCAAAATCTAATCAGTTCATCGGCTCTGCAAGATACATACATGACCAAAGTTTGGCAGGAATCCATCAATCGGTTCTTCAGATAACGCGATCACGAGAACGGGACGTACGTACGTACAGACGTACGTACGTACAGACGTACGTACAGACGGACGGACGGACAACCCGAAAACATAATGCCTCCGGCTACTTCGTAACGGAGGCATAAAAATCTTAGATGTGGGTGATAACATACATGGCACAACAGATTGGACTTGGCCAACTACAGCCTGGTACTGAGACTAATGTCCCATTATTTCTGAGGGATGTGAGCTGGGAGATACGAGTTGGTCTAGCAATAATGCCTACGGTATGGTCAGCTCTCTGTCTTCACCTAAAAACTGACTCTTATCAGCACGTCTTTCTGATGGTGATGTCAAAGGTCGGTCCCAGGCATTAATAATCACATCTGGTTGATGCACATCTGTAAAAACCCTATTACGCACACTCATCCACTAAACACTAACCTGAGTTGCAATCTCTCTAGCAAGCTCCAAGGCTCGCTTGTACGCGGCTTCCTGGCTATCGTCTTGCTCAACGCAGTGGTTGACCAGTCCGATGCGTGCTGCCTCCTCTCCGTCTAGAACCCTCCCAGTGAACATGAGTTCCTTGGCAATGGATGGGCCCACTAGCCGGGGTAACCTCTGAGTTCCACCTGGGTTCAAGATGGGAGGAACAGCAGAAACTTGCAAAGTGCTAAAATACTTAATAATGACAATAATCCATTCCTGTATAGCGGATAAAACATTATGATATAATGTTCCTGTGCACTTCCAAAGGGCTTTGGAAATTTTTAACCGAGCTTCACCCGGGTGGATTGTGGCAAATGTAGATAAAATGTCCTGCCAAAGAAAGTTAATATTGTGACAGGGATTTGAACCAGTACCTTGTGGTTAACAGTCCAGAGACTTATCCACTGGACCACAACACCTCTACTTGCTATAACAAGGTAATGAAGCTGGTCCAAGCTCTTTATATTCTTTCCAAAAAAAGTTACCCTCACAAGATACTTGATACAACAATGTAATTTTCATGGTCCAAATGTCCCTGTTACGAGTCTCCACTGTACTGTAAAACCTGCAACTTTTATGACATGAATCTTTTACGAAATGTTAACACTTGCCATTTTCACATCAAGAATCTTTCACAAACTGCAAAAATGCACTGTTTCAGTGATGATTCAATTACTTAGAGGCATATAGAGTAGTGAAGTGTGTCAAAATCTCCAGATGTCTGAAATGGCATGCTTTTAATAGGGCATACAGTGGCATAGCTTCGAGAGGATGGGAAGGGCCGTTTTTCTTTTATCCCATCTACAGTTTAACAAACCTACCTCCACCTGGGATGATGGCAAGTTTGGCTTCGACTAGACCCATCTTAGCAGACGAAGCTGAAAAAGATTAAAATCAAGAAAAACAACAGTTACTAGAATAAATTTCATTTTAACAAAATGACAATTTCCGCTTATTTATCTTGTGCACTTCATTCTAGTATTCGGGATAGGCTGTGTTGGTGGGTCCTATCAAATCATAAAGTGCTTCAAGTGTCATAAACTAATTGTAAATAGGAGATGGTGTAAGGATTTCACTAACGTTTTCAATAAATGTGTACTTTCATTGAGTTTACTATTCTTTTTCATTTATTTTTATTTTTTCTTCCTTTTTCTCTCAGTTTGTTTTTTAAAGGAGCTCTATAATATTAGCTTTTTTTATTAACTTTAACGAGTATTCATGTAAGTATTGTAAAATAATGGACCTAAAAATAGAAGACCTAGCCTTGACATACACGGTCCCAAACTTCCAAAGTTTATTATTTTTTATATACCGGTATTCATATAAAGGATACATACATGTATTTGAAATTTGTGTGCCATCTTCCATTTTCCATTCAAAAAGCATCAAGCATATTAGCTAATTTATGATAAGGAAAGAATATAGACTGCCTTGAATTGTTTACATATATATGTATATATATATAGTACATTTATCATACAAACATCATCTTATCCACGGCAAAGATGATTAATCTTTTTTCTGATTGATACAAAATGCATGATCATGTTTCAATAATTAATGAGTAAGCAAGTGAAAGATTATGAACATTGAACGGTTACCAAAGTCTATGTACCTCTTTTTAAAACTGTCAAGTCTTGATTTTACAAACGACAGTATTAACCAAAACAGATATCAATCATTAATGAATGAAAGATAGAGTATCTTAGTCCAGGGCACAGACTAATAGTCAGAAGTTCAGCATGATAAGAAAGGGATCATTATGAGATCATACAGTGGGAGTACAACTCAAAATACCTTTGACCTATTCCCAATGGAGCACATGCAAACCTGAAAGTCGATCATTTCAACTTTTAATTCTACATCATGATCGTGTGATTAACACTGACTTTATGTCATTAACTGCATGTAACAGTTACTAATTCAATAAATGGCAAAGCATATTGGGTGGATTTTTGAAAGCAAGATGAACAGAAAAACAAAGGCAAAGCTAACAGCACAAAATTTAAAAAAGAAGAAAATGAAAAAGTAATGCATCAACCAAGCCCATATGCAGGAACAGGAAAAACAAGGGGGGATTAAGATGAAAACTCTAGTTGATAGGAAAGCAGGCAACAGTCAACAAAAATTTGAAGTAAAGCAAGGGATTAATATTTGTTATAATCCACCTCACCAGCAACCCTAAGGTCACATGACAGGGCCATCTCTAGGCCACCGCCCACGGCAACGCCATCCAGGGCCACTATGGTTGGCATTGGAAGGTCCCCAAAGGAAAGGATTGCCTGCCGTAATTTGGCAACAAAAGGCCCAACTTCCTCCTGGGTCATCTGTATTCTCTCCTTCAAATCGGCTCCTAAAAAAAAGAAGGTGATGGGATAAATAGTTGTAATGGTTTAGTGACTTAAAAATAACAAATGACTAAATGCGTTGTCATGGGGACACTTACAAGCAACTCTAATGTCACAACTGAGCGCCATCTCCATGCCACCCCCAACAGCGACCCCATCCAGTGCTACAATGGTGGGGCAGGGAAGGCTACCAAGATCAAGGATGAGCTGCCTCCCGCGACTGACGGCCGGACCCACCTCATCTTCAGCCATCGTGACACGCTCCTTCAAATCAGCACCTGGTCAGAGTGGCAGCAATTAAAGGGGCATGTCAAGTTGTGACCATACATCTTTGGTTATGGGAGCTCTCTCTCTCTCCCTTTTTTTAATATTGTAAAAGAGATATTCTCACAATATTTTCATGAATTTTATCTGTTCATCCTTTTTTTTTCTGTTTTGTTTCCCTTTCCTTTCGTTTTAGCTCTTTGGGTGTTTTTTCACCCTTTTGTCAGGCTACTGCTCTCTGCTCCAAGTGAGCAGAAGTACATTCACATGAATTCCGCACATATCTGTTTGAAGAGTGGCATGATGGTTAGAGATCCTGTTCATCTTACAACTTCTTAAAATCAATTAGATAAAGTTACACAAATACACACTATTAATATATGCATATTACTGCCTTTTGGAAGAACTTTGGAAAACAAAATTGTTGGCAGGTACGTGTATGGTGCTCTCTCCCACATGAAATATGGCGGTTTTCCACATTTAAATTGAGTACATTAATTACATCAAATATTGCATTTATTGGAGTAAATGTACCGAAGTCTGAACAATGTCTATACAAAACTACATCATGTACTCGATTTCTCAGAAAGGTTTGAGAAAAATTCAAAGACTTTAATAATTAAGTTTAAGTGCCAATATCAAATGAGATCCCCCCCCCCACCCTACCCAGGTAACCAGGTTATGGGTTACTAACTTTTTTTCTTTGAATTCCAACTTTTTAATTTATAATAATTATTCAACTTCTACCCCCCCCCCCAAACAAACAAACAAAAACAACAGCAACAACAACAAATAATAATAATAAATTAACACCGGAGTGTTGGCTCAGTCAGTAGAGCGTCCGCCTCACAACCGGGAGGTCGTGGGTTCGAACCCCGGCCGCGTCATACCAAAAGACGTTAAAAGATGAGAGTTGCTGCTACCTTGTTTGGCGCTCAACAATAAGGGATAGAGCAATGTCGATCTGGCGCTGCTCAGTGGCTGCCGGGCTCACGATCAATTGGGCAAAAAGAATTTCCCTTTCGGTTTAATAAAATTTGGAGTGGACTATTAAGCTATTATTATTATTATTATTATTATTATTATTATCATGAATGAATAAATAATAATAATAAATAACTATTTTATCAAACTCACCTGCACAGAATATTCCAGGGGCCTCACTCCTTATAATGAGTACTCTCACATTATTATCAAACCTGACTTTGGCAACTGCATCTTCAAACTTTGAAGAAGAAAAAAAAAAAAGAGGTCAAAATAATTGCAATATATTTATTCAAATACCTGCTACACTTTTCCTGTTACATTTCTATGTTTTTCCCTGACTGGTGATATCTTGCAAGCGAGATCATTCAAAGATCATTTCACTTCTCACTGCTTCCCAAACTTTGACAAGGAACACCTACAATATAAATTGCTTTTGAAATGTAGCATTCAGCCCTATACAAAAAACAAAATGAATACAAATGTGATTCTTGTTATCAATGAATAAAAAGAGCACTTAACAATAATGCAAGCATGTTAAACATGGAAATAAATGAATAGACACTTGTGATCATAACAAATAAGCTTTCAACATTGATCCTCTCAAGGACAACCTTGTCTATAGAAGGGAAAGTAAAAGGGGACCGACCCCTCAACGATTTAAAGCAAAGTTAAAGATGGCAACTAATATAAGCAGAAAGACTTAACCTTGCCAGAGGAAAGGTCTCCACAAAAACAAACAAATAAACAAACACAAATATATATACATGTACATATATATAAATAAACAAAATCAACACTTACCAGATTTAAAAGATTTCTGCTGATTGCATTTTTGTTTGCAGGTCTGTTCATTCCAAGTACAACAATTCCTTCAAAACAAAATGTAAGAGAACAGGTCATTCTCAATCTGCACACAGATTGTGGTGGACTTGGGGTGGGGATGGGGGGGGGGGGGTAGGGGTAGGCACAAATGACCATGCCCCTCCTCCTTTTGAAACCTAGGCGTCACATCTTCAGTACACAAGTTTAAAAGAAAAAATTTCAGCCTTCAAAGTTATTTTTTTTGTAACTTGAATTTAATGATCGTAATTAATTGAATGCAGTGTCATTCATACCTAATTCATTTGTAACTAATGCGTTCAACTCGTACAACCTAGGCCTTTGACCGAGGTCAAATGAAATAATTTTTGTTGTTTTAAAAATAACACACAAAAACTTGTATTTATGATTCATGTGAAATTGATGGTTATGTAATCTTACGTAATCTTGGGGTTTTTGTGCGATCAGTGCTTTAAAAATAACTCTTTTTAAAGGAATTTGTCGATGACGCCGTATACATTTAGCCAAAAAAGACACCCTTTCTACGCTTTTTCTGGACTTGGGTGCAAAGCCAGCCATGTTAAGAAGGAACCCCTCCCACCCTTTATATAATTCGGTCTAAGTCAGTGCATATTGCATGCTTGCACCACCCACAACTACACCCACAACCACACCCACTCCCACACCCCCTGGCCCTCGACAGCACACCAAGATCCACGGGTAAACTACAGGGCCAGGGCAGGGCCATGGTCGCCCCGCGGGTACCGGGTACAGTCGCGACATAGAGTCACCAGGGTAGCCTAGAGAAATCACGTCAAGAGAAATCAAAAATAATTAAACTTACCTCCATCATCAAGGTAGCTGACTTTCAGGTCATCTGCAGGGGAGCTGAAATTTCGAGAGACAGGAACCAGCAACCGCCTGGTGTTTAAAATCTTTGAATTTAAACCAGTGAAACCACCGGCGATGCGGACTAACTTTGTCAGATGAGTCGCCATTTTTTACTCTAGGATCTTTGTGTACCACGTGTGTACGAACGCGGTTTGTACACAAAAGTACAAATTTATGTTGACGTTCTGACTTGCGGTGCAGTGAGTGGTGGCGCGGCTTGGCGTGAATGAACGATCGACCTGAAAGCAGAATTTAGTTATAACCTAGGTAATTTTCCAGATTCTTCCCAAAGTAGAAAAAAGTCTGGAAAGAGAATAGACGCGACATTGTCTACATCTGTACATGTAATTCTAGCTCTCAACCCATTATTGAACATTTAGATGCATATGTTAATTACACCAATGGAAAACAACATTTTGTATTAATTATTTGTCTGTGGACAATAAAATCAAGGAAATTGAAACTTTACGCAATAATGCAGATCGAAGTATAGTATAGCCATGGGAGCATTAATAATTCCAAACTAGATGATATATAGACCTAGTTCTTGTTGAAATTTTTTCACAAAAAAGATTTGGTAGTTTACTGATCGGATATTGCAGTGGCTTGATGGGTAGTTTATATTATTGTGTACCGGTATAATTGTATTCAACAAGGATTTACCTGACAGTGACAGTATTTAATTTATATGCATGTGGTATAGCACGACATACAGCTGATCAGATTTTTGGTGTGAATAATTATTCTTTTACTTTACCAGGTCGCTGCGGTATAATTTGAATGATGACGGCCGCTGAGGATGTATCCCTTCCTTCGCTTACCTTTCAACTGGAGCTGTTTCCAGAGACATCAGGAACAATTGCATTGTTTGAAGATGTGATGAATGTCACTGACCTGAAGGCAATGTTGATCAACAAAGAGCTTGATGCTGTGATGCTGTCTCCAAAAATGGTGATTAGTAATTCTCTTCTTCTTCCTCTTCTTTTTATTTTCCTCCTAATTCTTAGTCTTCTTCATCTCCTCCTCCTTCTCATCCTCCTGCTTTGATTCTTCTGCTTCTCCTCTAGCTTCTTCTTCTTCCTCTTCTTCTTCCTCTTCTTCTTCTTCTTCTTCTTCTTCTTCCTCTTCTTCTTTTTCCTCTTCTTCTTTCTCCTCTTCTTCTTTCTCCTCTTCTTCTTTCTCCTCTTCTTCTTCCTCCGCTTCTTCTTCTTCCTCTTCTTCTTCTTCCTCCGCTTCTTCTTCTTCTTCTTCCTCTTCTTCTTCCTCTTCTTCTTCTCTTCCCTCTTCTTCTTCTTCTTCTTCTTCTTCTTCCTCTTCTTCTTCCTCTTCTTCTTCTCTTCCCTCTTCTTCTTCTTCTTCTTCTTCTTCTTCTTCTTCTTCTTCTTCTTCTTCTTCTTCTTCTTCCTCTTCTTCCTCTTCTTCTTCTTATTCTTCTTCTTCTCCATCTTTTTTTCTTTCTACTTCTTCTTCTTCTTCATCATCTTCAAACTCAAAGGGCTTTATGCAGCCTAAAGACTGCAAGCAGTGTGAGAAAGACAATGTTGCAAAAATGAATTTCAGTTCATCTGTCATTACTCAACATTAGTGTAATACTATACTGCCTTTTTAATAGGAAAGGGTCCAAAGAAACATAGAAAATCAACAACAAAAAACAAAAACAAACAACTTATGAGCTAGTTTGAATGGTCATGACACTATGGCCCGAATTCACAAAGGAGGTTTGTCGACAAACTAGGTTTCATATGACACGTTTTGACGCGTTTTTATTGTAAAAACGCGTCAGATGACGCACAAAAACCTCCTTTGTGAATTTGGGCCATAGAGTTGGAAAATGAATAATAAATCAGTTTGGGTGTGTTGGGATGGGGGGAGGAGAGATGTTAAATGATACTTTATAAAGCCAGTGTCTAACTTCGGACCAGAAAAATAATGCTGTGAAAATTTGATGTATTGCGATCCATTCTGCGGGTTTCTTTCATTGATAATGTATTATACTTTCTTCCCTAGTTGGTGAGCCCATTCCAGATAATGGTAGCAGTGAACAAGGCACTCCATGTCCATGCCACAGGCCATGCAATAACCAGGACGGTTAATTCCGAAATCATCTACAGTCTGTCTCCATCCACTAATGTAAGTTGTACTGTAATTCAGGAGCATTTCTAGATGAATGATTTCTTCTTCTTCTTCTTTTTTTTTTTGGGGGGGGGGGGGGAATGGGGGAGGTTGGAAGGCTCTTGCTGGTATTTTCTGCATAATGCTAATTTCATATTCAATAATATATTTTGGGGGAGAGAGGGGCATTGAACCCCCCCCCCCCCCCCCCCCCCCCCCCCAGGGACTGCTGGAACCAATCATAAAGGACCTTTTTATCAACCTACCCCGGTATAATAAAATTGAGTACAGGGTAAAAAAAAAATATAGTGAAATCTTTTTTTGATTAATATAATGTGAGCACATACCATAGGAGATTTATATCCTTTATGATCCATTTACAGAAGAAAACATTTGTGGCTTTTTTTCCCTTCATTTCTGGGGGCCTTAGGAGTTGAGGGGGCTCAAATCGCTCGATACCCATAGGCCCCATCAATTGTGTTGTCGTTGTTAAATAATGCCCTTGAAAGGGATGACTAAATATATGCATCCATAAAATAGTATTTTCATTGCTCCATTGCTTGTAAACTATACAGACCTTTAATGTTGGCAATTTACCAATGGTAAATGCAAATTAACTCAAACTGAAACAAGCAACTCAATCTCTCCATTGTTTACAGATCAGTGAATCCTTTAAGGTGTTTGCCATGGGATCTACTGACACATCGGTGGTAGTGATTGTTTTAGATGATCCTGATCAAACCAAGCTGAAGTGCATTGCTGCAAAGATTGAAGGGGTCTGTGTTCCTCTAGCTCAACTCTCTACACATACAGATGAAATCATGATCAAGAAGGTATTGCAATGTACATGTACTTATAGTATTTCTTTTCTTTTCTCATTGATATTGACACAACAGCAAAATTATCCAAGTTGCCTACATAAAATACAAAAATCATAATTAAGTCACATGTTTGCGATGGGATCTACTGACACATCGGTGGTAGTGATTTTTTTTTTTGGGGGGGGGGGGGTGGGGGGAATGTTCCAAAACATTGAATTTGTATTGATACTCTATTCATATTAAGATTTTGTTCAGAATTTTAAGATGTAAAGTAGCAGAAATAACCAAGTATATTTTTAATTTGATTAAGTTTGAATGAAATTTCTTTAAAGAGACTTTGCAAGCATAACATCTCACTGTCACAATGTTTCTAATTTTTCTTCTCATTATTGTAGAAATACTCTATCAGTAAAGCAGAGCTTTCAGTAGGTTCTCTAGAAGATGCTGTGATTTGCAAAATGGCATCGAGTGATCTCTCCTGACAAGTCAAATGATTTCCAATTTTTGGACAAGAATTTACTGTTGCTAAATAGCAACTACAGGAGATCTCTTTGGCCTATATCAACAATGTTGGTGGACTCTGCAAGTTGACATCGGGATCTACAGGATGAGAATATCGAACTTAAGACGTGGATGCATCAAAGATTCATGTTTTTATTTGAAAGCGTAAACAGTCATAAATGTATATTTGAGACTCTATGACTGTGCTACTTTTTAGGGAGGTTTGAACTATAGTCTTTGATATTATAATTGTTCTTAATAGTCTTTGTAGATCGGTTTAGGCCATATTATGTGATCACTCTGGTAGTGATCACAAGCATTATTTTGCGTGGCTGAGAACTTGCTGATCGATGAGACACCTACAGCTAGTACCATTGGCAGTCTTTGTACAGCTTGGAGAGGAAATGTTGAATTATTGATATTTACTCCAAATTAGGCTATACATTTTGAAATGCTCTAGAATTTCTTGTATTTGTGTAAAGGTGCAGTACATGTAGTTCCTGCACTTGACTCCCTTTGATGGTTCAAATCCCAGCCCTACACTAACAGTCTTTTGTCACGACATTAATCCACTTTTGCAATGGCTCCCCACTCGGTTGCAAATGGGTACCTGGCAATTGTTGCTACATGTATTATTAAAATACATATGTACGACACAGAAACTGGCTGAAGTTGAGATACAGCATTTGATGGCTCCTCCTAAAAGGGGGAGGGGTAGGGGGCCGTAAAGGCATTGTTTAACAATGTTAAATCTGAGGTGCACGACCCTACATGTTATCAGTGTCTGTGATATGGCGTAGTATTAAAGCCCTAAAAAAAATTGCGCTTCAAAACGATCAAGAAGTGCCTCAAAAAGAAAAAATCTTTGAGTTTCCGGTTTTACCATACTCTAATTCCCCAATAGACTGTAGTGTTCTGCAAACTGTTAGGAAAATGCAAAATTTGGTTTTGCCAATTTCCAATCATAAATATCTTGATAATCAGACAGGTGATCGGCTTGTAGAAATCATGGGGTTCCTGACTGATCTAAAGGTTTATAATTATCATTGCAGCACGAGCTAAATAAAGGATTTTGTTTCGGAATCTGAGACAAGGTTACTGGATCCCTTTAAGCCAGCTCCAGCCTATGCTGGATAACCACTGATATACTCATGTATAGTATACACATATTTGATGATGACAACCAGACATAAATGGAGTTGAGTAGCAAAAATTCACTATACTACTGGTTTTTTAGGTGATCATAATCTCACTGTAATCCGCAAGTAAAGAAGAATGAATGTATTGAAAATAAAAATGTGTAATTAATGACAAAATCTTTGATTGAGGCGTAGGTTATTTATGTATAATAAATGTATAATAATGTCACTGCAATCATTCAACGTTTTCTGTATATGTATATGGTGTAAAGATTGGGTGAAATAAAAATGCTTTGGGTGACAACATTATATTATTTTAGAAAGGGAGAGGTCTATTGTCATGCCGAAATGACATGTGGTGTCTAGGAGAGGAAAAGAGAGAGAGAGAGAGAGAGAGAGAGAAGGGGGAGGGGGAGAAACAGAAAATGAATAGAAAACATGATTATAAATAGCCCTCCCCCACCAAAAAAAGAAAAGTCTGAGACAGGAGGTGAAGTGGTAGAAAATGAGATAGAGAGAGAGAGAGAGAAGGTGTGTGTGTGTGTGGGGGGGGGGTGGGGGGGGGGGGGGGGCAAACAGAGATAATTTACACTTAAATGAAAGACCAACATTTGTTCTCTGACTTTGTTAAATGCCTCTTTCCATCTTTTTCTTTTCTTTTCTCTCTTTCCTCTGCTCTCTCCACTCACACATTTCACTTGAACAGATACAGCACTCTCCATCCAATTTCTGCTCTTCTTTAACTGTGTTTTTCCAGAAGAGTCGAGACAAATTGACATCAAAATTATTTACATTCTTCATTTATTACAAAAGGTGGAGAAATAAAGACAAGGATGCAGTGGAAATTTGAAAATCAGTAAAAAGAGCTCTGATATAATTATGGTACTCGACAATATGAGATCATTTTGATGGAACCAGCTCAACTTCATTTTTAAATCCCTTATTTAACAAGACACCTGTTATAAACAGATAATTTCCATGGTCCTCTCCTCGTTCTAATAAGTTTCCTTTGTACTGTACAGTTCAAAGTATACATGCACGATTGTACAAAGAAGAGTACTAAAAAAACAAGAATGATTAAAAATCATTGTAAATGGGAGTTTTTAATTTCTACAACTTTTCCAGATTTTGAATTCCTGAATGGTCAGATTCAGAAAGTGACTTTACATTGAAATATCTTTGATCAAAAATTGGAAATGTGTAAAGACCATTTATTAGAAGAAATTTTAGGAAATTACATTTATTCACACTTGTCAGCTGCCTTCTTTATCACTTTATATTTGCCTAATGAAACATTAAAACTAAAGAAGTAAAAATGTACTGATTATATCGAGGTAACTACTACGTAATCACACTGTTTTTAATATACTGTGAAACCAGCAAATTTTGTATATTTCTCGCATGGTCCAGATTCACAGAAATATTGAATCACAACACCATCAAGCCAAAAATTCATTCCACAAAAACGGTTGTTAATTCATTAAAGATTCTGGTTATATAATTAGAGATCTTGAATTCTCCAATATATCTACATATTCCTGATTGGGTATGCTGTGCTTCCCCTCACTTACCGGTAAGCCTTAATCGGCAGGGATGAAAAAGTAGCTTAAAAGAGCCTACTCGATTATAAATGTAGAAAGGCCCATACATATTACACAATGAGGGTAGGGGGAAATATGCCCAAAACAGAAAAATAACAGTGCATGAACAAAAATCAGGCAAATGCCTGGAAACTGGCACTTCTTGATGTCAATGATGTTTTTCTAAATTAATAGTGAAGGAACCACTCTCCTTATTCATGTATTTCTCTTCCTTTTTAGACGCTGGAAAAAACTTATTTATTTCACTGACATTGAGTCTTAAAACTTGAAATTTCCCAAATATTCACAACTATATTCTCAAATGAAATGCTATTAAAACAGCAAAATAAGAATACTGGTGGTTTCTTGACAAAACGTCTTTCTCATGTTTATTCACATGCTAACATTATTTTTTGACAAGATTTTTTCGTACAAATCAATGATTTCAAGACTGATTGGTTCTAAATTTTAATAAAATACTGGTAGGACAGATTTTTTGAAGTAATTCCAGAATACATTGGACCTGAGGTTCTGAACTAGGATTGATATAGGACTTATCCAGGACAGACCAATGGTTCTAGTAACCCTGCCGTCAAATCGGAATGAAAGCCCTCAACCTATCAAATGGAGGTATACCATTTTAAGCTCTAGATTGATGTGACGGACAACACTTCATCCAGATGCAACACAGCATTGATCCTTCCATTCCAAATGACCAGTTGAAACCATCATCTTGAGCACATGAATAAATCTCAACTTCTCTCCCTCGGTTCACACTCGAGCATATGGAGTATATCCTCGAAACAATTGTCTATTATGAAATAAGTGTTCATCATGCTTCTGGGTATGCCTTCACTATAGCAATGTCCACTCTAGGTCTGTCATCCATATCGGTCTGGACCATGCCTAGACGCTTCAGGACGCTGATTCCGTCGCTCACTCGTCCAAATATGGTGTGCTTGCCATCTAGCCACTGGGTGGGGGCCAGGGAGAGAAAGAACTGGCTTCCATTGGAATTGGGTCCACTGTTTGCCATGGACAGGACTCCAGCCCCCGTGTGTTTCAGGTCTGTTGTGATCTCATCCTCAAACTGCTTCCCCCAGATGGAGTTTCCGCCACGCCCTGGAAGATAGCAAAACATTAATAATAATAATAATAATAATAATAATACATTTATAGAGCGCAGAAACTATCCAACATTAAGTATATATTCTACTGCACTACAAGAGCTCCTGATATGCTTAGATTTACAGTTAATTAAAAAGATGTGTTTTCAGTTTTGATTCAAAGATAATCACAGATGGTGATTTCCTGACTTCAAATGGCAAGTTATTCCATAACATTAATTGTGTAATAGCTTTTTAAATTGCAAACTCGGCATTCGTTGAAGGAACAGATGATCTAACATCAAACCTCCAGGGGTTAGCTAACATAAGGATAAAGGAACCATTCCCTAAACATTTGGGGATCTACAGATTCCTTTTCTGTACATGAGTTTTCTTGCATCACCAATGTAAAGCAACTGCCAACGCCAAACACAAGAACATCCCAATATTAACAAGTTCTAATCTAGATTAAACTATATAAGAAGGATTGAAGGATATGTGTATAATTTATTCAATTAAAAAGAAAGCATACAGTATTTCATCAGTCTTGAAACAATGGTGTAATTTTTCCCCACTGCATATTGAGATGATGAGTATTATACAGTCCCATGGTCAGGGAAACTGTCCACAAGTAATTCTCAACAGCTGTGTAGTAAATAAGAATAAACAATGCCACTATGTTATTTTCCCTTAGCATGATCATAACAAAAATGAGAAATCTCACAACTGATTTATCACTTTTATACAACTATTCCCTATCCTCTTGTATACACATGACTGACTGAATTTCAAATGAAATGTATTCACAGCTATACAATTACCATTTCCATGTATTGCATAGTACATAGTTTTATGACAATGACTTTCATGTTTCTGAATAATACCTGTTCCTGTGGGATCTCCTCCTTGTACCATGAAATCCTTGATGATCCTATGAAACTTGACACCATTGTAATATCCTCTTCTTGCTAGCTCTGCAAAGTTTTGGCAAGTCTTCGGAGCTTGATTCCAGTACAGTTCCACAGAAATCTTTCCCATACTGTAAGTGTGTGAATTAACAAAAAAATAGTGTACAGTTATTGAGATAATATCTGAAGTACCTAGAGTGTAGTACATGTAGATCTATGCTCATACATAAACATTCATTTAAAGGAAGTGTAGACTGACGAGACTACGTGTCTTTCCTGTGGCCTGACTAAATTGGGGTTAATCGGGTATAACAAGACTACAGACAATGTGACTGCAGCATGAAATACATATGCATGTGCAGATTTTACACGCTGGCACCATGGATTTGGGCTGAGCAGAGTCGCGCAAATTTAGCTGATTAAAAAGATGGGGGAAGGGTACTTTCAAATGTAACTGCTTGTGATCCCTTGGGGCTAGCGAAAAACTAAGCACATGAATATATTCATTACAGCTGGCCCAACTTAAGCCTCGGGGGCTCAATTCATGAAGGTGGCAAATCTTGGAGCTACGATGAAAATAAAGTTTAAATCGCTGTTTTGATCAAGATATATTTAGAGTTCCGAGTCGAGCCCCTTTGGGGTATATGGAGAAAAACCTGCTCTTTCATATGACACCTCATTAATTGAGTACCACCTTCAGGACCACGAGCCGTAAAGGTTTGAAACTCTATTTGGTAATAAAAACATTGACCAATTTTGCATGAGCGCGCAATGCACGTAGACTGCATAGGGAATAGGGATATGTGCAATCTCTATGGGAAGGATTTTAGCACACAAAACCGAGTGCACGATTCAGACACCCAATATTAGTTTTCGTCATTCAACACTAGAGGGCGCGCTTGTGGACGTACTTGGTTTAATATACGTAAGGTGTCCTCAATTTTAGGCTGTGAGCTGGCTGCATTGGTTTTGGCAAGGGTGGATTGATATTATGTTTTTTTTTTAAGTGATGTGGTTATTTGGCAAACTTACGTGCGTACCTATTTCCCACATACTTGCAGCTTCTTACGACTGCGATTTTGGTTGTGACTACCGCTAGAAAGCTAAAATTTTGTCTGAATTTTCACCTCGATGAGTCCAAATTTTTGCATATTTTATTGTGAACTTTGTCATATTATATTCTTAATCCATAGTGTGCATGATTTGGCAGTCTCAACACTTTGTTTTTTTAAATTGAAGTGTTTTCTGATTTTTTGAAAGTATGTTTTGTCTTCCCCACATATCATTTTCAGAACACAAACTGAGGCTTATGATGGCCTTTTTTTGATGATTGGCTGCTCAACAATTGGGCCCGTGAACGTATGAATTACGGTAATATTATGGTAGATAACTTTACACAGGCACACGCTCGCCTGCATCGGTATGCACTTGTATCGTGCAGCGGTTTGCCGTGAAACCTGTGAAAAAGTGTATACTAATTTCAACGTTTATCCAAAAAAATACTCCAAAAATAACAAGAAAATTGACACGAAACAGGTAATAAACATAATAGGCCTGAGTCATGTCGGGATTTTCATAAACCGGGTCCCGACGGCCTTGCACCGGTCGGGACCCGGTGTCCCGAAATCAGCTCGCAGGATTTGTCACTTGCCTCTATAAAAAGCGCATATCATCAGTATGTCCCTTAAAAGTGACATTTTTATCAGTCAAATAAATCAACACATGCATACCTCGGCACAGATTGGTATATTCTTCCATTTGACATTATATTCATCCATGATTGGCGATGTTTAGTGCCATTATCGTGCCTCTAAAAGTAAAAAAACTCGAGCAAAAATATAAAGACTACAATCGAGCCGCCATTTTGATTTATGCAGGTTGATTAAATCTGGTCAAAAAATATGAATGTTAGAATAATAAAACGGCTTTCTAAAAAATTCTTCTGTACAATATACCGATCATATAATATTTTAAAGACAAAAATTAATATTTATCTCTTTTTTTTAAACATCGCATGCTTTTTTTTAAAAGCTGAAAATTACTTGGTAATCACAAGAAGTTTCGATACGAATAGCTGTTGCAAGGCAAGTTCAGACTAGTCTCGGAAAAATGCGCAGTGCTCCTCGTTATCTGTAATGCGTGCCAGAACGAACCCAAACAAAGACGTGATCGTAACGAGAAAAAAATCATTAAAAACTACGAGAGCACAATTGGAAAGATATACTGCTCAAAATTACCATAATCAGATACATAACTTGGACAAAGAATTCAATAATCGCCCAAGAAATGCCACAGAAATTGTGATAATCGAGGAGTAACTGGGTACATTTTTATCGCAAGGGGCCTGCTGCAAATACTCAAATCCTTTGTTATACTGCTTTTTACCGTAGAGGGCGGTATTTGCCTCGTGTTCAATTTAAACACGTTTAGATATAATGCAGCAGGCCCTTCCGATAATGATTGTACCTATAGTAACTCATTAAATATCACTATTTATGTGGCTTTTCTTGGACAACTATTGTATTCTTCCTCCAAGTTATGTATCTGCTTACGATAATTTTGAGTAGTTGTCTTTCCAATTGTGCTCTCGTAGTTTTTAATGATTTTTTTTCTCGTTACGATCACGTCTTTGTTTGGGTTCGTTCTGGCACGCATTATAGCTAACAAGGAGCACTGCGCATTTTTCCGAGACTAGTCTGAACTTGCATTGCAACAGCTATCCGTATCGAAACTTCTTGTGATTACCAAGTCATTTTCAGCTTTTAAAAGAAGCATGCGGTGTTCAAAATCAAAGAAAAAATATATATTTTGTCTTTTAAAAATTATTCGATCGGTATGTTGTAAAGAAGTACTTTTTAGAAAGTCGTTTTATTATTCAAACATTAATGTTTCTTTCAACCTGATTTATTAATTCTGCCGAGAGACTCGGCCAGTACAATAGCTAGCTAGCAGCTAGCTGGCAACAACAACCCCATGAGGCGAACTGCTTTGCAACCCATATTTCTATCAGCAGTTCGGATTGATTCTGGATGAGCTAGAATACGATTGGTAACAATTAAATACTTAAGTTTTAGGGTGGATTGATTTTAGTGGTGTGCAAAACTGCAATTTCTTACATATTTCATTATTTTTTTCGGAGCGCCGGTTCTCAAAAAACGAAACCGGGACCCGACGGCAACGGTCGGGTCCCGGTGTGATCGACCGTACCGACTCAAGCCTAAAACATAACGAATTTTAACTCGTGATCTTTATTTGGAAATTTAATGAATATTTACTTCATTTTGCCTTGGGTATGTTTTAGTAATAGTATATCTAGGGTATCTCCACGCCGGAGTTACAGGCCAAATTTTGGATACGTTTCTGAACAAGCGCCAATTTTTTTTTCCCCTTCTCTTTTCTGCTTCCATTAAAAATTGTTAGGCCTAGGTCTAAGTTAGACCAGTGCAATTAGACCCAACTTGAATTTGGCGTAAATATTCATTTTGTAAATGACCAATTTACCATGACTACGACTACGAGTGGCTCACACACAGAAAAAGATAAAACAAAACAACAACAACACAGTACACAGACACAGTAAGGCGTAACACTAACAGTACTAAAACACACGTTTTCAGTTTTCACCAACATTAAAATAAACGTCTGGGGCTGGAATTATAATTCTCGTTTTAAAATCATCAAAATCTTTTGAAGCTTGATTTCATTCCTCTCGAAATCTGGACAAAAATCATTATACATGCCATACCTTGTTTCTAAGCATACTTTTGGAGGATTAACGTTTGAAGACATGATTTCTGGACTGTAAAACGTGGTCAGTACTCTCAGTAATTTTGATCCAAACGCCAAAGTATAGTTTTGTGTTCAGACGCATCGTTTTTTTTTTTATTAAAGACAGTTAGCCTGCTCTCCAGACGGCAGTTATTATAGGTTTGATTGAATGGGGGGGGGGGGGGGGGGGGGAGGGAGAAAGAGAGGGGGATTCAAAAATGGAGATGATTGAGGAATAAAGGATAAGTCCACTCCAAAAATAACTTAGCCTACCTTAAATAGAAACAGAAAAATCAGACAAACCAATAACAAAAAAATTGAGCAAAATAGGGTAACTATAATAAGGAAAGCTATGAATTTTGAAAAAGTATGTAAAACCATGGAACAATGAAAAGCACAAGACAAATTGGGGACTCACTCATCAGTCTGTGACGTCATGTCCTCACTATCCACTAATTATTTTCTTTATATTGATAATATAAATTTCCATGTCCCCCCTAAGAATCTTATTTTTTCACACCAGCATCCGGCCAAGTTAGATTGATATAAGTTTTTGTGTGGATGCACTAATATAGAGTAAATTTTTTCCAGTTAAATCATGACAAATGTGAATTTTTGATAAACTATTTATATAAAAATCAATAATTATGAATCGATATTCAGAAAATAGTATCAATTCTTCAAAGTTCATAAGAGGTTTTGTCCCGGCCCCCCCACTCCGAGGTCGGAATGACCGCATGCGTGTTGCCAAAATGTCCGGTAAAGGGGTACTTTTCGTGCGACAAAGTCCGGCCCGAGAATTGTAAAAAAAGGGGTGTATTTGACTTTTCACCCGGGATTTCTTTAAAAAGGGGGTGTTTTTTCTTTTTTTCTCTCATCTCTTTGGACTCCTGAGAAATTATTCAGAATTTATGGGGGTAAATCTAGCATTTTTCCGAATTTAGGGGGGTCTCCAAGGCAGGAAAAGCCCGCAAAAAGCCCGCAAAAGGGGGGTTCGGAAAAGTTGGCAGTCCTCAGATAGGGGGTGCTTTCAAAAAGAGGGAACGAGCATATGCGTACCCTAAATAACACTGAGTGGGGGGGCCGGGGGTTTTGTGAAATGTCAAGCACCGTGACTCAATATGATACAAATCATATAACCTGGGCAAAGGTATGGGGAAATCAAGTTTTGGGGGATAAAAAGGGAAATTAATGGGATTAAACTATATTACATGACGTCACAAACTGATAACCAAATTGGCAATTTGTGTAGTGATTTTCATTGTTCCATAGCTTTACATACTTTTTCAAAAAAATTTAATTTTCTTATTAGTTATCCAATTTTGCTCAAACTTTTTTTGATTGGTTTGTCCAATATTGTTCTGCTTCTATTGAAAATTAATTATTTTTGGAGTGGACTTGTACTTCAAAGACAGGAACAAAGACAGGAAAATGGACAGGAATTCTCATGAAGAGGGAAATGTTGAGATTTTGGGGTATTTATAAATTTCTGGCATAAATACAATAGACCTGTTCATAGATAGCACACGGTACAAAAGTCCCCTAATATCTAAAGATCTTTTACACATGGAGATGTCCCACTTAGTGCATATTTCAGAACAATCACTGCCAAAGTGATGGAGGTGCTTAACAAATAAATTTTATTTGCCTCTTGAGAAAAATCAAACACCTTCGTTCCATAGAATGTAGGCCTACTGGCGGTGTCTAAATGCAGAATGATACATAACTTTCATGAAGCTGTATCCAGCATTCATCTTGATGGGTTTTGCACTTTTGTACAAATTATCTTTATCTATATACCCATGTGCAGATAATGCCTATGAGCTGACTTATTTAAAAACAGAACAGACATAACCAAAATGTAAGTTAACCAAACAGTATTTGTTGACTGAATTTATTTTCTTCTCAATATACTGTACATGGCTGCTGTTTGTGCAGCATACAATTCCCATGACAGGATAAAATACTGTATGAAACTTCAACATGCTATAGATGTCTAAATAACTCTTCTTCTCTCTCTAATCTGAAACTGGGGTCAACATAGGCATGCATATGTCTACAATAATACAATTCAATGATATTCTGTAACTGACTCATCACAGCTTTAAATACATCAAATATGGTGGAACAACGATACAAACACTGTTATAACAACCTTTCATTTAAAAATGGTATCTGGTAGCCCCAACTCTTTGTATTCTATTTTTTTATCGCCCAGATATAACAAGGTTTCACACCAAATAATAAGATCATTTCCTATAGGGTTTCACTGTGTAAATAACAATAGCTAGTTAAAATCAGGTGTCTCATGATTATTTTACACAAACCATTACTGGTATTACTATTACATTCATAGTAACATTCCTCCTTGATTAAAACTAAAACATACATACACATGTATGTACTTAGACAGAGAGAGGCTTGTGAAATCTTTAAAAAAAATTGAATATATTAATAATAATTAAAATATTGTTTAAAACTTTAAATAATCTACCACAGTGTAGACCATGTTATTTTGCAAAACAAATGCTGGAAATGTCATGAATGGTGTGTTTATCTTCATCCTTTTCCTGTTTAGACTAATCACACAAAAATAAATACACACACACACACACACACACAGTGTGTGATGCATCAATTTTTTCAAAACAAAGTTTGTTGGTTTGAAAGATAAATCATGTAAAAGATTTATAAAAACATATTAAATGCCAATCATAATCATGAGATATTATGGATCAGAAGGTTCATTATAATGTATTTAAATGCGCTTTTTATATATTCATTATATATTCTTTCCATTGCATCATCTGTCTTTTGTAAATCTCATTATTAAAAAAAAACAAGAATCAGAGCTGGTAAGAGCAAATGAATAAAATGACATCTCTATTTTACCTGACCAATTAAAGGTAAAGACCAGTATTGGAAACGCCCCAATTTCAAAAAATGAAATGGACGCTCTTTATTACCAATCATGTGAAAGAATATGTTTTGACTAATACATGATGATAAAATTTTTGCCGGGAAACCGCCCACTAATTGATATATTTGGATTATTTTGATGATTCCAGAACCTTGCAGTACACACGAATACTTATATGCTAGATGATCAACCTTTTCTGATCGATTTCACAATGTTTCTTTCACAATGCATTCGCATGACCATAACTGGTCTTTATCTTTAACCCATTGCCTACGGAAACCGGATAATTCATGTATTAAGTCTATGGGAATGAGAGAATTCAGAATTCAACGGATTAAGTAAGACAGTAAATGCTTGTAGACAAGCAAACAAAGGATATGGCTGCAAGTCTTATCAAAGAGATCTGGTAATTACGAATAAGTATGTATTTCATACTGACAGGCACAAGGGCCTGACTTGGTTTTGAACCCAGGACCCCTTCGTTACAATACCATCGCTCTTCCACTGAACCAACATGCCTCCTTTAATATGTAGGTTATTAAGTTATTCAATGGGTAATTAGAAATGAAGGGAGTGAGCTAGGAATAGGACTTTACAGGGACTCCATGTCATCTGTGAAGTGCTGACTTGGTGCAGTTATATGAAGCGTGCCTACTCCCACTGCATCATAGGTCCACTTGGGGTACATGCGTTTGAATAGGTTCATCATTATACAGTCTTGAGACTTCATCTTCCCATCAAAGATACACTTCATATGTCCATGGGTGCCTAGAAAAACAAAGGGAAAAAGGAAAAAAAATGTTTAGCTGCATTTACACCTTTCTCACAAATGACAAAAAGTAGAAAGAAAGTCCACCGGTACTCAGTATACACTTACCGGTACACATTTCAGGAAAACAATATCCACATGAACTGGAAAATATTATTTGTACATTAAAAGTTATGAAAATTTGAAAGATCACTTGTATTCATCTATGAAGCCTTCTAAACAAAAGAAATCCTCTGCAGTGCCCTACAGGGATATACAAATGAAAATTTAAAGGTACTATGTCCCATTTGTAGGCCAAAAAAATGAAAAAGTTAAATTCCAACTGCATCTGAAAGATAATACTAATCTAGAACTTCCCCCAAAAAGGTGGGGCTTGAAAATGTCTTCAAGTGGGAAAATAACGACTATTAGTTGTCAAATCGACTTTAGGGCTATAGAGCCCAAAAGTAATAGTCTTGATTTTCAGACAATTGTACCGAATGGTCACGGTTTAAGCTGCGCAAAGATTCAATCAGTTTAATATTTGCCATCACAAGAAGTGGGTTATTGATGTAGACAAATGCTCATGTACCCTTTACAACTCTTTTCATGTATGTTATTACCAAAGAAGAAAACTAGATGGAATTTTGACTGCGCGCAGTCGAAAATGATGCCTCCGCCATAGAGCAATTTAAACAAGTTTGGAGTTTAAATCTCCAGTGGTTCTTGAGATATCATGATAACAATCTCAATGTATGGAATTTCATAAGTTGACCTCTGTGACCCTTGACCTTTGACCTACGTGCTCCAAAATCTAATCAGATTGTCTTCCTATGGTGATACACACTATCATTAAGTTTGAAGTTTAAATCTCCAGTGGTTCTTGAGATATTATGATATAGTGATACATACTATCATTAAGTTTGAAGTGAAAATTCTCCAGTGGTTCTTGAGATATCGCGATAACGATCTCAATGTATGGAATTTCATAAGTTGACCTCTGTGACCCTTGACCTTTGACCTACGTGCTCCAAAATCTAATCAGATTGTCTTCCTATGGTGATACACACTATCATTAAGTTTGAAGTTTAAATCTCCAGTGGTTCTTGAGATATTATGATAACAATCTCAATGTATCGAATTTCATAAGTTGACCTCTGTGACCCTTGACCTTTGACCTACGTGCTACAAAATCTAATCAGATCGTCTTCCTATGGTGATACATACTATCCTTAAGTTTGAAGTTTTTACATCTCCAGTGGTTCTTGAGATATCATGATAACAATCTCAATGTATGGAATTTCATAAGTTGACCTCTATGACCCTTGACCTTTGACCTATGTGCTCCAAAATGTAATCAGATTGTTTTTCTATAGTGATACACACTATCACTAAGTTTGAAGTTTAAATCTCCAGTGGTTCTTGAGATATCATGATAACAATCTCAATGTATGGAATTTCATAAGTTGACCTCTGTGACCCTTGACCTTTGACATACGTGCTCCAAAATCTACTCAGATCGTCTTCCTATGGTGATACATACTATCCTTAAGTTTGAAGTTTAAATCTCAAATGGTTCTTGAGATATCGCGCTAACAAACTCAATACAAGGAATTTCATAAGTTGACCTCTGTGACCGGTGACCTTTGACCTACGTACTCCAAAATCTAATCAGATCGTCTTCCTATGGTGATAAATACTATTCCCGAGTCTTAAGTTTAAATCTTAAATGGTTCTTGAGATATTGTGATAACGGTCAAACGGGACGGACGTACGGACGTACGGACGGACAACCCGAAAACATGATGCCTCCGGCACCACCTTCGGTGGCGGAGGCATAAAAAGCCAGTCAGTTACTCAATAGTGTCTGACAGTGAAGTCTAGCAAGTAAACGGGTTTCCTTGCATAATTTGAATATGAGGACACTACTAACGTTTAAATTTCACAGATAGGACATTCATGACATATTCATAATTCTTGCAAAGTTCTACAGAATTTGAGGTTGGCTGCAAAAGGGACATAGTACCTTTAACACTCAGATTTTATGCAAAAAGTTTAAAATTGAGCAGAATTCCTTATTTTCCTTTCAAAATTTGGTACAAAGAGTGTTTCATGGTATCAACTATCATACTTCATGAACTCAGTTTAAATTTCGAAAAGAAGCATGAGCTTATCTTGATAGTCCGAATGCATATTAAACTCTATTACAGTTTGGGTGAAATTTGCTATACCTGTATATCAAATCATTTTTCTAATCATAATTTGCTGCATAATAATCCTGCTACACATTCAATTTTCTTTATAAGAATAACCACAGAAGAAAAGTTTAAACAAAACTTCAAGCATGCAAAGAAAGTCATAGTGATATTTAGTCTTCAGCATATAAACATAAATGTAAGATGCCATGTACAAATAACATATTATACCAAGAATCAAAGGAAGCAATTGTGGAGGATTCAAGAATGTTAAGTCAACATTTCTTATAGTTTCAGTCAAACCTGTCTATAGTGACCGCCCAAAGAAACATAAAAAGTGGTCTTTGTAGACAGGTGGTCTTTGAAGACAGGTGGTCTTTGTAGACAGGTTCCTTTAGTACATGTTTCAATGAGAAACCATTTTCAAGGGAAACTAAAAAATGTGGTCTTTGTAGACAGGTGGTCGTTAAAGCAGGTTTGACTGTATTACCTAACGGTTCTTTGATATGCCCTCTTCTGCCCCACTTGGTGCGTATCTCCACTGGCTTGAACCACATGATGTCCTCTGTAAATGATGAAAGCAAAGGAAAACTTGAAATTATATAATCTTGGAGTGTGAAAAAAAGAATATAATAAAAGAAAAATATAAAGAATATATATACAACCTATTGTGTACAGGAAGAATAAAGAGTGATCAAAAATCTATTCCATGCCTATCCCTTTTAAACAATTTTAATAGTCATACAAATATTCAAGCGAGATAAGTAGATGTCTGGATTGGGAGGGGGGGGGGGGGGAGGTAGTTGAACTAGGAGGGTACTTGTTCTAGAATCATCTAGAATCATCTTGAGCCAGGATGGCAGGAGGTGCACGCTTCAAAGTACCATAAGAATGATTGCCTTTTGGGGTTTCGGCAGATGATCAGAGCTGCCAACCTTGTACGACCCAAAAAAGGAACCATGATGGCAAAAAAAAGAGGAAATTCAAGCAAAAAAAAGGAATCCATTAAAACGAAACTTCCAATGCAGAAATGTCCATTCCTCATGCTGTTTTTTTCCATATTAGGACCTACAGTTTATTTACGAGTATTTTGTTGTTATTATTTTCGTATTATTGGCGTTTCATTCTTTTTGAGAATACTTTTCTCTTCAAGTATGTTTTAACGATAGTTTTCTATTGAATTTGTGATCAAAATAACATTTTAGGGCAGTTGTTTGACGTGCGGTTTGTAAAAAAAACCAAAAAAAAAACCAACATTTTATGAAGAAAAAAACGTAATACCGTAATTTGGAGGGAAAAAAATTACTACCGGTACGGGAAAATGGAATGTTTGGCAGCTACAGATGATGTATTCTTGTCTTGTTTTTAACTCACCTCTGTTGAAGAACATGTATCTGACCACAGCCGCTCTGTTGATGATCTTGAACGGATGACCACTGAGGACTGCTCTCTTGACCACTACCCTGTCGGGATTCACTCCTAGCATTGTCCCTGTTGCTACAAGCTGATGGGATCCTACAAAATACATCAAGATAATAAATCATCAAATCATCATCTCCTCACTATGAGAGATCCAGAATTGATGATACAAGATGATCAAGATCAACTTGATTTACAAAAGTTTGACGTATACCAAATATCCAAATTTGTATATTATATAATACAGATATAACAAAGAAATCTAAGCAATACAACAATTTACCTAGGAGAAAACCTTTCACATCATTCAAAAGTTAGCTGATGTTTGAATCCTTCTTCTGAACATGTATGGAGAAGTATGTTATTTGGTTGTACTCACAGAGATATAATTACAATTTGCTGACTCTTCCGCACATGTAGATTACAATAAATAACCTGAAATTCATGACCTACAACTCATAAAGTGTTTTTTTCTTCTCAAAACTGAACTAAATCCTACCATCCGCTAACTCTTTGAAAGCGAGTTTGTACTCAAAGAGATATAGATATAATTTTGTGACTCTTCCACACATTTAGATTACAATAAATAACCTAAAATCGGTGACCTGCAACTCATGAAATATTTTTCTCAAAACTGAGCTACAACCTACCATCCGCCAACTCTTTGAAAGCTAGGACCGTCGCAGGAGGGAAGGTGATGGGTGCAAACACACTAGCCACTGTTAATGCGTCCATAGGAAAGAACCTCTCATACTGGGCACAAAGAGAGCAAGAAAAATGATATGTGAGTGAAATTCATCATCAATAGTGAAAGGTCAAATGAAAGGGTTTGGGTTCACTCTCCATTTTGACAACATCCGAATTGAGAGACTTAAGTTGTAAGAACACAGTTAGGAGATTAGTTGACTACCGGTATCCTGTATTAAAGGGACTTGGTAACATTGTTCAGATGAGAGACAGTGGTGCTAAGGTAGTGACTTCAATGCTAGATGTACAATTAAGATAATCTGAAAATTTGAGTGAAAACGGACCATTATTCATGGTACAAATTGGGAAAAACTGATCTGATCGATTCCTTAATTCTCCCAACTATATTATTACAATTTAATTACATTTTAGGTGAATTGAGATCGTCACAAAGCAATAAAATGGCTCTACATTCCATTCCAGACATTTAAGTGTTGACAAATTTTTTATAGCCTGTTTTATGTCTTTTTTTCATGGAAAAACGGTTGGGAAATTAAAAAATGGTTGGGAGAATTTACTGTTAATCAGTGTTAGAGGGTGTCGTACATCGACGCCTTCAAAGAAAACCATAGATATCTTTGTGGTTTGAGAATTTTTTCAGGATTTTTCGCATGTCAGAGGGTTAGTACAGTAGAAGGAATATAGTAAGTAACATTTTATACAAAAATTAAGCACTTTTTTCATCAACCTTCAACAATGTTACAAAGTCACTTTAAAGAAAGAATAATTAGAATTCACATAAAGAGATAAAAGCAGCAAAGATAGCAATAAATAGTTCACTAAAACGTAAAAGACCTTGTGTTGATCCATGAAGAGAAGTACTGTAGCATTTTCACAGGTTTAAACTTCCTTTATAACCAAAAGCTTGGGATGATTTGTGGTAAGCAAGCAAACAAATTTCATGAAATAAAAGGAGATTGAATGCATTCATGAACTAAAGAGATGGTTGGTAAGTATACAGAACCATTCTTTTGATTTTCTCTGGTGAGTGCAAGACAAAAAGCTTTTGGACGTCTATATTCGTTTGTGCCATTCATGAACTGTTGTACTAACATCAGATGAAGCAGACAGATGAAGCGATTTACAGAGTAACATCTATTCGTGAACGGTGAGAGAACAAGGAGATGAGATATATAATTTACCTTGTGTTTATTGCCTGATGTGTGCTGTGAGAAGATCGGACATGCTGAGAATCGCCTGTAACCAACTTGAAACACAAGACGGTCCTACAGCAACATGGAAAAGGGTTAAAAAACATACCTCTGAATTAGGATTTACCTCTATGATTAGAATTTATTGACATACAAAAAAATAGAGTATGTAATGTTATAATTCTGAGATGCAACTTTATACGACTACAGAAACTCACTCTTGTCAATAGGTTGAGAAATCTGAATAGGACAACTTACACAAAGACTGTAATGTAAATGTTATTTGTAGTGCAAATTGGAACGTAAATCATCTACTGTTGTGTAAAGCAGTGATTTTATCTTACTGCAAAATTCCTTTTCATGTTGCGTACAACCAATCATGTGAAAGAATATTGACTAATACGTGATCATACAAATTTTGCTGAGAAACCGCCTACTAATTGATATATTTGGTAAACTATTATATCTATTTGGACTTGATAGATATAACGCACGTGTCGCGCACGTGTACATAGTCCCATATACATTTTTCTGTGTACAGTGCTTGTAACTTTACCAAGACTGTGCCAAATTTCTTATCATTTTGATGATTCCAGAACCTTGCAGTACACACCAATACTTATATGCTAGATGATCAACCTTTTCTGATCAATTCCACAATGTTTCTTTCACAATGCAATCGCATGACCATAACTAGTCTTTATCTTTAACCCCATTCGCTTAATGAACCAAGAATGTGTTTGTGGGAGAGCTAGCACAGAATCTGTTCGAGGGATTTGAAGAGCAATATGTCTGACCTTGGACTTGATTGGTTCAGTGAAGTCTGGATGTCTTTTCAGGGTGAAGTGAAGAACCGACATCTGAGGGAAAAAGGAGAAGATATCATTCACACACATGACATACATCATGGGAAATGGGTTCCTGCCTCTAACTCACAAAGCTGTATATGTGCATGCTAATAGGGAGTTTGCATAGCAAACTAAGAGACTCACACAAAACTTTCTACAAGCATTCTAAGTTTTGTTAAGTTCTTTTTTAAAGAAAAGGGCAAGCCTCGAGAACACTGCTCAGAGATTATTGCTACATTTCAAATAGTGCCTACGGCCATACAATGGTAGCTGCGACCATGAAAATCTCAGAATACTTATAGTTGTGATATATAATTTCCAAACGGGAATAGCTAGTTGGTAGATTCTAGTCAAGAAACATTGTTGTATAGCATAATTAATATCTTGACCTTGAGAGGGGGCTATACAACATAAAGAGTGTATTATTTACAATTTCATAACTTTAGACTCGATTTCAACCGGGACAACATCCACTGAATTATGCTTCCAATATGTTCATTTGAACCAAATTCATGACCCCATACCAAAACTTTGTATTACCTTTAAAATTGGTATCAAGAGATGCATTTAAATCAGGAAATAACAATTTCAAAGGGATTATAAGTGAGAATATCACAAAATCAGATTAATATGGAATGATGAAAAAGGCAGGGTTCAACACTAAACAGGAGCACAGGACACATGGGCGCCAACAAATCTACGTCTGGACACCCAAATTCTAAGATTTTTACATACACCTCATTAAAAAAATTTAAACCTGACCCCCTTCCGAAAGAGTTAGTGTGGAGCCTTGAATAAGGACAACAAATATTATTCAAATATAATTACAAAAAATACCTATTAACAATGAATGATTTTTTTTTTTTTTTTTTTTTTTTTTTGGGGGGGGGGTTCCTTATCAGGAGAAGCTTACGATTAAGACATTTATAAACGAAAGCAAAACAAACTTTTCTATATCACACACTTACCTTCTGTTCATGGTGCAGGAGACCAAACACAACGAGTGGATGGGATGGATCATAATCATCTATAGATAAAACAAATAATTTTAAATTAAACTTTATCCACATTAATAGAAGTATGACAATAAATCAATCGTAATACTGGAAAAGAATCTGCCACAAGAATCGAGGGCAATAACAAGACCCTAGAGAAATTATTACTTACAATGCTTATGTACTTAGGTACGCAATCGAACATCATTAGGTCATAGTTCTTCTCTTATATGTTATTATAACACCTATCCATGATTTGAACATCATTAGGTCATATTTCTTCTTTGTTATGTTAGCACATTTTCATGATTTGATCATCATAAGGCCATAGTTCTTTTATGTTACATTAATACCTATGTCATCAAAATCAAATAAACAATGCAGGATAGCACAACATGCAGATAAAGATATCTGACATCTGTGGATAGATCCCAGGGGGGTGTTTCACAAAGATTCTGAGTTGTACTTATTTCTAAGTAAAGTTGGACTTAACAATTATGGAAAGCCGTTAGCATCTATGAAAATATTTGGTAAAATTTATTTTAAAAGGCATAAAATGTTGATTCAAATCGTTCATATTTTCTATTATCAGGGAGATTTCCTGTTCTTGATGTGGAATTATAAAAAGTCTAAAATACTTGAATTTTCACTTATGAATATATCTTATTTTAAGGCTACAAATGGCTCTCCATAATGTTTAAGTCCAACTTAGAGTTAAGTTCGACTTAGTATCTTTGTGAAACACCCCCATATCACTTATGTAATGTGATGGACAGGACTGTATGAATATGATCAAGAGAGTAAATAAACTTACCAAAAGCACTTCTTGGTACATTTTCTATGTGGATTGTGATATAGTTTCCAACCTATACAATAAAAGCAAGATAAAATATTCTTAAATTACTTTCACTTTCAAGCTAGTCAGTGCAAATCGTCCACATACATTTTACCCTTTGTCTTCTCCTTTTAATTCTGGGACTGATGCATCATGTTTCATTTCAACACCGCATTGTATTAACGATCGGCTTATTAAATACCGGTATGTACCTGGTATGACATGTCACAAATATTTCATAAAAAGTCTGGGAACTATTAGAATAACTATAAAGAGATTCATTACTTTTATGAATTCTAAATATTTTTACTTCAGCAAGCATTCTTTTAATAACATTATACTTGGTTTCCAATTTCTAAATGAATTTTTTTTGCATCCAAACTTCCGCCGATGTCCATTGTGCCCAATTTACATATAAGATAATTAAGACAACTATGATGTAATTTCATTCCTCCAGGCTTCCTTTACAGCAGGTTCATATTCAATAAATATTTTGACTTTGTTATTTACCTCCGCAAGCCCCTCATTCCTTGTAGATAGCACCCTCTTCTTGGTCCTGTCAAAGCTTTCAAACTGGAATATCCTAGCATAGTCCAGAGGAAGGTTCTCCTTAGTGTCCCAGGGTGATGATCGGAAACTCTTCAGACCGCGATACCTGAAACAAGTCATACCTCGTCTTTAACCTCACAATTTGGGCCATTTATTTACTTCAATTTAATTATCCGTCAAAGATAAGAAGATTTAAAACTTCACTGGAAGTGTACACATCATTTAGAATCCAGGGGGGTGTTTCACAAAGATCGTAAGTTGAACTTATCTCTAAGTTGGACTTAAAAAATATGGAAGGCCATTAGCATCTTTGAAAATATTTTGTAAAAGTTATTTTGAAAGGCATTCATTGTTTATTGAAATCATTCATATTTTCTATCATCAAGGAGATTTCATGTTCTGGATGTGGAATTAATAAAAAGTCTAAAATACTTGAATTTCTGCTTTTGAATATATTTCATTTAAAGACTCCAATGGCTGTCCATAATTTTTAAGTCCAACTTAGAGTTAAGTTCTACTTAAGGATCTTTGTGAAACACCCCCCTGGTATAACACTCAGAGACATTGTGCAAGATGTACCGGGTATCTACACTGCCTCTCTCTACCCAGGTTTACAAAGTGGGTACCCTGATGGGATGTGAATATCATTGTGGATCGAATGGTGTGTGTGGGCATTTTATATGCTGACAAGTAGGAATGGCATTCTATTTGAAACCAGAGACAGACTGTTCGAAGTAATAATACACTGTTAAGTGTTATTTCTAACTGGAGAATCCCTTAATAATTCCCAATTATCATCACATTACTATTCCAGGACTGATCACGCTATCATCATTACTATACTTCCATAACAAACTAATTATGAGAATTGTTATCTTCTTCCTTCATGCACTGACAGTCAGATTCCCCACCACCCAACAATCTTGTCTGCATGGGAGCAATAACTTTGCCAAAATGGCACGACGACAACTGTTTCAATTATACTTTCTATAATCTGCCATCTTCACTACCAGCACCACTACCATCTACTAACTACCGTCCAGTACCTACCACATACTACATCTGCAATCTACCATCTACCACTACCATCTACTAACTACAGTCCAGTACCTACCACATACTACATCTGCAATCTACCATCTACCACTACCATTTACTAACTACCGTCCAGTACCTACCACATACTACATCTGCAATCTACCATCTACCACTACCATCTACTAACTACAGTCCAGTACCTACCACATACTACATCTGCAATCTACCATCTACCACTACCATCTACTAACTACCGTCCAGTACCTACAACATACTACACCTGCAATCTACCATCTACTAACTACCGTCCAGTACCTACCATATACTACACCTGCAATCTACCATCTACCACTACCATCTACTAACTACAGTCCAGTACCTACCACATACTACATCTGCAATCTACCATCTACCACTACCATCTACTCACTACCGTCCAGTACCTACAACATACTACACCTGCAATCTACCATCTACTAACTACAGTCCAGTACCTATCACATACTACATCTGCAATCTACCATCTACCACTACCATCTACTAACTACCATCCAGTACCTATCACATACTACACCTGCAATCTACCATCTACTAACTACCGTCCAGTACCTACCATATACTACACCTGCAATCTACCATCTACCACTACCATCTACTAACTACTGTCCATTACCTACCACATACTACACCTGCCATCTACATTCTACCACTACCATCTACTAACTACTGTCCAGTACCTACCACATACTACACCTGCAATCTACCATCTACCACTACCATCTTCTAACTACCATCAGGTACCTACCACATACTACACCTGCAATCTACCATCTACCACTACCATCTACTAACTACCATCCAGTACCTACCACATACTACATCTGCAATCTACCATCTACCACTACCATCTACTAACTACTGTCCAGTACCTACCACATACTACACCTGCCATCTACATTCTACCACTACCATCTACTAACTACCATCCAGTACCTACCACATACTACATCTGCAATCTACCATCTACCACTACCATCTACTAACTACTGTCCAGTACCTACCACATACTACACCTGCAATCTACCATCTACCACTACCATCTACTAACTACCGTCCAGTACCTACAACATACTACACCTGCAATCTACCATCTACCACTACCATCTACTAACTACTGTCCAGTACCTACCACATACTACACCTGCAATCTACCATCTACTAACTACCGTCCAGTACCTACCACATACTACACCTGCAATCTACCATCTACCACTACCATCTACTAACTACTGTCCAGTACCTACCACATACTACACCTGCCATCTACATTCTACCACTACCATCTACTAACTACTGTCCAGTACCTACCACATACTACACCTGCCATCTACATTCTACCACTACCATCTACTAACTACCATCCAGTACCTACCACATACTACATCTGCAATCTACCATCTACCACTACCATCTACTAACTACCGTCCAGTACCTACCACATAATACACCTGCAATCTACCATCTACCACTACCATCTACTAACTACTGTCCAGTACCTACCACATACTACACCTGCAATCTACCATCTTCAACGTTACTACTCACCTAGCAAATCTTGTTCTTGCAGACATATGCATGGGAGTATCGACTTCATCAGGGAACATAACATGGCTCCTCTCCTCTCTGTACTTCTCTAACCTGTTCAAACAACAAGAAAATGAGTCACCAATGAGAATTCTATTTGTAAATGTTTAGGTACAAAAAGGGACGAATGCCTTGCCATCTCATGGATAAGTTGATGGACTTTAGATCTCCTGGTGCAAGCTTAATCCCAGGCATGGTACCAACACCTGTCAATGCACTCATCTACACTTTGCCACTCTCTAACCCAGGAATTTGTGTGGACTTCAGAAAGCAATCATGACTGCTCCATTTTTGTCATTGCCCAGCACACTTTCATGTTAGCACAGTACACATGGTGCCGACAGTGTAATTTAAGGGCATTGTTTAACAATGTTTCCAGTTTTACAATTTTAAAATGCATGAGCTGAATCCAGGATTTTTATTTTAGAATCTGAGAGAAAGATACCCAATCCATTTTTTTAACCATATCACAGACACTGATAACACGTAGGGCCATGCATCTCAGATTTAAAATTGTTAAATGATGCCTAAAATGAACAGTTGTGCCTTTGTCAGATATGCACTCATAATCCACGATTATTAAGAGAATAGGAAATATTAGGATCCATTAAGCTTTGTACCTAATATCATACATGTAGGCTAGTGTAAGCTGATCTCAAGACACTATGCTGAATGCTTCGGGCCTTGAAAGTTTGATATGAAACTGCAAGGGAAAACCAGAACACACAAACATAGTATGCCACTTTGTCCAGTTTGTAATTTAAAAAAGAGAGATGGCCCATGAGACATGGACCGTCATATGAAGAGTTGCAATTGATTTGGATCAATCGCAAGTCCTCTAATCAATCCCAAGTTTGCAGTCCCCTATCTCTTATGTACATAGTTGCGACTAATATCAACTCTTTTTTAGGCGAGGCCTTGTATTACAGTCCATATCACAGTATACACGTGGTATGGTCAGGGGCGGATCTAGCTTTTTGCCAAAGAGCGGGGGGGGGGGGGGGGGGGGGGGGTGGGAGGGGGTTGATCCAGGATTTTTCAAAAATCGTTCCGTTTTACTTCTTCTTTTTACCTCCCTTTTTTTTTTTTCTTCACTTGGCCGCCCCAAGGGGAGGGGGGGGGGGGGTTTAAACGGCCAACCCCCCCCTAGATCCGCCCCTGATGGTATTACCCCTATCAAGTACAATCAGCTCTTACACATTACATACATCAAAATACTCACAATGTCTTTTCTTCCTCCTCGTCAAAATGGACGTCATAGTTCTCCTTGCTTCCACCACTGATGCTCACCTGAAAAGAAAAAAAGACTTCACCAATTGAATTCAACACTTTATATGCATTTGCCTAAAACTCACCATTGTCAACAACAATTTTCTTCGCTCATAATCCCAAAACAAACTTGGTTGTGATTGCTTCACCTTTCTCTATTGACTGTGGTATTGTACAGAGTATCACTACTGTGTGAGTCAAAAAAAAGTTTACACCTAGAAAATTGCAAATTATTATAATCATCATCTATGAACAGTAAATTAATATACATCTTTTAAAACATTTATGATTAAAATATTTGATGGCATGAACTTTTCATGATTTAAAAACACTTGCAAACAGTTTCATGCACATGAAAGTTTTGTGGTTTTACAGCAATCTACAAACCGTCTCAAACTCCATATCATCTGCTTCCGAAGGATCCTCGTCTACGGATTCTGCATCTTCCGCTTCCGGTAGCATGGCATCCCCATCCTCCTCCTCATCATCATCACTCTCCTACCAAAAGCAAACAAACATAATACTCAAAGGACTGTACGCTTATAATTGGTTAAACCTGACCCTGGATCTACCGGTAAGATCATGTCTAACAAAAGGAAAACTTAATTAGACTAACTTCCTTTGTTGAACCTGCTTTTGAACAAAAGCTTGAGCCCAGCTTCAGGTTTAAATTTTACTAGAATACAGGAGTATATTTACACTATTCATATGTGTAAAGAGATGCTTAACCTTCTATGCCATGGGCAGCTAATCCCACCCAAGAAATATGGATGTGTGAACAATAAATTTGGACTGAGAATTGCCACGTCATTTCCACTGAGACAGGGGAGCTAGCCTGTATTAATTCTATTTCCATGGAATATATCTTAAGCCCAATTTAACACCCAAGAAATAAATTTTAAGTAAAATGTCTTACACTTGAGAGTTCATTAATGACAACTGTTTAGAAAATTGGTTGCACAGTGGAATTTAAGGGCCATCTACAGTCATGGAAAGAGTCATAATAAAGGTAGTTTCACTCTTTTTTTTTTAGTCAAAGAAATAATAAATAATAAAGTCATTTTTATATAGCACATGATAATAAATTCTCTATGCGCTTTACAACAATCGGTTATACAATATATTACATGATTAATCTAAAAAAAACAGGCTATGAACTTTAATAACTTATTGTAAAAGCATTTGCATGGCAAAAGCATCATGAAAGCAATGAGAAATGCTTCTTACAAAATATAAACTTCACATGAACTCAAAACACACTTTTAATGCCCAACTGTACAGGTCTCAATGAAACATTAAGATTATTGATGACTTGATATGATATTCCTCTTAAATACCATTGTAGACAACAGTCATTTCATAACTTTGCTCGAAAATGTCTGAATTGGAGGGGTTTTACCCACGATGAACTTCATGATTTTCTTTTAGAATTTTTCCCCCAGAGCCCTTTAAATACTTTCAACAGCAAACAGGCTCTCCTTTTTCATATAAATATACTTCACTAGATTGTTACCTCATCCTCATCTTCCTCTTCTTCTCCATCGCTCTCAACAATCCATGCAGCTTGATAGTCTGATGTTCCTTTCGGTACCCTCTTGACGATGCGCTCCGGTTTTTCTTCTTTCAAGGCAGCTAGAGGAAGAACATTGGAAAAGTATAAGAAGGGCATATCAATTGTTATCCATATTTGGAATATAAATGTATAATGTCTCCAAAAAGGGTTTAAATCATACAAACATTTCTTAGAATGCAGAAGAAGCCTAGAACTGTTTAAACCATTATTTTCACATGGGTTTCATTTACTCTCATCCTCGTCACAGATGGATGAGCAGAGTCAAAAGCTAGTACTCATAAAATAAACTACCAGTATTAACTTTAGTCCAGGTTTAGACCCTAAGTGGGTAGATTTAGTCCACTGCTTTATGGTGAACCAAGTATCAACCACTTCAACCTGTAAACAAAAACACCATAACTCTCTTACTGAAACCAACAAAAATCATTTCATAATGAAATCAATTTCTCATTTGAATTTCATGACTATTTTCATTTTTCATTCTGTTTGTTACAGTATTGCATTAATTTGTGCAGACAATTAAAAGCTCTTGGCACTTGCTCTCCACAAATCAGCAGAACAACCAGTTCAACCAGCTTCAACTTAATCTTTCTTCATGAATGGGCAGAACCAAGGTTTCTGGTCATTTTGTGTCCCATACGTTGCACTAAATTAACATTTAACGTGTCACTCCATCTGATATTTTGCCGGATCTGAGCTCTAGTATGGCTATTACAAGGAGAGGGTCGTCAGTTTCCACGTGAATAAAACCATAATTCGCTGAGCCCAGACTTGGTGGAAATACCATTAATGGGTGTACTAATCAGAACACAGCGAACCCGTAGTCCTATACAAAAATAACCCCCTAGTCTCTCAGAGAGCCTTTGGGTGCAGATAATGACTTTACTGTCTGGGGGAATAAGTGAAAAATGTAAATACCTTACATACGGCTTGTTTGTCATAAAACTGAAGGCTAATCCTGGTGATTGGCAACATCTTTTATCTGGGTATACACCCGAATAGTGTCGAATTCCCCATGAGGGCCCACTACTTTGTGTCTATAACTTAAAGCAATGATCACACATACTAAAATCTTAGATGTGGTCAGTAATGTATGGGACAAGATAGCTTGGACTTGCCCGAATACAAGGCTGTACTTTTCTTACCTTCAGCTTCAGCTAGTTCCTCTTCAGTCGGCCATGTTTGTTCTCCCTCCATAGGATCAGGTACGGCCTCTGATTGCAGTGATTCTTGACTGTGAGGGTCAACGACCTCAAGTAGCTTCGAACCTTCCTCCATTGTCTCATTTTCATCGTCCTCCTGAAAAATAGAACCACCAGGAGCAGCAATAGCAGTTACCTTTATAGCTATCACATTACCGTTATTTTCAAGCAAATATGGGTTTATCGTACTTGTAAATAAGAATTAATTGTATCTGAATATGAGTTTATTGTATCTGAATATGAGTTTATTGTATCTGAATATGAGTTTATTGTATCTGAATATGAGTTTATTGTATCTGAATATGAATTAATTATATCTGAATATGAATTAATTATATCAGAATATGAGTTTATTGTATCTGACATCTAGCTCTCAAATCTTTTTAAATTTTCAAGAAATCAATAGTAACATCATAACAATTCAAATTGCCATGCATTTTTATTGAGGATAACAATTCAGTTAGAAGTTAATTAACACAACCAGTTTGAGTTCATGTTCGTTCATACATTAATTTCATTCTATCAAACAAGATGCCAAATTTCAAGTCAACTGATAGACTTACCACAGCCATGCCATCCTCGGCTTTCTTGCCCTTTCTCCTTACGTTCTTTGGGTTCAAAGGGCAAGGGTCAGAGGGAGCTTCAATGCGATTCATCTGAAATTCTCCAAAGCCAGGCAGGTGAACGAGACCGTTGACAGACAGGCATGATCCTCTCAGGAAACCAGTCACTTTAAGAGTTCCTTTACCATCCTGTGTTCCACAGTGGGTTGAAAGAGCTTCAGCATTAGAAATTTGTAGTGGCAAATTGACACTGTAGATAGTTGCACGCATCTATTCAATTCTCTACCAACTTTACATATCTACTCCCAATAACAACTCATCCAAACGTACAGAGCTCATAAACAGAAGAAAAACAGAACTTTTTGACAAAGGAATTTTCACTGGTGAAATCTTTAACTGCATCAATGTGTTTACACAAGATATTGTCATGGTGCATATCACCTGCACTGGACCTATTCTATGCATGCCTGAAATAATACCTCAGCATAATTAGAGACCTTGAGGGTTCTCACAAAACCCCTCAAATATGACCTAGACGATGTCATTGCCATAATTAACCTTGAAAGTGTAGAAGATAAGCATACCTCATTTTTGTTGGGTTCAAAAGTCACATCATCTGCCAACACATGAGGTCGTAGGTCACGCCACTTTATAGTATTGAGTTTCTGCTCTGCTAGGTGTCGAAGTAGTAAGATACTCTCCTGTTCAGTGTCTACTGTATATAGCTTGCCACTCGGGAATCTGAAATTGGGAGATTAGAATTGTTGATAGTCCATGCAGGCACACTTACAGACATTCAATTCAATTCAATTTTGTGAGGTCATATGACAATACTCAAATTCACAAATGAAATATTGCATTTAACTCTGTGAAACTCCTAATAATGAAATTCATGTACACCACAAGCGTGGCACATATCTGTTGAGTCCTTAAAATAAAAATGATCTGGCTTGAAATTAGATTACATAGTTTCTTGTACTGACATCTTTATGCTTCAATACACCAATATTGATCAATCAGTTTATGCCACACCAAAGCATTACCAATACAACAGTTTACTTAATATGTCTTGTGTTTCAAATATAATAACTGGAACCAGCTATAATCACACTATACTCTACAAATTCACTGTTAGGATATCAAATCAATTGCAACTTTAAATACAACCATACCGTCAAATGTCAAACTAATTGTGTTACTTTCCAATTGTGTTAATTTTCCAATACTCATTTGTAACATGAACAAGATCTCATCATCAGATTATGCTATTTATTCCTTTAAAACCAAACAATTTCTGAAATATGTTCAATGACTTACCTCCTTTCTATTTGCTTTAGTAATGTTTTCTTCACATCATTTCTCTTCTTAATTGGTACATCACTCATCCCCTGTTTGGTAGAATGCACGAAATATTTAAGGTGCGACCAAAAAGAGATAAAAGATATTATAGGCATCATTTAACAATGTTAAATCTGAGATGCATGGCCCTACGTGTTATCAGTGTCTGTGATAAAGTGTAATATTGAAGCCCTAGAAAAATTGCGCTTCAAAATGATCATGAAATGCCTCAAAAAAGTACAAATCTTTGAGTGACCAGTTTTACCATACTCATTTCCCCCAATAGACTGTAGTGTTATAAAAACCGTTTTTAAATTTCGATTTCCAACCATAAATATCTTGATAATAAGACAGGCGATCAGCTTGTAAAAGTCTTGGGGTTCCTGATTGACCTAAAGGTTTATAGTTATCATTGCAGCATGAGCTAAATCCAGGATTTTGTTTCAGAATCTGAGACAAAGTTACCCAATCCCTTTAAGGCATGCATGTATCATATCATTAAATCTAATACAATCTCAAGCTGAAGAGCAGATTAAAAAAGACACTATGTATACGTTCCTATACAAAGCACGAAGCACAATAAAAAGTTTCCAAATGCTAACAATCATTTCAGGACTCTCCTTCGTAACAAAATATAATCCCCAAAACATACTTCTGTCAGTTTGGACAAAATTGTGTGAGAGTGATCTTTTTTATTCTGGCGCACTTTAGATTTCTTCATGACTTTGGCAGACACTGATAGAAAACAGAATACTTGTCTTAAAGGTAAAGACCAGTTCTGGTCATGCGATTGCATTGTGAAAGAAACGCTATGGAATAAATCTGAAAGGTTGATCCTTTAGCATATAGGTATTGGTGTGTACTGCAAGGTTCTGGAATCATCAAAATGATAAGAAATTTGGCCCAGTCTTGGTAAAATTACAAGCACTGTACACAGAAAGATGTATATGGGACTACGCGTCACCTGCGCGATATCTATCCGGTATGGATAGATATAATAATTTTCCAAATATATCAATTAGTAGACGGTTTCCCGGCAAAGTTTGTATCATCACGTATTAGTCAAAACATATTCTTTCACATGATTTGTATTAAAGCTTATCTGCCGTAGTTTATAGGAGGGATTAGACTGCCCTGCAAGGTCACTGGACAGGTGGTTATCTCATCAACTCAGCTCTCAGTTAACATAAGAAAAAGCGGATCATGGGGGACCAATGGTCACCGATTAGTTATTGTTTGTTATATAGAGGGCGCAAGTAGCTACAAGTAGTGCAGTGGGCCTTTAAGAGCTTCCATTTCATTTTTTGAGAGGAGGGGAGGGGGAGGGGTCCAAAACTGGTCTATACCTTTAAAGGATATCAAGAAGCCATAAATGTAGTAGACAAATTTCAACTTGATATCATTGGAAATCTACATCAAATAAAGAAAAGAAACTGAAAAAGACGTCCGATAGACAATGCAATGTAATTCAAAATCACGAACATACCTTTGTAGCAAATGTCACTGAAGGCAAAGCTTGCGCAAACAGGCATGAAAGACAGAGGTCACCCCACTCGTCCCAGCATTGAGTGGGGTCAACCAGACAGAGCACCGAGTCAGCAGCCTTAGCTGTATCCAAGATGGCAGACAAATTGGTGGAGGGTACAACTATGGTGAATCTCTTCTTGAAGCGAGGTAAGCTACAAAAAAGTAAGAGTTGCATAAAAGATGAAGTCAATATGTGAATACAAAAATAGCCTCGATCAATGATTCAAAGTAGTAGGGTCATCTATTCATTAGGTATGACAGGGTGGAAATGACAATGCTTTCAAACAAAAGATATAAATTTGAAATGGATGTGTTTATAAATAAACATGTGTTTACAAACAAATAAAGCTTACACTATTATTATTATTATTATTATTATTAGATTTCTTTTTAGCAATCGGCTCACCAAATCTATTCCCAAATTAAAGACTGAGGTTCGTGAAAGAATAACTGGCACTGAATAATGCGAAGTGCAATTTTCTAAAAAAAAATTTAATTCCAATCATTGGTACCAACCTTCTACCAAATGAAGTCATCAAAATGATATAGGCATTTTATATGTAAGACGAGTTACTATCAAATCTTGAAGATATACCTAAAAGATTGACACTAATTGGTAAACATAGTCCAAATCCAAATATGATAGTTGTTGTATTTCAAATAAACCTTTAGAATAAAGTAAAGATTTACATAACTGTTGCAAAAATTATCTTACCAAATATGCAGGAGATTACTACTGTTGCCTGGATACTCCACTGCATCACTGTCTGCTGCCCTCAAGTAGCCAATAATTTGATCAACGTTAATGGTTCCATGAAGGGGAATCACCATCTGTAATAAAGGGGTGGAATTAATGAGAGGGTTGCTAATTTGCATAATTTATTTCTGGATATCTTGGAACCAGACAAAGACAATTTTTAAAGCAGTAGTAGAGACCAACCCTAGCCCTACCCCTAATTGTATGCAAAACATGGTGTCTAAATTAGCAACGTTTGCTACATTATATTAGTGGCTATTTTTAGAAGTGTGTCTCTACTATAGATTAATAACACCAACTGAACCATATAGTCATGGGTTTTAGACAGAGGCAGTATACCAGTGCCTTTCAGTAAGGCAGTTATCCTGGTCTCTAGGATACAATGCTATAAAGCTATAACTTTTCCTGAATGATTATCCACAAGCAAAAACTTGCCTTCTTAGTCCTCCTATATATATAATCAATACAGTAGATCAAATTAATCCCATTCTTGGATTTATTAGGAACTGGTCATCTGAGTCACAATAAGATCAGAAAACCCAACTACCAGGGATGGGAGGGGTTGACACTTGTGTTTCTGAAGCTAAAGTTAGTCTGCATCAGAGAATACCAGCTAATGGATTTAGATCATCCAGAAGAAAGGTATATCACAATTACGACATGAGTAACATTAATATTTTCTCATGTAAAATCAAAGATACAATAATGGGTAGGTCTATTCCTTATTGTCTACATTTTTATTGTTGAATAGCTTATTATAAAAATATACACATTTTATTCATAAAATGAATAGATTTCAAAAATAAAGATAAACTGGAGTTCTGGTAAAAAAGAAAATGAATTCTCACAGAATCAAACGAAACTTAAATTGAATGTTCAAGATTACAAATAAATGTCATTTGTCAAACAATTTGGGTAGAAAATGTATACTGGCTGAGTAATGAGCATAGAAAGATAAGGAAATCAAGGTAAGTAGGCCTGACACCATTTGCGTAGTCCCATATCTTTCTGTGTACAGCTTGTTACTTTACCAAGACTGGGCCAATTTATTATGATTTTGATGACTCTAGAAGCAGAACCTTGCAGTACACACCAATACTTACATGCTACATGATCAACTTTTTCTGATCCATTCCACACCTTTTCTTTCACAATGGAATCGCATTACCAGAACTCAACTTTATCTTTGAAACATTACAAAATTTCTACAGAATGAAACCATAACATACATATCTAGTTAAAGAGAACGTTGAGTTCTGGGAAAGGTGAAAATAATTTCTGAGCTTTTTGAGGATTCCGAAACATCAAGGTAAATACCAATACTTTTGTGCTACATGATCAACCTTTCCGAATCACTTTTAAACAGTTTCCTTCGAAAGTGCATGATCAGAACTCAACTTTATCTTTTAGAAAGGAAGTTTTATCTAATATTTCATAACTGCTAGTGTTGCCTAACTTACCACTAAGTTTGGAGGTGCCTCTTGACCCCCTATCCTCTTCTGATTGAGAAGATCATCTCTTTTCTTTTTGCGAAGCTGGAGGGCCTGCAAAACAAACAAAAATTTACTTAAAGGCTGGCAGGTTTATACATACATGTATGTATTCGCAGAAATATAGTGGGAGAAAGGTAAAAACCAAACTCAATGTTTTAGTGTAATTACAATTTAATATATTTGGGAAAAACAAAATAACTTGTATATTATTTACATACAGGCAATATCATAGAAGTATTGTTTAAAATGATTATATTTTTCTATTAATTCACTTTTTCAATGTTTTTTTACATAAAAAGGACAAATTATTTTCAAAATATTTGAAAAGGCAAATTTAAAAAGGATTGGGCCGTCCTGACAGTGTAAATTTGGCTGGACTATTTCAACATATATTACAACTAGATGGAATTCGACTGCGCGCAGTCGAAAATGATGCCTCCGTCATAGAGCAATTTTACAAACCAAAACAGAAGAAATTTTTTGGATTCAAGTTCAATTGTAATCCATTGACAGGTTCTCAGAATATCGTGATTACAAGCAATTTCTCATATACATATATGACCCTTTGATCTTTGACCTCATGACCCTAAAATCTACTCAGTTCATTGGCTCTGCAAGATGTCCTGAGTTAAATAGTAATCCATCTGTCAGTTCTAATGAGAATGCGTTCACAAGCTATTTTTGCATACATAATGAGCCCATGATCTTTGACCTTTGACCTTATGAACCAAGAATCTACTCAGTTCATTAGCTCTGCAAGTAACATACATGACCTAATTTTGGCAGGAATCCATCAATCGGTTCTTGAGATAACGCGATCACAAGCTGTTATTGCATACATAATGTGTGCTGTGGCCTTTGACCTTTGACCTCATGACCACTAAATCTAATCAGTTCATCGGCTCTGCAAGTAACATACATGACCTAAGTTTGGCAGCAATCCATCAATCGGTTCTTGAGATAACGCGATCACAAGCTGTTTATGCATACATAATGAGCCCTGTGACCTTTGACCTTTAACCTCATGACCCCAAAATCTAATCAGTTCATTGGCTCTGCAAGATACATACATGACCAAAGTTTGGCAGGAATCCATCAATCGGTTCTTCAGATAACGCGATCACGAGCTGTTTTTGCATACCTAATGAGCCCTGTGACCTTTGACCTTTGACCTCGTGACCCCAAAATCTAATCAGTTCATCGGCTCTGCAAGATACATACATGACCAAAGTTTGGCAGGAATCCATCGATCGGTTCTTCAGATAACGCGATCACAAGAACGGGACGTACGTACGTACAGACGTACGTACAGACGTACGGACGGACGGACAACCCGAAAACATAATGCCTCCGGCTACTTCGTAACTGAGGCATAATAAAACAAAGATTATTCAAATTGATAATTGTTTATTTACTCCCTGACATTATAATGACTTCTCATTCAAACAGTTCCTATCAATGAAAGAAACATTATTATAAATATATTATTCACGTCTTGCTTGAAGTTAACTTCTGATGATTATTAGACGAACCTTGTTTCTGCGACCGGCCTTGCTGAGCTCCTTCTTCCATTTCTTTGAAATGGCTTTGGCAGTTACTCTCCCTGGGAAATGGAGAGAAAAAAAAGCAACCATGACCATTCTAAAATGACTATCAAATTCTCAAGAAAGTGACAAAATTTACAAGTGCATATTTGAAGAAGTAATGATTTAGTGAGAGTGATATATCAAGTACTTCCATTCTGTCACTTGGCATCAAAGTTGTGTTTGGTAAAGTCACTCTTGTCTAATCATCTATCTATTTTATCTAGGTCTTTATTGTGTTTCATTTTTTAAAAGACACAAGTGCAAATGTGCAAAACTGCCAAGTAAACATGATAAAAAGAAGATGTGCCCCCCAGCTCACGAAACGGAAGCAAATGTTGTTATTTTGTTCTAAATTTCTTCTTTCTTATTTTCATCATTCATGATTCACGAGAGTGACGACACGTTTTCACTCTTTATTAAATAGCTCTTTCTCAATTCTGTCTCTTTCTTTCTCTATGATCTAGACCTCTATATATTTTTCTCTTTCTTTCTTTCTCCTTTTGTTTTTCTTTCTTAAATAGGCACATTCATGGGGCACTAGAGGGCGCTTTGCGCGCGTACGAAAATCTGAATGGCCTTGCTGCGGTGGGTCGGCAATAATCAGCCCAAAACTTGGATATGGGAGGGTGGAAGGATATATCTTTTTTATAATGTTATCTGGTCTTACCCTTAACCATCCTATGTTTAATCTATGAAGAAATTACATACGATAAGAGAAACATCGGGCCCATTACTGATGCAACTTTTAAAATATTAGCCTAGAAATGACCACCAAACGGGAAAAATTGACATTTTTTCCCGACAAATCTTCATAAAATCTGATTAATAAACAAGTCACATCTAGGTACACTAATACAAATACAATTTTCTGAAAATTCAGGTATTATTTTTTAAGTTTCTTTCAAGTATATTTCTGCGCATTGCAGCGCCAATGTTCTTCACTGCTTCAAAATCACCCTTGATTTTTTTTTTGTGCAACGAATTTGTTACGAGGTCCGCGAGTGTTCCCCGTTCCTTGCGTGTTGAAAGTTTGGTAATACATAGTTTACATTGACTCGCGCACAAAAAAATGGTCGAAAACAAAATGTCAAATGAAGAAATAAACAAGCTTTTGTATAGACCGAAAGCTTCAGTCTCTATACCGTCGGTTGTTCCACTGAGACTACGTCTGGCTCCACTAGACCTCCGGTTATAGAGACAGAACGATCGCCTATGCCAGCCTATGTTGAAGATATCACGGCTAGATTTTAGCCGTTAGGCCCCTCCCACAAACATGAACAAACTTGCCACGGCCGTATTGTTATGCCGCCAAAATCCCCCAAAATGTCATTTCACCTCGTGCATATCCAATTTTACATTAGGCCTAGGCTATAATACATCGGTTCCACTTACTAACTTGATTGAAATAATCCGTTTAATGGTCCCTTTAAGGAAATTATGGGTCAAAATCGACATCCATGTTGAAAATCTTGCAAGCCGTGTTAAACTCTTGCTGCCGTCAATCTCATCCCTTCTAGTCTACGCCGAAGGCAAAAATGATTATGAAGGAAAAACTGTGATAACGCCATTACGAACGTGTAGATGGCGCACAGTTTTTCCTGTTTGTGGGAGGAGCCTAACGGCTAAAATCTAGCCGTGATATCTTCAACATAGGCTGGCATAGGCGATCGTTCTGTCTCTATAACCGGAGGTCTAGTGGAGCCAGACGTAGTCTCAGTGGAACAACCGACGGTATAGAGACTGAAGCTTTCGGTCTAGCTTTTGTATAGTTATAAGAGTTCTACCGAGGTTTCTTTGTCGATTTAATTTATTATATAGTCTCAATTAGAATTCAGAATTATCTCACTGAAAAGATAAGAAACCGACGATGTTCTCGATCGTAGTTATTTTCATTTTGCCAGCAGCCGATCTAGCGTTGTTTGGGCAAAAAGCTAGGCCGCTGCCTTCCTATCGCAAACCTTTCCGAGTCCCGCTAAAATGGCGCGCTGCGGAGCTCCGAAGCTGCGTTGGTATCGCTGCAAACTCTCAGCCGGCTAGCTCCCCAAGACGGACCATTCGCGGTATGGCGAGATTGTGTGTGTGAGGTACAATATTGGATTCGAGAACGCACGTAATGCAACCGTGCGCGTCATATTCAGCTGTCGAATGTCTACGACCAATTTTACATGTACGATTTTTAGTACAGATACTTGCACTTGGTCAGTTTTCTTCTTATATCTTTGGTTTTACAACATTTAAAAATATAATTTCTTCAAATTTGCTCCTGACTCGGTTTAGACTAATTGTGTGATGTGTTTTCAAGTCAATTTTTTGAATATATTTTTTTTGCATGAATTTGCCTAGACTAGACTAGACTAGTCTAGTCTATCTTAAATTTAAAAAATAATAATAGATCTAGATCTGATCTGGTCATGATTTCTCAGAACTTTCAGTGTTTCACTGCACTCACAGTCATATTTGCTACTCAAGACGTGTCTCTGATCAGGTCCTAGCATAGAGATATGCATAGGAACCCCTAAAAAACCGAGAACAGAACAATACAACAAAATGAACAACAAAACTGAAACTTTGAACATTACAACTATAATTTACCACACTTATCTGTATGTGTGGGACTGGGCCTTCATGTCACCGGAAATCAGAGTCTCAGATTCACCACGTAAAATGTATTATTTCGCAAACAATATTACCACATAATGTCATTCTCGTAACTTACCTTTTAATTCTACGTCAATTTTTCCTTTACTGCGATGCCGTCCAGTTTTATGGCCTTTATTTTGCTGTTTTAAAGGGCCCGGTTTGTGCGATGTTTTGGCCATTTTGCACGGTATGCACGTGTATTACATATTCTTAGACCAAGACTTATTCATATTTTTAAAAACTTCATTGATTTAGCCTCACTTCCAGAAAGAACGATTAAAAATGAAATCAGCTTATGTGGGGGGGGGGGGGGGAGGGGGGGGGGGGGGGGGGGGGGGCCTGCCGGGGGTTATGATTGTCATTAGGCCAACACAATATATGATCATAGAGGTGGCAGATCCGGGTTCTCTGACGGGGGCATCCGCATGTACACGCATGTACAGGATGGAAAGAAGAAAAAAACTGATGAGAAAACCAAAATAGGTCATCATTAATTATACGTTTGCCTTATAATTTTGCCTTTGGAGTTGAAAACTTGCTGCAATTTATTAAGAAGTTTTACTTGAAGTTGATGTTTACATCCCCTTTCTCTCTTTCTCCTCCCTCCCCCCCCCCCCCCCCCCTTCCTGATCCCAAATCTAGATTTTAAATGTACATATCACGCGAGGAATGGTTGCAATTGCCATATATGTTTCAGCTATCCGACTGCCTGTCCCAACTACAAAAAAGACTCTACTCCGTTTGTTGCTACGCCAAACAGCCAGTGACAACGAATTAGTTTAATAAAATTATTTTAATACCGTTATTGTGTTTTCCGAATTTGAAGCCTCTACCGGCCCATCATGCAACCCTACTCTGATCTCATTCCTCCTCATCACCCCACCTTCTTTTCTCTCTCTCTCTCTCTCCCCACCTTTCCTTCCTCTTCTCTCTCTCTCTCTCACTTTCCCTTCTCTCTCTCTCCCCACCTTCCTTTTCCTCCTTCTCTCCCACTTGCTCATTTCTCTCTCCCTCTCTCTCTCCCACCTTCCCTTCCCTTCCCTCCCCTTCTCTCTCTCTCTCTCTCTCTCTTTCTCTCTCACTCTCTAATCCTCCCACTGTTCCTTGAAAATTAGCCACACCCAAATTATGAAACACTACACAAATACAATGCAAAAAAACAAAACAAAAAACATGAGAATATACTACCGGTATGTACAATATATACATCATGACTTTATCTCGTTCAAATTTCATTTCATGTGTAAACAGCAAAAAATTACAATTACAACAGGAATGCAAAGAAAACAAACAACAATTACAGTATACAGATAAACAAACAATCATCTACAGGTTTTTTGATTACCGGTAGATACTTTAAAGGACAAGTCCACTCGAAAAATAACTTACTTTCAATAAAAGCAGAAAAATCAGACAAACCAATCAAAAAAGTTTGAGCAAAATCGGATAACTAATAAGAAAGTTATGAATTTTTGAAAAAGTTTGTAAAACTATGGAACAATGAGAATCACGACACAAAATTGCCAAGATGGTTATCAGTTTGTGACGTCATGTCCTCACAGCTTATCCATTGCTTTATATAGTTTAATCCTATTAATTTCCCTTTTTATCCCCCAAAAACTTGATTTCCCCATGCCTTTGCCCAGGTTATATGATTTGTATCATATTGCGTGCATGACATTTCCAATTTTTTAAATGAATTTTGAAGAATTGATACTATTCTCCGAATATTGTATTTCATAATTATTGAATTTTATATAAATAGTTTATCAAAATTCAATTTTTCATGATTAAACCGGACAAAAATTACTCTTTATTTGTGCATCCACACAAAAAACTTATTACTAACAATCTAACTTGGATGCTGGTGTGAAGAAATAAGATTCTTAGGGTGAAAATAGGAAATTTATATTATCAATATAAAGAAAATAATTAGTGGATAGTGAGGACCATACGTCACAGACTCATGAGTGAGTTGCCAATTTTTTCATGTCATTAAAAATTCATAACTTTCTTATTAGTCGTCCGATTTTGCTCAAACTTTTTTGATTGGTTTGTCTGATTTTTCTGGTTCTATTGAAAGTAAGTTATTTTTGGAGTGGACTTGGGCTTTAAATGTATTCCCATCCTATTCCTATCCACATGCAGTTTCATCGAGTATAAGAAAATTTCATTAAAAACAATCAGGTAAATTCAGTTTATTCTACTGGCATGTTAAGTTGGGGCATCTTGTGAAAATATACAGCCCATGATTTCTCTCATCCAAATACACCAGCTGAGATAAAAGTGAGTGTTAAGAGTTACCATTTTCTGGCTGAACTGCACATATAACAGAGTTTAAACTATGATACTCTAGATATGGCCAAATACAATATAAAACAACTTTTAATCTCAATTTTCAGTTGAATGATAATTGTTCTTTAAAAAAATCACAATAATCCAGGTAAATGCTGGTTACTGCTCTAGTCTTTTATTTCTTTCTACAATGAACATGCACCATTCTCAATTTTTCCAAATAAAACATGATGTAACATTTCAGTTTAGCAATTTGCCTTATGTTTCAGAATGATATTCTGTGTGAAATTAATCCATAGTGTAAACCCATTTCGAACATTGCCATTGTATACATCTTATCAAAACTCTCCAAAGACATTAATGTTGAAGAAAAACTCAGTTTGTGATACCAGTAAGTCATGAAAAAAATAAAAATTGGAATTAACCTGAGACTCATGAGTGAACTAGAATTAGTTGAACAATTTGTAAAGTAAGACATTTTTTTGTTCATGCTAAAAATGTCGAATAGATCATAAATCATAACTGATTCAAAGAATTAAAAAATGACTTTCAACTTGAGCATGATTCCACCTCAAAGTGCATTGCCTCATATATGATATACTATACAAATTTCTTTGGACTTTCCATCTAAAATGATGTTCATGACAACAAAAAACCTTTGTGAAAGTATCAACATGTCTTTGTTTCTCAATCAAAGAGGTGATGACGGATTTAGCATCAATATCTCACATGAATAAAGAGACAAAAGAATTGAAGCTAGACTATATACAATCAAATAGTGTTCTGTACTAAGCGTGCACACAATGGATGTTAATGGAGTTGTCCCAAAACTAAGAGCCCTTATTAAAAATGAAAATTCCAAATCTATTATATTGCATCAAGATCAAAGCTTCCCAAAACTGGGCAAAATTGAGTTTCCAGAGGTTTACCTGACATACAAGTACAATTAGCAAAAGCATAAGCATCCCTTTCCTCATGCCTTTCTACCTAGTGCACAACAAAATTTGTCTATTCTAGCTATTAACCCATCCAACTCCAAAGAGATAAATGCCGTCAGCCCCATGCCTGCTAATCCATGTTGGTAAAAATACAATATCTGGGTATAGACTTCTTTGTATAAAAGATACAGTCTGAGATGTGAATCTGACAGCTAACTGCGTTCAAGGTGTTGGTCCGACTTGTGATGATGATCAAATTGGCAGCACACCACCAATCAAGGATCACGTAAAGGTCATTGTATCTGAAAAAGAATAGGCAAAAATCAATTACATGAACAGAATCAAATACTTGCATTCTAATCATTGAACCAACTAATATTCACACATCAGAATATTCATCTAAACCTCTCTCTGTGAATTGAATACCAGAAATAAGCATCCATTCAATAAGAATTGATTGGTAAAGCCCATGTGTCAATGAGTGTCCAGACAGCAATACTAAGTTGGGCGGCTTGGGACTTGATATTGTTTGATTGTCATGGTTGCAATAATCAAGCTAACTTTGGCTAGATCATATAGTGCCAACCTTGGTCCAATGTCAATTTGTTCCTTTCGAGCCAAGTGAACAAGAGATGTCGGCCCAACTACATGTTTGCAATGTTGCACCAACATACCAGCTGATGATGGCCTGAAATAGTATTGCTAATAATCTGGGTAAGTGTCAGGGATCAGCACATACAGTGATGTTACCTTGGTTTAGATATATATCGAGAGAGTACAGGAAAATTGGGGACATCGATATCCCTTGGTGGATGAAATAAGGCCATTGATTAGGAGGAAGGATGTGAGAAGGGGTTGTGACATCTTATTTTGTTAAATCCCCTTCTACTCTCTCTCTCTCTCTCTCTCTTCCTCTCCTCTTTTTTTTCTCCACTACCTTTCTTTTTGCCATTCAACAAAGGAGGAGCGCGGAAGGAGCTCGGAGGAAGGGAGGGAGGGAATCACAGCTGTAAAAACATGTGTACCCAGTGCCCCTTCTACTCTCTGTCCCTCTCTTCCTCTTCTCTTTTTCCCCACTATCTTTCTTTTTGCCATTCAAGAAAGGAGGAGCATGGAAGGAGCTCGGAGGGTATTGACCTGTGTACTGACCTGTACTTGGGATGGATACTGCTGGTAGACTTGTGTACCCGCCTGGTCTCCTGACATCAATTCAGTTGCTAAAAACAGAAGACAATAACAAATTATTTGATTTAATTTAATTTAATTTAAAATGGTTTAATTCATTTAATTCATTAATGAGAGCTGAATCGCAGTTTTTTTTTAACAGAGTATACATCAGTGACAAAGTAAAATTACACATAAAACATATGCATGATAACATTATGGCAGTAAAATTGCATTTCTTTTTTACTCTTGACTCTCACACATACTTTCAAAAATTAAATACAAAGTACCTTCATTAAGTTCCATAGTAATTTCAGATAGCCTTAAACTCACCAAATGTATCAGCAGACATATCACCAAGTTCATCTTGCCTAGCTTGAGGGATGACTTTGTCTCCTTTCATTGACTGCAAGGAGATAGACAAACAAACAGGTACATCAGTACTGGAGATTCAATTTGAATAGTGCTCTCCCCCCCCCCCCCCCCCCCCCATACCTGACTATCTAAAACACAACCTTATAAAATATGCAAGAAGTCATTTGCAGCCTCCAATGAAGTTTTTACATGCTGACTGTTATAATTCATTTCTTTTTTTGTGTACAATACTTCAAAAGTTCATGTATATAACATTTCATTTTCAAGCATCATCATAAATAATCTTTTGATGCTGGAATGGGGATTGCAATATATACAGAAAGTGACATCATTGCCTATTTATTTCCTCTTTCGTGAAAAATAAATAACGAATAAACAACAACAGGAATTGACTGTATGCCTTAATGGGCAAAATCTTACTGATATTGTACACAGGAATGGTAGAATAATAGGTACACCTCGTAAGAACCAAGAAAAAAACCCATCGGATTTGACAATAATTTGTGTAAAAAATCACTTCCATGGAGTTGTTGTTGATGTTTACATTGAGGAGGAGGAGGAGGAGGAGGAGGAGGAGGAGGAGGAGGAGGAGGAGGAGGATGTTAAAGTTGAAAATTATGATGATTTGTAATGATGATGAGGATGAAGAGAATGTTGATGATGATCGTAGTGAAATAAATGATGCCTCACCTCTCTGTATTTTTGGAGGTAGGATTTCAGTGGGTCAACGTAATTGTCAAATCCCAGATTTGACATGGCATACAGGATGTCTTCTCCGTTGATTGTCTTTCTCTTCTCCTGATGACACCTTTCACTGGCTCTACAAACAATCTTGATGTAAGGTAATAAGATTACAATTTACAAAACAGTGCATAACAAAATTTCTTTAACAGTAATAAAGAGAATGTTACAGAGGAAGTCATGTGCAGTAAACTGGAGAGTCTGTCTATGTAATTAACAAGGTAAATTGTGTATACATGTACTATGAAAGTACAATGTCATGCTTAAAATCAAATTACCTTGTCAAAGAAGAAGATAATGTGCAGCATAATAATTAGCACTTTTAAAAATTCAAACATAAACAAAGTCAGGTAATTCTTTAAACTTAGTCATCATGACAAAATTAACTAATCAAATAAAATGTTCCTTTGGCTGTGCACAGCGTGGCCATTTTTGATGCTGCGCAGTACCCTTTGGTTGAAAATTTATAAATTTGGTATAAAAAAATGTGTAAAGACTCGAGGAAATGAAGTCATGAAAGCTTGCGGCGCAAAATGCAATATCCTTGAATGCATTGCAGTACGCAGCAAAGTAATTGACTGGTATGGAAAGATTACTTGAGGCTTTGGCTTCACAACCGTGCCAAAATGTTTGATAGCATCTTCAACAGTTTCGAAGTTGAATAACCCACCCTTGAGTAAAAAAGAAAGAAGAGGATTCGCGGGGGGAAAATGGCATCTAGCAACATTCCCCCTTTCGACTAAGAAAATTGGGGAAAAATAGGGCAAAATAGGGAAGAATAGAGAAAATAAGGGGGAAATCAGGAAAATCAGGGTAAAATAGGGAAGAAAAAAGTGTGTGTAAAATCGGGAAGAAGAAAAAAAATTGGGAAAAAATATTTTAAAAATCAGAAAACCAATTTGAATTGGGTTTTTATCAGGCCTGAATAACCCTTACCCACTCTAGACGAGTGGTAAACCTGCACATAAAACCAAATGTAATATTAAAAACTTCTAGTGGGTAGGCAAAGAGAGTTTGAAGAAGAAGAGAAAAAAACAATAATAAGTTAGGACCATGCATGATAAATCTATCATCATTATCTGCAATCACTACCTGTCCATTTTGTATGTAAAAAGGATACTCGCTTGTGATAAAGCTGATGAACTCTGATACACATTCTTGAACACATTCTTTAGCTTCCTTGGATATCTGAAGATAGAAGAAAAAACCAGGAGAGAACGATTGCATTTTTTTTCTACAAGAGTAAAGAAAATGATCGTTGATGTCATCATGTGTCATTCCACATATTTCTGTCAGTACAGAAAAGTCTTAATAAATTTGCTACATCATTTACTGGCTTCAAAGAACATGTTTCTTCTGGGACAAAACCACACTGAACTATGCCATTTATTTCTGTTCAGACTCTGAGTACCACAATTTTTGCAAAGAATGGCTTTAAAACGAAGATCCAGATTAACTGCAAACTTGTTACTAATAAATAAGAAAACATGCTGTTCCTATCAGCAGATTTATCATAACTTGACATTTCTGCTTGTTTTTGTTTCATTCTTTCCTGCTTTCAAAGCTTTGGCTTTGCGTTTTAAGTTGTTTACTCCGATGAGTGTAAGACACAGAGCTTCTGTGTATCTTTGTATTGAGGGTGGACTGGCAGCATACATGAGGGCGAGGAGGGGAGGGGGGGGGGGGGGAAGGGAGCAGCACCATTCTTACAAGGTGAATGAAATACTAATTAACAAGACCATTGATTATGATGAGGTTGTGATGGGGCCCCATCCTCCACTTTTGCACGCCCCCTTTCCTCTCACTTTCTCCTCATTCCATTTTTGTTCTCGGCATTCATTGGTAAGTTTACTGCAACCAAATCTTTAGTAGCACCTTAATAAACTCACCTTTCCTGATTTAGGGATGCCATCTTTCATGATACGAGCGACATTAGCAATGGGTAGAAACCTGTCCTGTTCTCTCAGAGGTGAACAGGCTCCTTTCTCTTCTAAAGGCCCTTCATCATCTGCTACTCCAGGCAAGCTATCATCTAAAAACCACAGAGGGGGATCGAAAAGAAATTCTCATTGCGATGCCATCTTTCGTGATACAGACTAACTGGTTCCTATTCCGGAAACCATTATAGATCTAGAGTAAGCAAGTCAGACCAGAACAGAATTTTAAGATTTCCAACTACAGCACTAAAAAGCTGCAACCTCAATTGAGATAATTCTCTTATGTCTTTCAAAATTCCTTCATTTTACCTATATTCATGTATTCAATTGTGATGTGAACTATAATAGCAGTAAAGTAGAAACCGTAGAAATTTCACTATGAATTTAGAAGTGCACTGCATTTCTCTTACACACAAGAACTGTGTTTTTCTTATACTAAATAGGTACCTATATTCTTGAATGGTGTATATCAGGTCCCACCTCCCACCCCACCAATACACTAAATATACCTCCAACTTTAAAAAGGGTGTCTTTTTTTCAAAGCATCTCTGTCATTGTTCAGGATTTGATATATCAATTCAGGAAGACAATAAGATATTCAAAATGTCAAGTTCATTTATTTCCTAACTTTTAACTATAAAATATAGAATCTTTCAAACAACGTTTCAAATTAATTATATACGGTAAAGGTCTTAACAAGTACATGTCATGTACACACCTGCAGAAGTTTGCCCATATAAGCCGCTAGTAAGAAATTGATCACTGGACATACTCAGCACCTGTCCATCTCCTTGTTCTGTTGTCTCCATTTCCTTTTATCTGCAACAGGAAGAACAAACAAATTATTACCAACACTGTACATATATTTTTGATGATTTGTTTTACCTGACTGCTAAGAAAGCATGTGTATGCTTGTAAGTAAGCAACCAGGGGACCAACGACTTTAAGTCCTCTCCAATCGAGGGACTTGGTAATGAGGATAACATGTAGTGCTTAACCAAAGGGCATGGACTTGGTTTCGAACCCAGGACCTCCTGGTTACGAAACCACTGCTCTACCACTGAATCATCGCGTCTCATTCAAGTGTATAAAGTGGATTACATGCGAAGCCTACCCAGCGGAAGCAGGTACGTAGGGCTGTCAACTTTGTGGAACTGCTTCGAGGGAGATCGTATGAATTTTTTTTTTTTTTTGGGGGGGGGGGCGAGTTGAGTAAGAAAAAAAAATTGAAGTGCTCACTACCCCCCCCCCCCCCCCCCCCCCCCCCCCCCCCCAAAAAAGGAGAAATTTAAAGGAGGAGGCAGCGCTTTACTATTTTTCATTTTTTTTGCTATTTTATTCCAAGATGGCCACCATGCTAAATAGGGCTGGCCAAGGTATATTTATTCACAGATATTGTGCCATTTGAGTATACTGATGCAATGTTTGACAAAACAAATGATTTGTATCATTTAAGTTCACTTGCTAGGCAAGTTTCAAAATTCAGAAACAGTGAAAAATGTACATGTGTTCAGCTCGACTATAGAAGGTTTTTATACAAAATGTACATGTACATCACAGGCTTTTCACAGCGTTTTTTTTGTGCTTCTTTTCTGAAAAGTAATTAGTAATAAAAGGAGGCGGCGGCCAAAATGGAGGCGAGTGGATCAAGAACTTTGTTATTGTTGTTTTGTTATTTGGCCTTATCAAAAGTTAAAAAAAATTAAATTCCCAAAATATTGTCACCCCTAAACTTGTTTGCATGCATTCAAAAAATGTGACTGAATTGACAAACATTGGTAAAATCAGATTTGCATTTGAGATATTTTCCTGTATAAATTTCATGAAAATACTGTGCCTTTAATTTATAGGTTAATTGTATTTCAGTTTTCCTTATGTCATCATAAACTGTAGACTTTTGGTGTGCAAAACTGCAAACTTAGGATTGCATATTGAGATCATATATTATTTTCAAAACTAGAGAACGGTACAACGAATCGTCTTCTTTCTCGAATAATTTAATGAAACATCAAAGCTTCCGCAGGGGCAAACTGATTCAAACATGATGAAGCTAAAGACCAGTTATGGTCATGCGATTGCATTGTGAAAGAAACATTGTTAAATCGATCAGAAAAGGTTTGATCATCTAGCATAGATTACTGCAAGGTTTCTGGATCATCAAAATGATAAGAAATTTGGCAAGTCTTCATAAAGTTAGAATCACTATACACAGAAGGATGTATATGGGACTACACCACGTGCGCGGACACGTGCATTTGTATCTCTCAACAGGCAAGAGATACACTAATTTACCAAATATTATCAATTAGTAGGCGGTTTCCTCCCGTCAACATTTTTATCATGTATTATTCAAAACATATTCTTTCACAAATAAGAGCTTCCATTTCATTTTTTGAAATTGGGGCATTTCCAATACTGGTCTTTACCTTTTAGGAGTCGAGAATGGTACAACGAATCATCTTCTTTCTTTAATAATTTAATGAAACGTCAGAGCTTCCGCGCTATGCGCGAAGGAAGGGGAACTTGATTAAAACAAGGGTATATAGTCGAGAACGGTACAACAAACAGTCTTCTTTCTCTAGTATCTAATGAAACGTCAAAGCTCTCGCGCTTCGCACGGGAGGGGGGAAACTCCCTCCTCCCTGCACCCACCCCCTAAGAAACGCGCTACGCGTGCTCTGTAAGTGATTCGCACACTTTGCGTGCTCACTACCGCCCCCCTAAAATAAATCCTGGCTACGTGCTTGATTACCTTGGAATTTTTATTTTTATTGGATAGACTCTAGATGAGATCTAGAAGAGTAGATCTAAAAGTTAGACGTCACCTTAATTTTGTATCGTTGTATCGTTCTCACTCTAGAGTCTATATCAGTTCGGGAAATGTACGATTTCTTCAACGTTGCAGAAATCGTACATTTCCCGAACTGAGATATTAAAGTAGGCCTAGACTAATATGAATTTAACAACATAGTCTAGATCTGGATTTGAATTTGTTTCCGTTTTCAATTCCCCCATGGGAAAACATTAACATAGATCTAGCTCTAGATCACATCATAAACTCATATCACCACAGCACAGCACAGTCTCACAGGCACTAGACACACGCAAACACATATGAACATGCTCGTCTGTAATGTACAACGGCACTGCATGCATGCATGCAGTGAGCAATAGCGAAAACATCCGATTTGTCTTTATACGGTACACCGTTGCCGCTCCGGTACTTATCGTTGTAAATTGAGCAAAAGATATCAACATATTCGCTATCAAATAACAAGACTTTCATAAAAACACAAATGTATACTCGAATTACGAGCTCCATCCAAGAATGACTAACCATTGGCCGAATGTTGGTGCCAGAATGTTCAATAGGGCTGTGGTTGGTCAATAATTCGACGGCTCTGCTCCTAGATCCTCGACGAACCAGTAAAATTACACGGAATAAAGGAAGAACGCTGGTTGGGCGATCGCGCTCAATACGTACAGTACATTGACACATGCACCAATTACTCGAATACCCCCCCCCCCCCCCCCCCCCCTATAAGACTGAAGACAAGCAGTAAGTTCTGTTCTTACCACAAAGAAAGTAGTGAATAATTTTGAATATTTTTTTTTGTACGTGTGTGTGTGTTTTTCTTAAGGGGGGGGGGGGTAGGCCCTCAAATAAATGTCTTTGGATGAGTATACCGATCGCATATAGGGGTAACACTTTTACCCCTCCCTAAGCGGTGACTCTCCTTTTTAATAATAACATAGATCTATGTATGTATACGTCTTTTAAAAAATACAAACACAGATAATTCAAGCATAGGCATAAGTCCATGGTATATTCAGGCGCGAGGGGGAGGGGGGGGGGGTGGTGGGGGGGGATTAGAGGACACTTTTTTTTGGTCTCGAAATTAGAAAATTGACATTTTGTTCCTTTGGGGGGGGGGGGAGTGAGGTAACCTTTTTTAGGTCAGCCATTGGCATATTTTTTTTAAATTATTTTTAAATTAAAAAAAAAAAAAAAAAAAAAAATCACAGAAAATGGGGGGGGGGGGGGTTGCTCCAAAATACACACATAAAAAACCGAAGGGGAGGGTCAACCCCCTAACCCCCTCCCCCCCCCCCTTCCGTACGTGCCTACTCGTCTGAAAATAGTTTTTCCCCTCCCGTGCGAAGCGCGGAAGCTTTTACGTTTCATTAAATCATTAGAGAAAGAAGACGATTCGTTGTACCGTTCTCGAAAATAATCCTCGTCTGAATACAGTTTTTCCCCCCGCTTCGACGTTTCATTAAATTTTTAGAGAATGAAGACGATTCGTTGTTCCGCTCTCGAAAATAATTAGTTTCCCCCACCCGCGCGAAGCGACGGAAGCTTGTACGTTTCATTAAATCATTAGCGAAATAAGACGATTCGTTGTACCGTTATGACTTTTAATCCTTGTCTAAATTCAGTTCCCCCCCTCCCACGCGAAGCGCTGAAGCTTTTTACGTTTCATTAATAATCAAAGAAAGAAGACGATTCGTTGTACTGTTCTCGACTCTTAATCCTTGTCTAAATTCAGTTTTCCCCCTGCTTCGACGTTTCATTAAATTTTTTAGAGAATGAAGACGATTCGTTTGTTCCGCTCTCGAAAATAATTTAGTTTCCCCCCACCCGCGCGAAGCGCGGAAGCTTTTACTTTTCATTAAATCATTAGAGAAAGAGGAAGATTCGTCGTACCGTTCTCGACTCTTAATCCTTGTCTAAATCAATCCCCCCCCCCCCCCTTCCGCGCGAAGCGCGGAATTTTCGACGTTTCATTAAATTATTATAGAAAGAAGACGATTCGTTGTACCGTTCCCGAAAATTATCCTCGTCTGAATTAAGTTCCCCCCCTGCCCTCCCCCGCGCGTAGCGCGGAAGCTTTGACGTTTCATTAATTCATTAGAGAAAAGACGATTCGTTGTACCGTTCTCGACTCCTTACTTGAATCCTTGTCTGAATTTCAAATATGTTTTTTGTCTATTCCCTTTTCTTCCTACGTCCTCTTCCTTTACACTCCTCTCTTTTTTGGCCGGCGTTTATTGGGGGACCACCCCACCGCCCCCCTGGCTACGCGCCTGCTGTCAGATGAACATAATGTTGATACCTTGTCCGCCCCGGAAGCTCAGGGGTTTAGGTTTTAATTTACGGTCAGATTAGCATTCAGGGGTCCGCCTTAGCGCCCTAGACGGGGTCCAGGGGGCAGAGCCCCGGAAGTTCAGGAGTTTAGGCATTTAATTACGGTCAGATGAGCATTATTTTGATACCTAATTGTTACAATGGCAGGTCACTAATGGCTTGGGTTCAGGGGGCGGAGCCCGGAATCTCAAGGGTCTTAGGCACTCAATTACGGTCAGATGAGTATCGAGGGGCCCGCCTAAGGGCTTTTGATTGGGTCCAGGGGGCAGAGCCCCAGAAGCTCAGGGATTTTAGGCGTTTAATTACGGTCAGATGAGCATTTTGATACCTTATTATTTGTGACACTAGCAGGACACTATTTGGCGTTGGGTCCAGGGGGCAGAGCCCCCAGAAATCAGGGGGTTTAGGCATTAAATGACCGTCATATGAGCATCTAAGGGCCCGCCTTAGGCCCTAGTGGAATCCAGGGGGCAGAGCCCTTAGGATTTTAGGCATTAATTTTAATCATGGTCAGATGAGCATATTTTGATACCCCATTATAATGTGACACTGGCAGTTAACTATTTTTTCTTTCTCGCTCCCTTTCTTTCTATTCTCTTTAATATACTTTTTCAAAGAAAGTATGGGGGAGGGGCTCGAGGATCCCGATCCCCGCCGTTCCGCGGGCCCTGATATGTAGGCATCTCAAGAAGCATTTTCTTGCCTGGCTGTAAATTTAGGAATTTGTCATTTTCCAACAAACACATGTGAGGAAATTATCTCATTCAGCATTATTTGTTAACTACCGTTATGGAATTATAAATAAACCACGTTTGAATTCTATTTCTCCAACCCCCCCCCCCCATCAGTATGCCAGTGCCCCCCCCCCCCCCCCTCCGATCTACACTTTGTTGGCGGGAAAATTGCAACTGATATCCCTACCTTTCTTCATTCTCTTTTTTTTCCCTTTCCCTTTCTCTCCTTTTTCACTTTCCTTCCCTTCCTTATCTCTCTTTTAGTTTTGCTGAGAGGGGGGGGGGGGGGGGAGGGGCAGGGTCATTTTGGTCCCCAACCCATCTCCACACATTGTTGGCGGGATTAACCGCAACTGATCTCCGCTTCTTTTCTCCCTTTTCTTTTTTTCTTCCTCCTTTTGTTCCTTTTTAGCTCTCCTCTTTTCCTTTTCCTTCCTTCTCTCTTTTTATAGCGGGGACGGGGGGGGGGGGGGGGAGGTTAGGGCCTTCCCCCCCCCCCTCGATCCACAACTTGTTGGCGGGAAAATTGCAACTGATATCCCCTTCTTTCTTTTCTTCTTCCTATTTTGTCCTTCCCTTTATCTCCTCTTTATCTTTTTTCTTTCCCGTTCCTTCCTTCTCTTTTGTTTTTTTATTGGGGGGGGGGGGAAGGGGGAGGCAAGTCCTCCCCCGATCTCCTTCTTCCCTTTTCTTTCTTCTTCTTCTTTTTTCCCTTTTTATCCTCTTTCCCTTCTTTTCCTTCTCTCTCTCTTTTTTTTTTTTTTTTTTTTTTTTTTTGCGGGGGGGGGGGGCCAAGGCACGCTCGGCCCCCCCTGGATCCGCGCCGCCTATATAGGCATTAGGCAGGGGTAGGGAATGCTGTTGCCTGGTACGAATATATGAGATTTCACTTGGCTATAATCCCCACCCGATCTAAAAAAAAAAAAAAAAGATGAGATGAGATAGTGATCGGCTTATGTTGCCTGGGCATCAAAGTGGGATTTTTTTATGGGCAAAATGTTGATCAATTTCAGTATTTCTGTATTGTTTAGGATGATTATGCAGGCCCCCGAGTATAACAATAATTCAACTATACTGATGGGCCTGACCCCGTTGAAATAATACCAAATAAAAAATAGATAATTTATCTCCGATTTTGCCGAGGAGGCCCTATAGGACCTACTCGGCAAAATCGGAGACCTTTTCACAATTTTTTCGGGTGTTTACATTGCATGGAACTTATGAGAATGGAAAATGGACTTATTGCAAAGGAAAATGGTAACTTGTCTAAGGAAAAGGGGCACTTATCATAATATGTACCTTAGGTGATTGCAATCACTGAAGTCGATTCGACAACTATTAAAGGTAAAGACCAGTATTGGAAACGCCCCAATTTCAAAAAATGAAATGGAAGCTCTCATTACCAATCATGTGAAAGAATATGTTTTGACTAATACATGATGATAACAAATTTGCCGGGAAACCGCCTACTAATTCATATATTTGATAAATTCGTTTCTCTCATGGTCTGTGAGAGATATAGGGTAGTCCCATATACATCTTTCTGTGTATAGTGCTTGTAACTTAACGAAGAATGGGCCAAATTTCTTATCGTTTTGATGATTCCAGAACCTTGCAGATGCTAGATGCTAGATGATCAATCACCAATTCTGATCGATTCCACAACGTTTCTTTCACAATGCAATAGCATGACCATAACTGGTCTTTACCTTTAATGGTCGTTATTTCCCACTGAAAGCCACTTTCAAACCCTTTCGTTTTTAAGGGAAAGTTCTAGATTTGTCTTTCAAATGCCATTGGAATTTGACCTTTTTTTACTTCATTTTTGGGCTTGCAAATTAGGGACATATATAGTACCATGCCTATTGCCTAGTCAGTCGGAAAGGTCACTTTGAATGCTAGAGCCATTCTTCTTACATATATTTGTATACATTTCCGATAAAAGGATCAATAGTAATAACTTTCTTTTCGACTTCCAAACTCGCCTAGAGCTATAGGGAGCTCCTTTCTAGTTCTCTAAAAAACCATACTCTACGGAAATCGAGTGCTCATGATAGGCCCTTAACCTTACTTATTGTTGTATTCTCGATCTTGCGCCTATAAAACGAGAAGTGGGTGCAGCGGCTGCACACAGTGTATTTTCCGTAAATGGCTTAGAAGTGCATAACTTTGATATAGTTATTTTCTAGATTTTCATGTGGTTAATGCCACATATCACATAATCACCATATTTTCATGCTTGGATTAAAAAAAATTGTATTTTGTCTTCATCGCAACCCGGATAAACGCTACATGCTTGCCACTTCGGTCCCAGATATTCAGATTTATGTTTGTCTCCTAAAGTTCTATTCGTCTACGTTGCGTTGCGTTCTTTCGATATTGAGTGTGTCATAACTCAGAAGCTGTATAACTATAAAGGAGTAAATAGCTGCACCACTGGACGGGGACAATCTTCACTTTGCATTCACAGAATCAGGAAACATTATTCAATTTTGGATACTTGTGATTCTTGAGAAAAGAGACCAATGCACAGTGTAGATAATTCGGGAGACTGGATCTGAATGAACAGTCAAAACACGTCTTCTTAAATCCTTCCTAACTTTAGTTTTGGAACAAAATCTCTCAATTTTCATTGCTTATCATCATGCTTTTGATAGTGAAGATACTGCAGGCACCAGGAAAGGAGTGTAGAATAGAGGTAAGTGAAGTCTGACAATGCTGGCTGACTGTACTTTAAAAAAACAAGAACAAAAAGAATGATTATTGCTGAACTGCCTGAACACTTGTTTGCCTTTCAATTCATATAATTGAAAAGTCCACAGATCAAGTGTAGATCTACATTCTACAAAAAAAAGGGGGAAAATTAAATTCAAAGTAAGTTATTAAAAGTAGAGGTTTCAGTTTGAGTAATTGTGCAGAAATCAAAATAAGAAAACATGGAAAATGAGAGTCGTCAGTCGGACACATCAAGTGTAGGGCTGTGTATGCAAAAGTTTTGGTGTTAATAAAGGAAGATTAAGATTGGAGGATGCACGATATAAGAACAAGTGGAGGGATGGAGTGTCGTTTTTAAGACTAAAGCTGACTTTAATAAATGATAAAGATGATAAAAGCTTCCTTTCTTTTGATAGTAAACATTCTATAATCTCATTCTTAATTTTTACATTCCAAATACAGGTAACAGATGTTGAGTCAATTGTCTCAGTGAAGCGTATGGTGGCCAGAGAATTTGATGTGCCTGTCCATCTTCAAAGACTAGTGTTCCGAGGAAAAACATTAGCAGGTAAATATGAAAACCTGTCTCAGGATTCGTCAATTGCTGTATAGCGCCACTAAACATGTGTCAAAATATGGATTCTTCATCCGAATGTCAACGAGAGGCAAATAAGTTTTTAACTTTAAATGCCTACTTCCAAGGTATATTTCCAAGGTAAACGTTTTTCACAAATTTTCTGTCATCACTATACTATAGACTTTTTAGTTCTGAATGTGTTCTGTATATTAATGGAAATTTCCCCCTTTGATTATTTTCATTTTCATTTTCAACAATGAACTCCAATTATATGAAAACATTATACATTGCTGATTAATTTGTTTTTGTCAAATAATTATTCTTGCCTCCCTTCTGTTTTTTCTTGTCATGTGGTAAACATAATCCGAACACTGCTTCCGTCTATTGTATCATTGTTTTTATATGTACTAATATGTAGTTTGTTTATTAGATTTTTTCTATAATTAGAATAAACTACATAATGGATTGTGTAATTCTCATTGACCCCTAGATGGACAGAGTCTTGATTTTTACAAGATAGGCCCGGAACCAAGATTCATCTCGTTGTGCGTAGACCAGAGATAGATGCAGACCCAACCAGTGCGAATACTTTAGGCAACTGCACAGCTCTTTGGGATCATGTGTCAACGATTCTCGCTAGACATTTTACAAGTTCCGACGCAGAACAGATACTAGAATCTTTCAAGAAAGTGAGTGTGTCTGCTGAAGTATCATATTAATGTATATTTGTTCAATAGCTATTGCATAGGTACTTTGCAGTTTGTACACTGTTGCCTAAAATCTATCAAAATCTTGTTTTGCTTACATGAAGAAATCTTCCCTGAAAATAATGTGTAATTCTGGCAGAATGGTACAACATGCCTAGCCTTGAAATGTTAAATGATATACAGGTAGAACACAACTATTTTTATCTTCAGTTTAATGGTCATAACTCAAAGGAACTTATTTAAAGAAAATTATAGCATTCTTGAAAAGACATGTAATGCTGTAGATGATAGATGGATTTATTTTGGTGGGCGTTTTATTAACCGATGTTAGTTTTTAAGAAAGAGATGATTAAAAAGGCCTGGTGATGATAGATATAAGCTGAAACTAATGATCGTCTTTCTTTGCAGGAATTCTCTGTAAACATGGCCAACCTGAGTCTGGATGACATAGAGAGGATAGCACAGTCCAAGCTTGAGGCCTTAGATAGAGCTGGACCATCTAGCTAGAACCTACTCACCTTTACATCATTATCATTCGTAAGGGGAGGCAGGAAGCCGCAGTCTGTTGTCATGGTGACCATCTTTTGGACAAATAGGAGCTCTGATGTACTTGAGGAGATTCTTCAATGCTGACTGTGTGTTTGTAAAAGACATTTGAACTGGCGACGTGGCACGATTGGCCTACAGCTGTATCTCTAGGCTATCAAATGGTACTAACAGTTGCAAGAGAATACTGGAATCCTAATTTTATTCACACATGAGAGTGTGAGAACAAATCCATGGTTTGATGAGTATTCAAATTAGGAAGAAAGAACTGATTGTATGTCATCGGTTGAACATGGAGTTGGAGTGCAATGGTTGAATACATGCCTTCTATAGTCTTCTTCATTTTTTTTTTTTTAACAATCCTTTGCTTGGTGTTGAGAACAAAATATGTAACTGTATTGTGGTCACCAATATTCTTTAAGGTATAAGAGAGAATAGTAAGTGAGCAGGTATGTTTCTTAGCAAGGGAATTGAATGTAAAAATATTCCTTGGATAGGATGTTAAATGGAAACCCCTGTGTAGAGGAGTGTCACCGCCTTTGAACGTTAAGAACCCACTGCATTATTTGTAAAGAGTAGGGGGGAACCCTGGTGTAGTAGTCCACCTGCACACCCCCAATCACTAATATCTGGAGGAGAGACCTGAGGGTTACAGTGATTCAGTTCGCTTTTCACCTTGCAGGAACAATATTCTTCACATATGGACCAAAAATACACAGTAGCTCGGGGCGAATTTGCCCCCGAAATGCGGAAAGAGCCCCCGAAAGTCATAAAAGAGTCCAAAAAATTTCCATAGAGTTCAATGCGAAACAAATTAAATATTGTTATTTTCATGCAAGCAAGCTTGAAAAGCAGCCCGAAATTTTTCAATGATTTATTGACAGATGTGAAAACCAAAAAACCAGTTTCATCATCATGCAATCTTAGGATAAGTAATCCTGACAAAGCTGAACCAACTGAAAAAATGTGGATTATATGAAAGGTGTTGTACATTTATACATGAGAGAAACAAGTCAGTGAAAGTTTGAGCAAATTCCGATTAAAAATAAGGAAGTTAGGATTTTTGAAGTTGTGATCAATCAAACACAAATTGGCAACTCTATGACGTATCATGCGAGCTCAACTTCCCTTTGCTCAGTACTAAAAAAATCTAAAATTTTCATTTTCCCTCAAGAAAAATTTCAACCATACATGCGCCCTAAATATAATAATTGCAAATATGTTTCTATACTCTCCCTGCAAGGACCAAATATATATTCCGTCATCAATAACGAAGAAAACATGATTTTATGGAATATTATGCACAAAGCAAATGAAGGAGAGCTCGTATAATAAGTCAAAGAGTTGCCAATTTGTATTTGATTGATCACAACTTCAATAATTCATAACTTTCTTATTTTCATTCAGAATTTGCTCAAACTTTCACTCACCTGATTTTCTTATTATTCTGCCTCTATCGAAACAAACTTATTTTGGGGGTGGACTTTCCCTTTAATACCCTCAAAATGTGTAACCCTATTTGGCAATTTTAGACCAGGCATATATGTGGTTTGGGTTCATGATTTCAGATATATATCATTGTATTTCTTTTCTTTTTTTCTTTGTTTAAATTTTGTATAGCCTTTTTGTATAACACAAGGTATGTCCTCTGGGTGGGTTGGGTCACAGTCTAGTGAACAGAAATAGCTTGGAGAGAAAATGTGTTTCATTCGAAATGATATCCAGCCTCCTAAATTAAATAAATTATTCATTTCATACGAGGGGTAATCCTGCTCAATATTTTTTTTTAAGGCGGGGCTTCTGCAATATTGATGCTGTGCTAGCCAGAATTGGAATACCAAAATCAATGCAAGTACCTGAGTGAATTAGCTTATAATAGATGGGTTTACTATCATACTCAAATTGTATGCATACTTTTTAAACAAAGGTTGTTCTTGGCAACCTGAAGGCTTGCTCAAGGCTTGTCAGACAAAGTGACAAATAATGTATGCAGACTGGATTCCACAAGTATTGTAGTTCATTCGTCACTAGGTCCCCAGGAAAGAAACATCCATGAATTTGAATATTTTATTGAACCAGTCTATCGCTAGATGACTTGTGTCAAGATCTTCTTTTCTATTGTACTGTGCTTCAAATTTTAGGATCCAAATTATTTGTTCCCTTTCACTTCTTGTTGTTTTGAGCCTCCATTGACAAATGAAGGACGCAAGGCCAATCCTCGTTAATCTAGTTGCAAACAAAGATTTGACCTCTGTTTTAGGAGATTATGATAAACATCATCATACAAGAAAGGAGTACATGTAGGCACCCTCTGCATCTTTGTATCTGGAGTACAGTATACATGTAGAAATGTGAACAAACCGGTCTATTCTCCTGAACAGAAATCTTCTTTTTTTCACAACAAAATACAAAGTTCCATCGGAGACATCCCAGGTTCAATTATTTTTATCAATTTTCTTTAGTATTATACCGTTACATGCATTTCATTACAAGTTTGTCAATTAATTAAACAAATATTTTAATTACTGTGAAGTGACCGTATTTATATTGATAGAATGACTTTTTTAAACACCTTTACCGAAGAGTTTAGATAGGCCTGTACTTGAAGTAATTTTGTTACCATAAAATGATTGATTCCTAACCAAGTTGCTGCAATGCCTTTTCTCGATGTGAATTCAATTTCTTTGGGTGGCACGTTCTTTTATATCATGTATCTTAGGCCTTGCCAACAAAAAAGGAGGAGGTTTAATGAATTTTGTCGCTTGGCTTGAAACAAATTCAAGTAGTACTTTTCAGAACTTTTCAGTACTTTTCAAGACCTGCAATTTCAAATTGTCATCATTTTTTTTTTAATTCATTTTTTTAGGGGGGGGGGAGGAGGGGAGGGGGAGGCAGATTCATCCCATATTCTTCACTATTTAGAGTTAAGGTATGTTGCATCACTTTTCAGCCACTAAGACGTCAGGATGACATTTATATTGTATTTTCCCCTCTCATTCCGGTAGAATACCATTTATTTTGGTACCAAGTTTGTAGATACATAAAAATGATGTGTCCTAGAGTGAATCGATCCCAAACAGCTTAAAAGTCCCTCTATATCTATGCATTAACTTCTTTACTGCATGCCCTTACATGCATTGTAGGTAAGGCGTCTGACATACAATCAGTGACGTAATCATAGGGCACAAATCTATTCAAATCTGCTGGAACTGGCTTCAAGCATATGGTTTATTGGCTCTAGAATAAGATTAGCTAAGCAATCGTTGATCTATCTGTTCATACTACAAGCCGGGACCTGGGTTCTTTGACACTATGAATATGACAGACAAAGAAAGCGGACAAAATATACAGTTCCTCATTCTACCCTCAACAATTGCTGTGGTAGACAAAGGAACATCCCTGCACTGCTATTATGTAAAAATCTGTAGTACAGCACATGCATATTCACCTGTTCTACACATTTTTACATAATAGCAGTGAAGAGATTTCCTTTGTCTACCATAGCAATTGTTGAGGGTAGAATGAGGAACTGTATATTTTGACCGCTTTCTTTGTCTGTCATGTTCATAGTGTGTGTTTCCCTCTGGATATATATATTGTCAACATTATTTTTACAGATTCATTAACCACTAGTACTTGTAATTTGAATTTTTAAAAGATCACATGATACACATTCTTGATTTAAATATGTCCTCACAATTCAGAAAGTCTTACAGAAAGAAGTCGATAAAAAAATACTTATTAGTCCCTAGTTCCTACTAAGATTAATTCTTATGTCAGAACGACTTTTTAAAATGTTCTCCTGAAAAATTAATATGATTAGCACATTTTATTTTTCCTATTTGATTTATAAACATATCACAGAGCCCTGACAATCTGACATGTTATCATTATGCACATATTACTCCTCTAGAATTTCTTTCCTGTTTTCTAATTAATATATTGTTGATGGACACTAACCTGAGATAGTATTTGATACTGCACAGTTTTTTAATTGGGTTTGCCATATCAATTTTGTATCTTGAGTGTAAACAATTAACAAAACATTATCTTTTGTGTACATTTCAAATTTTTAGTATTTTTTATTTTTCCAAACTTGTTTTGTTTGTGTTTTGACAAATTGACCCTTCAAAAGGCTGTACATTGAAACCCAATGTAATATTTGTTAAAATGATCTGGGGAGCGTTTTATGAAAGAATTAGTCGGCGGTTTTCACCGACTAATATCATGTTCACCGACAATTCTTTTGTCACCGACTATTTTCCAGGCCTGTGATTGGTCAAATTTAGCCGGCGCTGACTAAATTGGCGGTGAACATGATATTAGTCGGTGAAAACCCCCGACTGATTGTTTCATGAAACGCCCCCAGATCTTATACCCTCGGCATACAACAAGAGTTCCGAGACTGTAACCAAACCAACATCAAACTGAACAAAAATTACATTACCGTACCTTGAATGAAAAAGAATTGGTCAGTTTTTAGTTGGTTTGGAGTTGGTCTGGTAGTGTGACTAAGGAACTGCTGATTTGACTTATGGCTTCTTCATATTAATATATTTTCTCATTGAAAATTCACCCTTTTTCTTGCAGAATGAGGTTGGGAATAGGCGTACATATGTTGTCATTTATAATCGAGGGGTAATATTGTATGGCAGTAACTTGAACGTGGAGGTACATGAACAACATAATTTTGTTTCCTTCCTATGTTTTATGAAATTATATTTTAGTTTTGTTGATGTAAATTATTCATAAAGTCAACTTAACCCTAACTTCTTTCTAGAATCTTATCTCATTCAGTTCATTTTTTGTTTAAATATTTGACATGTTTATGTAACAAAATAAATACCAAAATGTATGAAAAAGCACTGTCTCTCTTTTGTTGCGATACGAAGTGTCTCCAGGTCGACGTGGAACATGTACTTGAAATCATGAGCAGGATACAATGCGTGTCTGTGGTGGCTGGAGTTGAGAAATGGCGCCCTCTTCTTTTTTATCTGTCAAGGCCTAGTACTGAAAAGTTCTATTTACATGAGAAAAAAAATACAATTCTTTGGAATTACTACGGTTTTCCTATGAATTTCCTGTTTTTTAAATACTATGTAGATTTCTGTATACCCCTCTTTTTTGTCTCTCTCCCTCTATCTCTTTCTAACCTAGTTCTTTCTCTTTCCCTCTCCATCTACATTCTTTCTTCATTCATGTATTTACTAGTTTTATTTAGACTGAGTGGGTAGCTCTATGGTTTTGGAATCTATCAAGGAGAACTGGGGAATGCAGTATGCTTTTAAAGCTCTTTCACGTCGATTTTCACTTAAAAAGTTTAACCCCCCCCCCCATCATTTTTTATTTATAAGACAGTTGGTGATTGTTCAAAGATATTGGATGTAATCATATTGACAGAGTAAAATAGTAGTTCTTCATCCCTCCCCCTCCTCCACCTCTCTCTCTCTCTCTCTTTCTC